ATATCAATGATATTAATGATATTATATCAATTATGTTATTGATTTTAATTACTCACAAAACAGTTGTCAATAAAAAAATATGAAGTGTGTTATGAACTTGCTAATCAATACTGACCGATTATTGGGAGGAGAGGAGGAGGAGAGAGGAGAGGAGGAAAGGAGGAGAGGAAAGGAGAGTAGAGAAGAGGAGGAGGAGGAGGAGAGGAGAGGAGGAAAGAAGGAGAGGAAAGGAGAGGAGAGAAGAGGAGGAGAGAAGAGGAGGAGAGGAGAGGAGGAAAGGAGAGGAGAGAAGAGGAGGAGAGGAGGAGAGGAAAGGAGAGGAGAGAAGAGGAGGAGGAGGAGGAGAGGAGGAAAGAAGGAGAGGAAAGGAGAGGAGAGAAGAGGAGGAGAGGAGAGGAGGAAAGGAGGAGAGGAGAGAAGAGGAGGAGAGGAGAGGAGGAAAGGAGGAGAGGAAAGGAGAGGAGAGAAGAGGAGGAGAGGAGGAAAGGAGGAGAGAAGAGGAGGAGAGGAGGAAAGAAGGAGAGGAGAGGAGGAAAGGAGGAGAGGAGAGGAGGAAAGAAGGAGAGGAGAGAGGAGGAGTGAGGATTTCTTCTGAGAGCTGATCTTCATGAACATTGATCTTCATCCGTCCTCTCTAAAATAATCTGAATCAGTGTCTCCTCCCTAAAGTCATGGACCTCCACCCTCCTCCCTAAAGTCGTAGACCTCCACCCTCCTCCCTAAAGTCTCCACTCTCCACCCTCCTCCCTAAAGTCGTGGACCTCCACCCTCATCCCTAAAGTCTCCACTCTCCACCCTCCTCCCTAAAGTCGTAGACCTCCACCCTCCTCCCTAAGGTCATGGACCTCCACCCTCCTCCCTAAAGTCTCCACTCTCCACCCTCCGTCTCAGTCCACCCGCCTCTCTGTCCAGCCGTCCTCACTCGCTGAACCGTCTCCGTCCTTCAGGCCTCAGGAGGTGTGTCAGCTGAGGTCCACCTGTCCTTCCAGGCTCTGATACTGCGTCATCGTTCAGTGTCGCACACCGCCGCCGCCGCCGCCGCCGCCGCCAGAGCGTAAAAACAAAAAGTTCAATCTAAATGGAAATGCATCTGTGACATTTCATGAAGTGGGAGAAACAGACGGAGAAGCAGGGAGAGATAAAGTTCTTGTTTGGGTCTGAGGCCCGGGATAATGAGATCGGAGCGGTCTCACCTGTAATCCTCAGGACAACAACATCCTCAGACTCACACCGGGAGACGTTTCTGTCCGAGAGGACGCCACGCAGAGATCATATCCTCAATCTATCAGCGCAAACTCCCGGTCAAAGTTTCTGTCTGTCGGTTTGACACCTCCAAGAGCTTCTCATTAAATACAGGACAGGGGCTGAAAGGAGACGAAGCAGGAAGGACACCAGGACAGAGATGGAGGACGATAAGATGGAGGGGGGGAGGTCGTTCAGAGAGGAAGTGAAACCACTCAGAGGACGGTTATCTCTGCAGTCTGAGAGCTCAGTGACACCGAGATCTGTCAGAGACGAGGACAGATTTATGAGCTCATGTTCGCCGGAAAACCGATTTGTTTGTGCCGCAAGAAACCATTTAGACTAAAGCTGTATCGACGTTTTTATTGCAGAGATTCATCCTGATCGAGGAGGAACATTTTTGCATTGATGCGCGGCAGATGTCTGATTGAAGTCGAGCTAAAGTGACATGGATTTCCAGACAGTTAAAGGATTCAGATCCATCTTTGTACGTTTAAAAGCCTGAGCTCTAACCTCACAGCCGGGCTCTCCGCTCACAGGGAGGCTTCAGCAGCAGCTCTGGGAAACAGCCCAGAGTTTTGGCAGGTCTCAGAAAGCTTTGTGAGAAGTCGAGGAAGAGGAGGGTGTCGGGCCGCAGACTGTTTAAGAATAAGCAGATTGTTCGGCTCGCATGTGAAGGACGAGGCTCTCACGCTCCCGTTTTAGAGGAGAAAAAAAACTCTTTGTGGCTCCAGATCAGGAACAAATCAGGATTCATCGTCGCCGTCGCCGTCAACGTCACGAATGTTTCTGATTATATTTCTGTGAACGTGAAACTTTATCTCTTCATACTTCAGTTTAGACCAGTGTGCAGTTAAAATGTTCACAGAAGATCTAGTCTGCCAAACTGTCGAATATCATTTATTCACTTATTCATTTATTCACTTATTCATTTATTCACTTATTCATTTATTCACTTATTTATTTATTCACTTATTCACTTATTCATTTATTCACTTATTTATTCATTCACTTATTCACTTATTTATTTATTCACTTATTCACTTATTCATTTATTCACTTATTTATTCATTCACTTATTCACTTATTCATTTATTCATTTATTCATTTATTCACTTTTATTCACTTATTCATTTATTCACTTATTCATTTATTCACTTATTCATTTATTCACTTATTTATTTATTCACTTATTCATTTATTCACTTATTTATTCATTCATTTATTCACTTATTCATTTATTCACTTTATTCATTTATTCACTTATTCATTTATTCACTTTATTCATTTATTCACTTATTCACTTATTTATTTATTCACTTATTTATTCATTCATTTATTCACTTATTCATTTATTCACTTTATTCATTCATTCATTTATTCACTTATTCATTTATTCATTTATTCACTTTTTCATTTATTCACTTATTCATTTATTCACTTTATTAATTTATTCACTTTATTCATTTATTCACTTATTCACTTATTCATTTATTCACTTATTCATTTATTCATTTATTCATTTATTCACTTATTCACTTATTCATTTATTCACTTATTCATTTATTCATTTATTCACTTATTCATTTATTCACTTATTCATTCATTCATTTATTCACTTATTCATTTATTCATTTATTCACTTTTTCATTTATTCACTTATTCATTTATTCACTTTATTAATTTATTCACTTTATTCATTTATTCACTTATTCACTTATTCATTTATTCACTTATTCATTTATTCATTTATTCATTTATTCACTTATTCACTTATTCATTTATTCACTTATTCATTTATTCATTTATTCACTTTTTCATTTATTCACTTATTCATTTATTCATTTATTCACTTATTCATTTATTCACTTATTCATTTATTCACTTATTCACTTATTCATTTATTCACTTATTCATTTATTCACTTATTCACTTATTCATTTATTCATTTATTCACTTATTCACTTATTCATTTATTCATTTATTCACTTATTTATTTATTCACTTATTCACTTATTTATTTATTCACTTATTCATTTATACATTTATTCACTTATTTATTTATTCACTTATACACTTATTCATTTATTCATTTATTCACTTATTTATTTATTCACTTATTCACTTATTTATTTATTCACTTATTCATTTATACATTTATTCACTTATTTATTTATTCACTTATACACTTATTCATTTATTTATTTATTCACTTATTCATTTATTCACTTATTCACTTATTCATTTATTCATTATTCACTTATTCACTTATTCATTTATTCACTTATTCACTTATTCATTTATTCAGTGCCGTGCTTATCTCCTGTCTCACTTCTCATCTTGGAGTTTATGACCTGTACTGCAGACAGTCACCAGGGGGAGCTGTTTTACGACCTTCTGCTTCATTATTAAATCCACATTATTGACGGATCATTGGTCGGGACTTTTCACACCTCAGCCAATCACTAACGCTTGTTATCTGGTAGAACAGGCCAATAGAAAGTGGAGGATTGATCAGTGACTGTGGAGAGTGTGGCCTCCAGAAACACTCAGGTATTGATCGTTGATCGGTATTGATCGTTGTGTGAAACAGCTCAGAGATAACTCTCACCGTCGTCCCTCCTACTGTAAAAATCCTCCTGATTTATCACCGTCTTCTCAGAGGAGGAGGTTTGAAAGAGCGCCGCTTTGCTCAGGTGCATCCAATTAAGGAAACAAAGGGGGGGTTCATTGAGGAGGTGCAGGTCCAGGGACGTCCAGAACGAAGCTGAGAGGGTTAGCTTGAAAAAAGGATCGGAATAATTCAATTAGTGCCGAACTGTGAGGTCTCCAAAGACCACGCCTGTCTATCGGAGTCGCTTTTATTTTTACGCTTTTTTCATCACATTAAGAAAACATTTGTGTCGGACCCCCCCGAAAAGTCTTACCACCGATTTCAACAACATCTAGAACGGCGGCGATTTTTACCGTCCGCCAATTCCTACCGAATCCGTTTGTGAGGCCAATTCAGGGCTGATTACAGACAGCGGTAATATAAAGACAGACACATAGACATATAAGCAGTAGATTGTGTCCTTCCAGAGGAGGAAATCTACTTCTAGACTTCTAGAATCAGCATCTCCTCATCCATGGTGTCATCGGGGTGAAATGACGTCTAAAAACCTTTCACTTGTTCGTCTCCGCCCGTTTGCATGGTGTGAAATACGATCCTCCTGAAACACGGAGTGTTTTATTTTGAAAAGAAGCCGGATGTTTTATTTTGTTAATGTGTGCCCGACTTCCTTTCCAGCACGGGTTAATCTGTGCTGAATTTATCCGCCATGGAAAAATAGAGTCTGGCGATCCGCAGAGGAACAGAAAGACGTAAGACTGGTTGGGAGGGGTAGAGTTTACATTCAAGGTTTAACTCAGATCCTGACCACAGCACCTTTCATATGAAGGGGAAAAACACACACACACACACACACACACACACACACACACACACACACACACACACACACACACACACTCCCAAATTCAGGAGGTCGTCTCTGGTGAACCCGCTCTTTCCGCTCAGCAGCAACACAAATAATCCACCAATCACAAACGTCCTCACTTTGAAGGTTAGTTTAGTTCCAGGTGAAGTTAGGAGACTGAATAAATGAGAAGCTGTGATGAAGTTCAGTCTCTTTGAGGTGGTACCGCTGACTGACCGTGTGGAGCGAGTTTCAGTAGAACTTCCTAAAGTGAGAGTCAGAGAGAGTCGGCGGTTTGGTCAGCGGGCGTCTGCTCTCTTCTTCCTGTTCGGGTGAAGACAGATTCAGGTCAACATGAACGGAATCAGAGCAGACACTTGACATAAACTCAAAACATCACAGTTTTATTTTCCTGCCTCATCTTTAGTCTAAACTTGCATCATGCAAACTTACACCGCCTTTATAACCGAGGGCGTTTTCATGTGGTTGTTCACCCGACAGACAGACTCTCTGAGAGAAGACTGATTATTTCTGTATTTTTAATGAACTTCGTTCTGTCAGAGCGAGATCAGCAGACACAGACTTTGTTCATCTTTAACACAGAAATGATTCTCAGTGTTTTCAGGACAGCCCGCTGCTCCTCCTCCTCCTCCTCCTCCTCCTCCTCCTTCTTTAAGGAGCTTCTGATCATTAAAAACATGAAAAACTCCACCATGGCTCATGTTTTTCTCTCTTTATCTGAATCTTACTTCAGTCTTGGCCCCCCCGTAGATCTCATTAGAAACTAAGAGTAAGGAGTGAAGAGCAGTGGTCCTAAAGAGGAGCCCTGTGGAACACCGTTCAAAACAAACCAGTCGGTCAGTGAGAAACTTCAGTGTTTAATCCTCATTTTAATTCAACTTTGAACTAAAATATACAAAAATAAATGTGGAAAAAAACATTCATGCAAAAAAAAAATTAGTGACTAAAAAGACGAGGAGATCTGCGTGAGAGCAAAAATCAAGAGGAGGAGATAATTCAGGATATTATCGACCAACTCAACCTCCACCCCCGACCTCCACCTTCATCCTGATCGTCTCCTAAAAGGTCGTATCCTCCGATCGTAGCTGATCGTAACCATTCAAGTTAACGTGTCAATTTACACCGACTTCTTTCCGTTCCTCTGAGGATCGCCGGACTCCTCAGCTGATCACAAGAGTTCTATTTTTTCTGGACGCCGGAGCATGGCGGATAAATTCAGCACAGATTAACCCGTGCTGGAAAGGAAGTCGGGCACAGACACACAATAAAACATCCGGCTTCTTTTCAAAATAAAACACTCCGTGTTTCAGGAGGATCGTATTTCACACCATGCAAACGGGCGGAGACGAACAAGTGAAAGGTTTTTAGACGTCATTTCACCCCGATGACACCATGGATGAGGAGATGCTGATTCTAGAAGTCTAGAAGTAGATTTCCTCCTCTGGAAGGACACAATCTACTGCTTATATGTCTATGTGTCTGTCTTTATATTACCGCTGTCTGTAATCAGCCCTGAATTGGCCTCACAAACGGATCCGGTTGGAACTGGCGGACGGTGAAAATCGCCGCCGTTCTGGATCGGAGCCGTTCCGGTTCCGGTTGAAAATTGGGGGTAAGAAGAACTTTTGACTGGTTGGTTGTTCCTCTAAGGACGTTTGGATGTGACTGTACAGTCTCATGAGGAGTATAGAGTAGGAACCATAATTCTGAGTGGTGCATGATGGGAGGAGGAAGGCTGCAGAGGTGTAGACAGAGTGTGGAGGTGACGTAGAAACCCTCCAACATCTGCGCTCTCTTCATCTTCCATTAACCTCTCCTCAGGTTTCTCCTCCTGTCAGCTCCATGAAAGAGACCCTCCTCAATCACACTCAGACGTCCTGCAGACCCCAGACCAAGAACTTAACGAGGAAGACCCTCAGCCCTCTGAGTCATCCTCTGTCCTCAGACTCAGAGTCTTATTTCTGTCACATCCAGGACTTTCATATCTGTAATTTGGACGTGACCCTGAGTCTGACATGAACATGAACATCATCGAGCAGCTTCAACCAGAACACCTGTCTTCAGTGATCACCGTCCACACCGTCCCTAAAACAGAGATGTTTGTGGTGGTGAAAAATGATCTTCATGTCTTAGAGGAAATCAGTCAAACAGACGAGTAAACGAACCGCTGAGGGCCCTCGAACCAAATCACTGTCCTCCAGAAAAACGAACAATCAGTGAGTTTCCAAAAACCATCAGAACTTTTATCAGAGAATTAAACGACAAAAACCAGGAGAAGAAACTGAAAATAAATTTAAACTCAGAAACAACGACGACGACGACAACGACGACGACGACGACGACGACGACGACAACGACGACGACGACAACGACGACGACGACGACAAGGGCCCGAGGCGGAGAGAGAAATCTGAGTTTATTCTGAGTCAGCAGACGTGACGTCCGTGATTCTCCCGCCAGAAAACATCACTGTCTGTGTGTGTGTGTGTGTGTGTGGTTGTGTGTGTGTGTGTGTGTGTGTGTGTGTCAGTGTGTGTCCGTGTGTGTGTGGTTGTGTGTGTCTGTGTGTGTGTGTGTCCGTGTGTGGTTGTGGTTGTGGTCCTCTGAGGCTGAAATCTCTCGTCCGTTTCCGTCCACTCTGACATTTTCTGGGATGAACAGTGAAACATGAAAACACGGATAAATGTCAGCGCCGTGTCCCTGACCGTATCTGTCCAACATCAGGAACACAGACGTCTCTGAGTCCGTCCTCCACACGTCAGTACGTGGTCGGAGTACACACATCCTTCACGGTACGCAGACGAGGGACGGTTGGTCTGACGGCGATGAATAGAAACATGTCTCGGCGTCTTTATGATCTGAAACCAGCCGATCCTCGAACCTCTGAGTCCTTCTCCTTATTTTACTGTCATCATCGTTTAGAGGCTGACCCCTGACCTCTGCTGATTAAAGCACGCCATGGTTAAATGAAGCACACATATGCAGCATCACAATCTTTATAAAACACCACAGAGCTTTGGAGCGAGCCCCGCCCTCTGAAGGAGAGACCGGGTACGAAGACGAACCGTGACGCTGTCAGACGACCTCCGAGATCTTTATTCCTCTTTTTTTCTCTGAGTCAGACTCTCTCCTCGTTTACATGCAGCTGCAACGACCTCCCCAACACTAGGGGGCGATATGGGTCTTTTCAGCTGTTTCTGGACCTTTTTAAAATTATGTCTCTGTTCCTCGTCTTTAATCGGAATAAGGCGATAATTCGGATTTCTCGAGTGTCATGGAAACGGACTGCGATGTTTCTCGTGGATGCAGATTGTTGTCTCAGACTTCTTGTCGATGTGTCATGAGGCCTCTGACCTTTCTGCTCCGTCTCCGGGGCTTTTGTCTTGAAGCCCCGCCCTCATTATTCTGCAGCTTCGTCACTTTCTTTAATGAGTCTTTCTGATTGGTCGGATCAAAGTTGAGAAATGACCCCGCTGTTGTGCGTGACGGGCCGACGATGCTGTTTTCTTCCTGTCTCTCCCCGTTAGCTGAGAAGGCAGAAGATCTCCTGGGAGGTTGGAGCTGCTGTCACACACACACACACACACACACACACACACACACACACACACACACACACACACATCCTCAGCAGCCCAGCTGACAGGATCACTGCTGTGAATTCAAGACACGTCGGAGACCCGACTGTAACCAGAAACACAGAGGGCGGCGACATTTACGCACAGACAGAAAGTTTAGAACCTGAGTCAGTCAGTCCGTTTCCATGACGCTCGAGAAAACCGAATTATCGCCTTTCTACGATTAAGACCGGACAACTGAAGGTCATGTAAACACCTCAGTCCGACTGTAATCTGAGTTTGAGAACTCTGATTAAGACACTCAGATAATGAGATTGGGATTAGATTTTCTCTTCCATGTAACCAACGTAGTCGGAGTATGATCAGTTACAGGCCACGCCCCCATAACCCCGTAACAAACCCCCAGAGTAGAGGAGTAGCGTTGGTCTCCTCTTTAGAAAAAGTAGCGCGTCCATCATGTCGGACAAAAACAACGCTGTACGATGCTCCATCTTCTTGTTTCTCCAAAATGCCCAGCAGCAGTTGTAGACACTTCTGACGTCTGACACCGACCTGCTGTTGTTGTTGACGGTTGGATGGGGTCGGAAACAGCGCCGCTGAAAAGACACATATCGCCCCCTAGTGTTGGGGAGGAGGACTCGTCCAGCCCTCATCTGTTTCAGACGTGTGTTTCTACAGCATGAAAATCCGTCCTAATGAAACTAAAACTTTTTTATTTTATATTTTATTTTATTTTTTATTAATTATTTTCTCTTCCCTGTTCAGTGGGCGTGGCCTTGCAGTTCCTCTGACCACCACAGGGTGGTGCTGCAGGAATAACAGCTCCTCTGAAACACTGACTGCCTTCATTTCTGACCACAGTGGGACGATACGTCAAAAGACCACCTCAGTCCGACTTGGATTTAAACATTTCTGATCATCAAAAGAATCATTATCTCGGCGGCGTTTCCCCGCCATCGTGATGTGACCCCGACTGTTCCTACAGAAATATTTTCATAATGGAGTTTATCAAACTGGTGTCCACTGATGAGTTTCACTGCTGAGTATATCCGCTCACACCGACACGGCCAAGGTTCGATTTTCATTTTAGTAAACGTTAACGAGTCTGACGCTCGGCCGCTGACCTCACTCCACCAAACCTTTGATCGACCGCAAGAATATTTACGTCTGTCACTGCAGGAAACTTCTTCAACTGTTACAGTCACGAGAAATCAGAGTCTTGAAGTTTGGAAACTCAAATCAGTTGAAGAAAAGTCCCGATGATGTGAGACTGAAGTTGTCATGAAATCGTAAAGATCAAAAGTTACGAACAAAGTCGTAATGTTTGAGAAAAAACTGCGGCGGTACGATGAAGTCAGGAGATCTTTGAAGATGTTTGAGTGGTAAAATAATTCAGAGGTTTGAGAATAAAGTCGTAAAGAAGGTGAAGAAGTTTTAAAATAAAAATGACCACAGAAGAGTCAATAAAACGTGAAATAAAAGATAAAAACGAGATGAAGGTTTCTCTCTTTGACTCTCTGAGGAGAGTTCCTGATGATCTGAGGTCACTCTCAGAGGTGACTCAGACGTCTTCAGTTCTTGGAGCTGCTCAGTTTTCAGACACGATTGTTGATATAATGAAGATAAATTCATCCTGAGCAGATGTACGGAGTAATGAATCCATCTGTTTCCATGTTTTTAACTCGGGGTAATGAATTCGTTTGTTTGACGTCAGAGACACTTTCCTGCCTCCACTCAGAGCCCAGCACCTCCTCACACCTCCTGCTCCACCTCCTGCTGTCCCCGTGATCGACCAGTCGAGGCTCACCTGTCGTACAAACGGAGTAAATATCGACTTTTATCAGGTAGAGATCCTGAATTTTATTTAGAGCAGAAAACGGTGAAAAAGTCGCTGAAATCCGATCTCTTAAAGCGCTCTTATCGGTTTGGTTTGTGATTTCCTGTGAAGCTTTGTTCTCCGTCTTGATTAAAAACCGTGTTGGTGAAAGCAGCAGTCGTCCTGATCTCAGATCAGAGGTGGAGGCGGCGGGTTGGTTAATTAATCAAAGAGTTAATTAGATGAAGATGTCTGCTGGGTCTGTCCTCGCAGCTCTGACACCCTGCTGTCCTGATCTGAGGCGGAGGACGGAGACGGGGGATTTCCTGTCCTGTGGGGGTTCAAAACATAAACCCGGGCTGTCGGCCCAGGACTACAGGACTACAGGACTACAGGGGAACAGGACTACAGGACTACAGGACTACAGGGGAACAGGACTACAGGACTACAGGGGAACAGGACTACAGGACTACAGGACTACAGGACTACAGGACTACAGGACTACAGGGGAACAGGACTCCAGGACTTGAATATGTGGTGGTTTGGATCAGGACTCCAGGACTCCAGGACTCCAGGACTTGAATATGTGGTGGTTTGGATCAGGACTCCAGGACTTGAATATGTGGTGGTTTGGATCAGGACTCCAGGACTCCAGGACTCCAGGACTCCAGGCCTTGAATCTGTGGTGGTTTGGATCAGGACTCCAGGACTCCAGGACTTGAATATGTGGTGGTTTGGATCAGGACTCCAGGACTCCAGGCCTTGAATATGTGGTGGTTTGGATCAGGACTCCAGGACTCCAGGACTTGAATATGTGGTGGTTTGGATCAGGACTCCAGGACTTGAATATGTGGTGGTTTGGATCAGGACTCCAGGACTCCAGGACTCCAGGACTCCAGGACTCCAGGCCTTGAATCTGTGGTGGTTTGGATCAGGACTCCAGGACTCCAGGACTTGAATATGTGGTGGTTTGGATCAGGACTCCAGGACTCCAGGCCTTGAATATGTGGTGGTTTGGATCAGGACTTGAATATGTGGTGGTTTGGATCAGGACTCCAGGACTCCAGGACTCCAGGACTTGAATCTGTGGTGGTTTGGATCAGGACTCCAGGACTCCAGGACTTGAATATGTGGTGGTTTGGATCAGGACTCCAGGACTTGAATCTGTGGTGGTTTGGATCAGGACTCCAGGACTCCAGGCCTTGAATATGTGGTGGTTTGGATCAGGACTCCAGGACTCCAGGCCTTGAATATGTGGTGGTTTGGATCAGGACTCCAGGACTCCAGGACTCCAGGACTTGAATATGTGGTGGTTTGGATCAGGACTCCAGGACTCCAGGACTTGAATATGTGGTGGTTTGGATCAGGACTTGAATCTGTGGTGGTTTGGATCAGGACTCCAGGACTCCAGGACTCCAGGACTTGAATATGTGGTGGTTTGGATCAGGACTTGAATATGTGGTGGTTTGGATCAGGACTCCAGGACTCCAGGACTCCAGGACTTGAATATGTGGTGGTTTGGATCAGGACTCCAGGACTCCAGGACTCCAGGACTTGAATATGTGGTGGTTTGGATCAGGACTCCAGGACTCCAGGACTTGAATATGTGTTGGTTTGGATCAGGACTCCAGGACTCCAGGCCTTGAATATGTGTTGGTTTGGATCAGGACTCCAGGACTTGAATATGTGGTGGTTTGGATCAGGACTCCAGGACTCCAGGCCTTGAATATGTGGTGGTTTGGATCAGGACTCCAGGACTCCAGGACTTGAATATGTCTTGGTTTGGATCAGGACTCCAGGACTCCAGGACTTGAATATGTGGTGGTTTGGATCAGGCCTTGAATATGTGGTGGTTTGGATCAGGACTTGAATATGTGGTGGTTTGGATCAGGACTTGAATATGTGGTGGTTTGGATCAGGACTCCAGGACTTGAATATGTGGTGGTTTGGATCAGGACTTGAATATGTGGTGGTTTGGATCAGGACTCCAGGACTTGAATATGTGGTGGTTTGGATCAGGACTCCAGGACTTGAATATGTGGTGGTTTGGATCAGGACTCCAGGACTTGAATATGTGGTGGTTTGGATCAGGACTCCAGGACTTGAATCTGTGGTGGTTTGGATCAGGACTTCTGTATTAATATAATAAATGTGAATAAATCAGTGAAACGTTAAAATCTGAACTCCGTCTGTGTTTTTTCTGTTTGAAGGTTCATCAGTTAGTGGATCATGAACTCAGCGGCTCTGTGGACCGCCCTCACAGCGTGATGAAGACTGAAAAACTCTTCCTCTCCAGTCTGGACCTGATTACACTTTTCATCTGAAGCTGTTTCGGGAAACAGCCTCTCGTCGTTCTGACGGAGGAGTGTTGGAGAGGTGGAGCAGCGTGGTGCTGATTAGTCCACTCAGAAAACCCCACTGTGAGCCAAACACAGACGTCCTCTCGTGGTGTTTCTCTGATTTCTCTTCGAATCTCTTTGACATCAAAACATTTGAGCTGTAAAAACACGCGAGTCCTGAGCCGTCTACCGCCGACCATTTAGTTTTATCGAACGCTCTGCTCTCTGCCGCGCTTTGATGGCGCTGGAAGAGGAGGAATGGGAGTTTACCAGCGCTAAATGATCCAGAAACACTCGGCTGAGAGGGATGAGGATTTCCCTCAGGGCTCTTCAAAAGCTCCGGTCCTGATGGTCTATAAATCTCACACGTTACTTTCCAATACATGATGAAACGAGGACGAGCGATAACATGAGCCGACATGATAAAGCCGGTGGAGATGGAAGAGTAATGATCAGTTTTATTACACACTTTAAAACGTACTCGACATTCAGGACCAAGAGCTGCAGGAGATAAACAGAAAACAGCTGATCAGCTGTTCAGACCCGCAAGTGGAACAAGAAAAACTCTTTTATAGAGAAACGACGTTCGTCCACGGAGGGCGGGGACACTTTGGAAATCATGACCATCATGATACGTGCAGGCAGGAGGTGTCACCTCGAGACCTCTGAACATGATGAACGGTGTAGGGCTGGGTGATGAAACGATAACCAGATATCGAAAATTGATTTTCATCGATATCGATATCAAACATGATCAATATCCTTTTCAATAGTCGCCATTCTGACGTGTTTTGGTCGACTAATAAAAAGGGGAGTGTCTCCGGGTCTGAACCAATCATGTTCTGAATTAGAACCAAGTATCAACCAACTGCAGCGTCGTAGCAGACAGCAGCTCCACCCAACCATAGCACTTTAACAGGTGAAGCCGACAGCACTGTTGGTGAGAAACAAAGAAAATGAGTGCTACCCCCGACAGAAATGACCATGAAGGCTCAACAGATGACCACATCAATGTCAACCACAACACTGGCGTTAGGAAAACGTCGGTGGTGTGGAGGTATTTTGGTTTTTGGAGGTCGGACATGAAGCAGAGTAATGTGGACTGTAAATTATGTCGAGTACATGTTCTCACAAAGTCGGGGAATACCTCAAATCTTTTTCACCACCTGAAGCAGCGCCACGCCGCAGAGCACGCGCAACGCAAAAGGTTACGAACCCCGAGAGGACATCTTCTTCTTTGAATCAAGGCTAGACGCCCCCTGTTGGTATGTTGAAGTTCTGCAGGTTTACGTCCCACAGTCTGGAGAATATCTCAAACTTTTGACTCTATCTGCTCCTCCAGACTCCTCGGTCTTCTTTTCTCCCCCTCAGATCCCTCCTCTTACTGCACACACACTCTTATTTGACTTGTACTCATAATCCTCGGACCTAGAAAAGCTCGTTGAGAAGCTGTGAGAGTCCGTCTGACCTTCTCTAACTCGGAGCTCTTACAGCCTCATTTCTCCTCTCTCAGTTAAAGCTCCACAATCAGGACCATTCATCATCTCCAACTCCTCCCATCCCTCCTGGAAGATCTAAATCTGAGCACAGCCTCAGCCGAGGAAAGAAAACTGAATTACCTCTGAAGATCTCCCTCCCTCCCTCCTACTCTCCCTCCCTCTCTCTCTCTCTCCCTCCCTCTCTCCCTCCCTCTCTCCCTCTCTCCCTCCTCTCTCTCTCTCTCTCTCTCTCCCTCTCTCTCTCCCTCTCTCCCTCTCTCTCTCCCTCTCTCTCTCCCTCTCTCTCTCCCATCCAGAACAATAGGAGCAGCTCATTTGAAGCTCTTGATTTAAAATGCACTGTGGGCAGAATCTGTGGCTGTGGCGCTGGGAATACAGAGCTGCTGCTGTGCCGCCGCCGCCGCCACCGCCACCGCCGAGAGAAAACACGCTCAAAATATTCATCTTAATTAGCTGGATAGGCGGCGAAGCGACGCGGCAAACAGAGAGGAATATCTTAGCTGGATTAACTTCAGGGAACAAAGTTTGAAAGGAATCTTTGGCTGAGTGTGTGTTTGCGTGTGTGTGAGAGTGCGTGCGTGCGTGCGTGCGTGTGTGTGTGTGTGTGTGTGTGTGTGTGTGTGTGTCAGCCCGTCACAGATCCATCCAAACAGAAGAGGGAGCAGAGCCGCTGAGAGGCCGGGTCTGACCTGGATCAGAGTTTTCACCTGCAGGATCACGAGGCCGACAGTCGTCACAGAGCGACCTTCACAGAGCGACCTTCACAGAGCGACCTTCACAGAGCGACCTTCACAGAGCGACCTTCACCGAGGGTCCCAGAGCTGTCTAATGTTCATCTGAAGGAAGCCTAACCTGAACCCTTCAAAAGCTAACGATCAAAACTGACCAATCAGAGGGAAGGACAGACTGAGACGAGGCCTGAGGCGGGAAACTGATGAAGGGGCGTCGTAAACGAGGCGCAGACCGATGATGACCACTTTAGTCAGTCTAGGACATCCACGGAGTAACCACGATCGTAGCTGATCGTAACCATTCAAGTTAACGTGTCGATTTACACCGACGCCGGAGCATGGCGGATACATTCAGCACAGATTAACCCGTGCTGGAAAGGAAGTCGGGCACAGACACAAAATAAAACATCCGGCTTCTTTTCAAAATAAAACACGAACGACGAACAAGTGAAAGGTTTTTAGACGTCATTTCACCCCGATGACACCATGGATGAGGAGATGCTGATTCTAGAAGTCTAGAAGTAGATTTCCTCCTCTGGAAGGACACAATCTACTGCTTATATGTCTATGTGTCTGTCTTTAGAGAGACGACTCGTTATCGTGAGATTGAACGTGAATCTGCGGGTTCTTGTGAGTTCTCCTGATTCCTGATGTCTGTAATCCGCCATGAAATTCGCCTCATAAATGGATCTGGTTGGAACTGGCGGACGGTGAAAATCGCCGCCGTTCCGGATGTGGTGAAAATTGGGGGTCATATGGGTCTCAGGTTGTAACCAGTGAGCTGAAGTGGCGCCCCCTGCAGTTGTTTTTATTCATGCTGTCATATTAGTCGGAGTAAAAATGAGTATGACCCTGGAAGGTTTTTCAAAGTAAAAGCCTGAAGCTTTTATTTTGGCGGTGTGAAATAAGAACCATGTTGGACAGATTGTGTGTGATTCTGAGCCGACTTTCATCTGCAGTCCTTCCTCCTCTCCCCGCCTCCGTCTCCCTCTCTGATTCGGCGTTATTACCATCATTTCCCTGCGGGATAAATCGCTCTGCATGCCGAGTGTGTCATCACCCCCCAGGACTCTCCATCAGCTCTGCCGGTCCGGCACGAGAGCGGGGTAATCCCCGCTGATCGGCCCTCTTCACACAGACAAATAAGTCGTCTATCATCAGCGCTGATTTCAGCTCACAGTGAAGGAGAATGAATTTCCAAAGACAACAGGCTCCGCTCCGCCGCTCTGATGAGCAGAAACCTCCTTCAGATCAGAGTTTTAATAAAGTTTATAGTTGGAAAGAGGAGATGAGGCAGAAAACGAAGCTCTGAAAACTGAGGAGGAATCCTCCGAGGGTCATATCGATTCGTAGGAGGAGAAACAGATTCTCCTGAAAGCAGAAGGATTATTATAACAGCTCCAAAAGGCAATTTAATTTTGAGCTCATGAAAGTGATCGTCTCTGAAAAACAGGCTGATCTGAAATTTGAGGTTTTTATTAAAGCTGCAGGTTTTATTACATTTCTGCCGTCAGTCCAAAATATTTTCATAAGACGGTTTAGAAGATGATTTTCATCAGAATGTGACGTTATATTTCCCAGAGGAGTTGGAATATAAAAGGACGACAGACACTTCTTCTTCAGAGTTCAGGGCCGAGACAGGAAGGAGAAATCGGAACCCGAGAGAATAAAACGACAACCTGCGCCGATTATCGACAGGAACGAAGGAAAAGTTCAGACTTTTCAGGAAGCACCCAGAAGATGAGACACGCAATAACTGCTTTGTCCACAGGGGGCGCCGAAACCCACACAGATAAAAAATCTCTCACAGGAGCTTTAAACAAGTCGTGGTCAAAAGTGAATCAGGACGTCTGTCCGACATCTCCGACCAATCAGAGTGTTTCTTTTTACACAGCTAACTTCAGCCTTTGTACTCGGACGCCACATTTAACTCCTCCTCTTCTACCACTTTGCAGACGATTTGGCGCTCATTAAGCCACACCCACTTTGCACTTCAAGAATTGACAAACAACCTGCATGAGCAAGGAGCAAAAGTCGGTCTACGTATAAGCCAAGAAAAGACCAGGGCCATGACCGCCGCACAACATCAACACCGTCCACCACAACAAGACGTCGAGTACGGCGAGAACTTCACTGACCGCAGGAGCAACATCTCGACTCCTGGAGACGTGGAGAAAGACGCACAGAAGGTTGCTAAAACAACGTGTAGACACTTCTGACGTCTGACACCGACCTGCTGTTGTTGTTGAAAAGACCCATATCGCCCCCTAGTGTTGGGGAGGAGGACACGTTCACGTCAATAATTCAGTTTTCTCAGCTGCATGTAAACGAGGACGAGGAGAGAAGTCTGATTCAGAGAAAAAGACGAGTTATGAGGTTAGTCTGATTAAACTGAGACTGTAAAGGACCCGACGGTGAGACCGGTCCAAACTCAGGATCGGAGCTGCAGCTCTCTCAGACTGAATTTGTCGTGTTCGTTGAGGTTCTTTGTTGCTCCTCTTCTCTGTGGAGTGTGTTTCAGATAAACGTGTCTCTGTGTTTGACGCTCTGGGCGGTCCAGACTCTCGTCTCCGTCTGTTGGCTTGTTTTGGTCTGTGGTGACAGGAAGACGACAGAGAACAAGGTCGGCCTGACAGATGAGTGTGAGCGCAGCGTGCTGATCTGAGGAGCAGAGGCAGACATGGAGGTGGTCTCAGGTCGATTCTCCTCAGGACCTCCGGTGTGATGAGGTCTGAGGAGCTCCTCTGTCATTACTCAGACCCACCGTGTGAGGCTCAGAATCTCCTCTTTTGGGGGGTTTGGGTCCAGGCCAGTATTTGACACCCGCTGTTCTCCGACAGGAGGACAATCACGTCCTCTGACCCTCTCTCTCATGAGTGTTTGTGCTCTCTGTCACAGATTCACCGAGTTCCTGGAGCCCTTTGAGAGAGTCATTCAGCCCGAGGAGATCTGGCTCTACAGGAATCCTCTGGTGGAGTCAGACCACATCCCCAAGAGGGTCATGTTTGTAAGTACTCTGTCTAATTATGCTGCTCTCCTAACGAGCTCAAGTGTCACTAAATCGTCTGTGAACGACTCGCTCTTCTTCGGAGAGCAGAGATCGTTCAGTCAAGACCTCCTCGACTTCATTTCCCCTGATGGATCTGAGAGAGGTCTGAAACCTCTTTAGAGATGAGTATCGTTTTAATATGGTCTCCTTCTCAGGTTTACAGAAACACAGAGTCCGGATCTGAGAGGGTTAGTGTTTTTGGCTCGGGCTGATACCTGCAGGATTTCCTGCTGGAGCGTCAGAACCACATGAACGGGCTCCAGCGTGTCTAAAATAACTCCAACTGGGCTTCGCAGAGCTCACTCCAATAATCTGATGATGAGTCACGCTCTGCTGTCAGACTCTGGACGCTTCTATTCCGGTGAAATTTGGCAACTCCAAGAATGTAAACAAACAAACCTGAAGACAGAGCCGGCAGGATTTCTATCTGCCAGAAAACTCCCACAGTCTGACGAAAGAACCGAGTGGGTGACGAGAATCATAAAGAGCTGACCAAGACTCGCATTTAAGGAGCCAGGATATTTAAGTAATAACAATAATTATAATAATAATAATAATAACAATAATAATAATAATAATAATAATAATAATAATAATAATAATAATAACAATTATAATAATAATAATATTAATAATAATAATAATAATAATAATAATAATAATAATAATAATAATAAAAATAATAATAAAATAATATTATTATTATTATTAATAATAATAATAATAATAACAATAATAATAATAATAATAATAATAATAATAATAATAAAAATAATAATAAAATAATATTATTAATAATAATAATAATAATAATAATAATAATAATAAAAATAATATTATTAATAATAATAATAATAATAATAATAATAATAATAATAATAATAAAATAATAATAATAATAATAAAAAAAATAAATAATAATAATAATAATAATAATAACAATATTAATATTAATAATAATAATAATAATAATAAAAATAATAACAATAATAATAATAATAATAATAATAATAATTAAATCAATAAATAATCATAATAAAATTGATAAATAATCATTATAATAATGTTAAAAATAATAAATAAATAGATAAATACATTTTTCTATAATAAAAAAATAATAATCATGCCAACAACAACAACAACAATAATAATAACAATAATTATAATAATAATAATAATAATAATAAAAATAATATTATTATTAATAATAATAATAATAATAATAATAATAATAATAACAATAATAATAGTTAAATCAATAAATAATCATAATAAAATTGATAAATAATCATTATAATAATGTTAAAAATAATAAATAAATAGATAAATACATTTTTATATAATAAAAAAATAATAATAATGCCAACAACAGCAATGATAATAACAACAATAATAATAATAATAATGATGATCATTATAATAAATACTTATTTTCGGCAGCTCAGTCTTTAATTCACTTTATTTCCAGCTGTGCTCAATACTTGATTCTGATTGGTCAAAACGCCCTCACACAGCTGCACAGAGTCAGAGTTGATCTGTTCCTGATCTGCAGGGTTAAAAACTTCACAGCTGACTTTATTCTGTGATTTCAGATCAATCTGTCCTCCTCCTCCTCCTCCTCCTCCTCCTCCTCCTCCTCCTCCTCAGCTTTATCTGATTCTCTGGTTTTACCTTCAGGATTAAAAACAGAAGTGGGAAAACTCGTTCAGATCAAATGAAGATATCCCGTTTTTTTTTTTTCCTGATCAGCAGGTAAAACTGTGAGTCTGAATGTCGGTGTAGATTCTCACTCATCCAGGTCATGGTTAAAAACAGGCGACTGGACTGTGTCGAGTTGAGAAGACGTTTCTCCTCTTATCCAAGAAGCTTCTTCAGTTCTAAATTTGATAGTGTGAGGAGCAGATATTTATCTTACAGACAACGACTGTGAGTCTGAATCTGGTTTTCAGATCCCTCCTAAACTCCTCCTCCTCCTCCTCCTGCAGGAGCGGCGGCCGTTTCCCTCATCCTGTCCTGAACCCGAGTATTTTTAGACTGACCCACTTCTGAGATCTGCTGGTTTGGCTTCAGATGTTTGCAGACAACAGCCCACATCAGAGCAGAGAGAGTTCACTAATTAGAGCTCTGTAAAAGATTCAAGGCCAGGACGCTCTTCTGCTGACCTACAGGGGGCGCCAACACCGACACACAGCTCGGAAAAGCCTGTCTGTGATCGATCCCGAAGAAGGAGCAGCAGGTTTCCACCCCGAAACATCCGTGGATGTTTGTCGTTTAAAAAACCAGCTGAAAAACAGAGAGGAAGGTTGACTCTGAGGTCGGCCATTCGACGAAAAAATGATTACGATATACTCTGTCGTATCGTCCGATCTCGATTATTATCTCGATTTTTTAAACTGGCAGTTTTAAAGCATCAGTTCAAGATTTTAGAAACACGGAGTAAATAAACCGTGTTTATCTCCACGGTCAGTCGCTCGGTTTACTTCCTGTTTACTTCTCCAGAAACTTACAGAAGGGAGCGGGAAAAGCTCCACTCTGATTGGCTGTTGTGACCCACATGTCCACCATATTTGACAGCTGATCACCGTGATCAAACTCAAATTGATCAGGATCATATAATCGCCCAGTCCTGCTCTGAGGTCGCTCCGTTAAAGAAGCTCGTTAAGACTGACGGGGTGATGGATCGATACGATCAGACCGGGGGGGGACGCTAAAATAACAAACGTGATCATTGACCATGATCAATAATCAATAATCAATAATCCTGTCAAATAAACCAAAACTCCATCATCATTTCAAACAGGCGCGCACACACACACACACACACACACACAGATCTGCGTTCATAGATTCTGCACACGTTCTCCAGAAGCTTCATCAGCAGGAGTGACTGAAGGCTTGGGGCCGAGCTGAGCTGTTGGGTGGGATTGCATCAGGCTGCACAGGTGTCATCATGGTGCGGTTCTGGTGTCATCGAGCCGAGCCGAGTCCAGTTCTCCACCATTTCAGCCAATCATGGCTCAGACTGATCTGGGGCAGCTGTAGACCTCCATCTGAGAGCCGTTTGATCGAACCCTGGCAGCAGCAGCAGCAGCAGCAGCAGCAGCAGCTCAGACCTGTCTGCTCAGGGCTTGTTAAACTCACGTCTGCGCGCGCTGACAGTCTGTCTCTCACTTCCTGTCCCATCCTTCATTCATCCTGAGCAGACGGCGTGCCGAGCTCAGACTGTCAAACACGTCAGGCTCAGCAGCTCCTGGAAACTTCAGTCCTGCTCCAACTTTCTCAGCTGATGAGTTCGGTCTGTTCGGTGCTGCTCTGAGCTTCTGTGTCAGATTACTCAGGTCTGGATCAGATCATCATGAGACGCCGATGATGGCGCTCTGCATGCCGACACAAACACCAACAATCGAAGGTCGTCTGTCTGTGGACTCATGCAAATTCTGAATCTTGATCTGGACGTAGTTCCCGTTTCCCAGGGAAAACATCTCAACCTTCTTCTCTTCATAAAAACAGGATCTTGTCCTCGATGTAGAGGAACTTTTGGTTCCAGACTGATTCCAGCTTGAATGAGCCAATAATCGGACACAGTAAACTTGACCCGTTCTCACAGGAGCTTCAGTTCTCCTGGTCCAAAGACAGACTCTGGAGCTGTCCTTCAGATGGACCCTTTGACTCAGAGCCTTTGAGAACGTTTCAGAGCCTTCAGTACTTCCACTTGGTCCAGCGCTCGTCAGCGCGACCGTTTCACTCACATTGTAAAACGTATTTAAGGTCACATGTGCGAATAAAAAAATTAACAAATGTTTTTTTTTTCTTGTAAATACGGCGGTGAAGTTAGTTTTAGGTTGGATATATTTTCCTGTAAATACGGCGGTGAAGTTAGTTTCAGGTTGGATATATTTTCCTGTAAATACGGCGGTGAAGTTAGTTTCAGGTTGGATATATTTTCCTGTAAATACGGCGGTGAAGTTAGTTTTAGGTTGGATATATTTTCCTGTAAATACGGCGGTGAAGTTAGTTTTAGGTTGGATATATTTTCCTGTAAATACGGCGGTGAAGTTAGTTTCAGGTTGGATATATTTTCCTGTAAATACGGCGGTGAAGTTAGTTTTAGGTTGGATATATTTTCCTGTAAATACGGCGGTGAAGTTAGTTTCAGGTTGGATATATTTTCCTGTAAATACGGCGGTGAAGTTAGTTTTAGGTTGGATATATTTTCCTGTAAATACGGCGGTGAAGTTAGTTTCAGGTTGGATATATTTTCCTGTAAATACGGCGGTGAAGTTAGTTTCAGGTTGGATATATTTTCCTGTAAATACGGCGGTGAAGTTAGTTTCAGGTTGGATATATTCTCCTGTAAATACGGCGGTGAAGTTAGTTTCAGGTTGGATATATTTTCCTGTAAATACGGCGGTGAAGTTAGTTTCAGGTTGGATATATTTTCCTGTAAATACGGCGGTGAAGTTAGTTTCAGGTTGGATATATTTTCCTGTAAATACGGCGGTGAAGTTAGTTTTAGGTTGGATATATTTTCCTGTAAATACGGCGGTGAAGTTAGTTTCAGGTTGGATATATTTTCCTGTAAATACGGCGGTGAAGTTAGTTTCAGGTTGGATATATTTTCCTGTAAATACGGCGGTGAAGTTAGTTTCAGGTTGGATATATTTTCCTGTAAATACGGCGGTGAAGTTAGTTTCAGGTTGGATATATTTTCCTGTAAATACGGCGGTGAAGTTAGTTTCAGGTTGGATATATTTTCCTGTAAATACGGCGGTGAAGTTAGTTTCAGGTTGGATATATTTTCCTGTAAATACGGTGGTGAAGTTAGTTTCAGGTTGGATATCTGACGGACATTCTCTGAGGATCTACCGGTGTCTTCTCACTCTCCATAACCGGGAATAACAACAGCAGCGCGGTTAAATCTACTCGACACCCTCACTGTCAACGTCGGTGTTGAATAAGGGACCGTCAATAAATTACCGGTTGATGTTCTCAGAAAAGGCTGTTTTCCTTCAATAGCTTCACTGTCATGTGACCAAAAGACCTAAAACTGATTTCTAATAATAGTACTAAGGTCGATCAATAAGACAAACATTATTGATCAGTTTTCATTGATCCCCTAAAGTTCTTTGTGTGCTCCTAAGTTGAAAGAAGTTGGTGTCTGCGCTCCTGTGACCTGAGTGAAGGTTGGTGCAGATTCTCCACCTCCCCTGACATCCTTTATTAAAATGTTGACACTTCAGATTAGCTCCACTGTCTGGGGGTTTCAGCCTGCAGCAGGTCCTTCAATAATAAAAGAGGGAAAAAGACTCAGGGGTTTTTTCTTGACCACACGCTCCGAGATAAAACATCCAGCAGTCAGGTTTGCTCAGCGTCATCTCTCTGACAGCCGCTCCGCTGGTGGACATCACTGTCTGTCCTCCCCCCACCCCCCCGGTGTCTCTGCAGACGGCTGTTACACTCAGCAAACAAGATGGGAGATGAGAGGGTCTAAATTTAGACAGAGGTGATTTATCTCCTCAGGATCTTCTCGCTGTCATGACGGTTAAAGGGATATTCCTTCGTAAAATTCAGGGTCAAACCCACCGTAACCCCGAGTTAGACCCCGCCTCCAGAGATGAATGTTGTCGACCGCTTCCTTATAGTTATACCAACTTTAGTAACGACCGCAGGATAGAAATACAGAGAGCCACGCCCCCAACCAAAACGCCACTCTATAGCCACAAATAATGCTCAGAACAGCACCTAACTTCATCAACAGGACATATAGGGTCACAGACATAGTACTATATTCAGAGTTGTTCTAAGAAAACATAAACTTAAGCGGGGGCGTTTCTCCACCTCTGTAGTCTATAAACTGGGCCAATAAACTTCTACTGTAGTAAAATGAAAAGGTAAAGGTGTTTTTATTGAGCCGAATTATCAATAAAATCATGATTTTGTTAACAGGTATGGATTTATGTGCTGTCGAGTTAATATATTTGAACAAGAGCACAGTAAAGTTAAATCAGCTAATTTTCCAATGAGGTTCTGTTACTGAACGGAACTACACCATGTTTTACTGAGGTTAGTACATATAGGGTCACAGCCATAGTACTAGACACCAAACATCTTTTTAACTTTGACTCATTTCTTTAGCAAAGAGACTAAACACAACTCACCTACTCTCTTCCAGCAGACGCTTGTTTGTAGAGAGACCTCAGGCCAGTCCATTACAGACTACAGCGGGGTGCCGCAGCTCAAGGAAGAACATTTATGATCATTTCTTCATGGAAATACAATCAGACCGAGACGCTAAGACAGAAGAACTACAGCGTCTGTAAAATGATTAATATGGTGATTATTACTTCAAGGAAAAAAAGCAAAAAGAGGCAAAATCCTAAAAAACTAAAAATCCAAAAGGACAAAATCCACAAGACGACACTGGAGTTATAAAAACTGAAACGGAGTTTTAGCTGCTTCAGTTTCAAAGATTCTGAGGCTGAATAATGACTTTAGTGCTGAGGAGCTCAAATCCCTGATCAAACAGAAACCTCCTCTGAGCAGGGGAGGAGGAGGAGGAGGAGAAGAAGAAGAGGAGGAGAGGAGAGGGGAGGAGAGGGGAGGAGAGGAGAGGAGAGGCCCCGTAATGAAGAGTACAGAGCGTCTGATTGGCCCTCCGTTCACCTCGTTATAATTAACTCAGAGTAACACGTCGTTTCCTCGCCGCTCCCCCCAGGCTGAAGCCGTTTCATCGTTAACTTCGCAGAGCGCCGCAGAGCCTCTGATGACATCATAACCTTACACTTCCTGTCTGTCTTTAACGCTGTTTCTCATCTCCTCCTCCTCCCAGGCCATCTCCTTCCTGACCCCGCTGGCTGTGATCTTCGTGGTGAAGATCATCCAGAGGACGGACCGCACCGAGATTAAAGAGGCCTGTTTAGGTAGGTGACCTCCACCTCAACATCTGACACACCTGAGACACAGCAGGTCTCCACCTCCGGACCATCAGGGGTCTTCAAATCTTCAAAGGGGTACTGTAAAGTCAGGGGTGTTAGTTTTCACACAGCTGCAGCACCGTCATCAGCTGTTACCATGGTGATCCCAGTTTGTGTCTCTGAGCTTCATGAAGGTCTTCCATCAGACTTCCTGCTGTTTCCTGGAGCCTCTAAAACCGGGTGAAGGCTGACCCCCGACCTCCACCTTCATCCTGATCGTCTCCTAAAAGGTCGTAACCTCCGATCGTAGCTGATCGTAACCATCCAAGTTAACGGGCTCTATTTTCGTGTCCGCCAACGACGTGGTAGAGGGTGGCGGTCCCCACACAGTGATATTTTCATCTGGAGGAGCCCAGCATACAGCTACACCGAGGTCCGCCAAGCTGGGCGTGGCGGCGTGGCGGGGGAGGTGTCGCCAGAATCAAAACAGGTCTCTGCTGTGTTAAACCCACTCCACGCCCTCTCTGCGACTTACCAAAATACCAAAGTGTGCTTGGGCACGCTTTTTCGGCACAGCTGCCCTGACTTACGCCGGATAAATTCAGCACAGATGAACCCGTGCTGGAAAGGAAGTCGGGCACAGACACAAAATAAAACATCCGGCTTCTTTTCAAAATAAAACACGATTAAAACCCCGATGACACCATGGATGAGGAGATGCTGATTCTAGAAGTCTAGAAGTAGATTTCCTCCCCTGGAAAGTAGAACACTCATCTACGTTAGTGCAGGTTTGATCCTCTTTAGTGATTTTTGATGCATTAGCTGAAACACATGTACAGAGCGTAGATCTATTTACACTAGAATACTCGCCCACATCATCCAGAACAGGTCCATGCAAAGCTGGTCATGACTGTAACTTCATGCAGATGAAGCAGCAGCTCCGAGTTCCTTCACTGTGGATTAAGAGGGTTCATAAAGTCCTCACAGATGAATGAAGGTGAGGAGGACGCAGGTCTGAGGTGGTGAGCAGAAAACCGAGTCTGAGTTCATCTTCTGATTCTCGCTGTGAAGTTTCTTTTCAGAGATCTCAGTTTGTGTGGGGAGCTCTGCAAGTCTCTTCAGGTCCAGTTTGTGGGCACCTAACAGTTATAAATGAGACCCAGGATTGAGGACAAAGACCCTCTGAGAGACCAATTACCGGCTCCCAGGTACAGCTGTGGGAGGACTCCACTTTATCTGAAAACTCCTGACAGATGAAACGGCTTCATTTCTGTCCTTCAGAAGATCAACCTGAGAGTCAGTAAATGAGTCAGCAGAGGAGCAGCTGCTGGTCCGGTCTGTCCCCAAAGTCTCTCTCAAAACCAATTTACACCACAACCGGAACAGCAGCCATTTATGAGGCGAGTTTCGTGGTGGATTACAGACAGTGGTTATCACAAGAACTCACAAGAACCTTCAGATTCACGTTCAATCCCACGATAACGAGTCGTCTCTCTAAAGACAGACACATAGACATATAAGCAGTAGATTGTGTCCTTCCAGAGGAGGAAATCTACTTCTAGACTTCCAGAATCAGCATCTCCTCATCCATGGTGTCATCGGGGTGAAATGACGTCTAAAAACCTTTCACTTGTTCGTCTCCGCCCGAGTGTTTTATTTTGAAAAGAAGCCGGATGTTTTATTTTGTGTCTGTGCCCGACTTCCTTTCCAGCACGGGTTAATCTGTGCTGAATTTATCCGCCATGCTCCGGCGTCCAGAAAAAATAGAACTCTTGTGATCAGCTGAGGAGTCCGGCGATCCGCAGAGGAACGGAAAGAAGTCGGTGTAAATTGACACGTTAACTTGAATGGTTACGATCAGCTACGATCGGAGGATACGACCTTTTAGGAGACGATCAGGATGAAGGTGGAGGTCGGGGGTTAGAGACAGACAGTGAGACCTTGGGTTATGGAAGTCTAGAGCGTCAGTTTGGTCCCTGATCAGAGACCCCCTCCTGGTCTGGTTTTAGTCTCAAACAGCAGCTGGTGTCTGTTTGGGCTTCAGGTCTGCAGATGTTTCTGAAGATCACAGAGCATTAAGACAGTTTCACACCAATCCAATTAAAGAGACACACCGAGATGAATCTGTGTGTGTGTGTGTGTGTGTGTGTGTGTGTGTGTGTGTGTGTGTGTGTGTGTGTGTGTATGGGGGGGGCTGAGTGCATCAGTGTTCAGATTACAGATCAGTGTAGAAGGTAACAGACCCATTAGGACCCACAGAGACGCTCTTCTACAGGAGAACAACATCCAGAGGAACAGGGAGCCAATTATTCCGACACTTCCCTGAATGTTCCCGGTTTGAGCAGCACTTTGAACCGTCGATACCTCCAGACCTAATGAGACACAAAGATCAGCAGAGCTAATTTTCAGCTGTGTCTGCACTTTCAGAGTAGATTACTTCAGCTCCCTGCAAACCTGTTTCATCTTCATCCCTGAAATCACAGAAACGTTTCTGTCGGAATATTCTGCTGAGGTTTGAAGATCTGAGATTTCTGCACAGAGTTTGAGATTCCAGCGTCTTTATGGAGAGAGCAAAAGTTCACTTTGAAGTCGTGGTGTCTCCATGTGTACACGAAATCTGACCCCGATCTCCACCTTCATCCTGATCGTCTCCGAAAAGGTCGTATCCTCCGATCGTAGCTGATCGTAACCATTCAAGTTAACGTGTCAAACGAACAAGTGAAAGGTTTTTAGACGTCATTTCACCACGATGACACCATGGATGAGGAGATGCTGATTCTAGAAGTCTAGAAGTAGATTTCCTCCTCTGGAAGGACACAATCTACTGCTTATATGTCTATGTGTCTGTCTTTAGAGAGACAACTCGTTATCGTGAAATTGAACGTGAATCTGCAGGTTCTTGTGAGTTCTCCTGATTCCTGTTGTCCACCATGAAATTCGCCTCACAAACGGATCCTGTAGGAATTAAAAATCGCCACATTCAGGACGAGGTGGAAATCTCAGGTCAAGAGTTTAAAGTCAGTTTTCTCAGGTGGAGTAGAAGCTGCTGCAGTCAGCCTGTTTGGAGAGTCTCATCCAAAGATCTGAGGAGAACCTGAGGAGCAGCTGAAGAACATCAGAGGAGGTTCAGAGCAGACGTTAGCAGGAACCCTCCAGAAATCCACAACCAGCAAGAGAAACCTGAGCTGAACCGGACACTTCAGGGACAGACTAGAAGTCCTCATGGAGGTCTGAGTCTGCAGCAGTCCCAGAACAGGACCAGAAGAATCTGAGCCTGTAGGACTTAGAGCTCAGAACAGGTCTGAAGAAGTCTGGGACTGTATCAATCTGAGACTACAGCAGTCCAGGACCATAGAAGTCTTTCAAACCCATGTCAGTCTGGTCTAGTTAAGTCTGAGCCAGTCCAGGTCTACATCAGTCCAGGTCTACATCAGTCCAGGTCTATATCAGTCCAGGTCTACATCAGTCCAGGTCTACATCAGTCCAGGTCTATATCAGTCCAGGTCTACATCAGTCCAGGTCTATATCAGTCCAGGTCTACATCAGTCCAGGTCTATATCAGTCCAGGTCTACATCAGTCCAGGTCTATATCAGTCCAGGTCTATATCAGTCCAGGTCTACATCAGTCCAGGTCTATATCAGTCCAGGTCTACATCAGTCTAGGACTGTAGCTCCATCGTCTCGTCCCTCTGTGTTTTTCAGACTGAATGTTTGATCATCATGTTTTTTCAGGTTTCTTCTGTTTCTCTTCGTGAATGACTCGGATGATGATGATGGTGATGATGATGATGGTGATGATGATGATGATGATGATGACGGTGACGGTGATGATGATGATGATGATGACGATGATGATGACGATGACGATGACGATGATGATGGTGATGATGATGATGATGACGATGATGATGATGATGATGGTGATGATGATGACGATGATGATGACTCTGCAGGTTTCAGGTTTCTGTTTCGCTCACCATCATGATTCACGGCGTTCAGACGGAGTCATTTCGCACTAAGTGAGACAATCCGAGAGTTTCTGATAAAAAAAGACTTCCTCGTGACTCACGGAGACAAACCTCCTGCTGCTGGATCTTAGACCAGGTTTTTGATGGTCCCTGGTGTCTGACCAGGCTTGGATCTTAGACCAGGTTTTTGATGGTCCCTGGTGTCTGACCAGGCTGACATGAGCGTTCAGTTTCTTATTCTCTGAAGACTACAGTCATCAGGAGTCGTACCGTCTCTGGTCACCTCTGGTAAAAACGGATCATCAGTCCCTCCAGGTTTTAGAAATGTCGGAACCATCAGCCGCTTCGAAAGGATTTGACATCCTCCAAACTCAGAGTGAAAGAAGGTCCAAACAGAAGAGGATTTATGGAGGCAGAGATCATGAAGAGACATCCTGCTTTATAAGTCGGATTCCTTCCACTCTGCAGAAACTCTCTCCTTCTCTGGCAGCAGAAGTGTGTCAGTGCAAACGAACAGGAAGTAATGAATACCCTGATGACCATCAGCAGACTGTTGGCTGTGAGGAGGAGCGGCGGCTCCAAGAGAAGACGGACAGGGATGATGACGGGTCTGAAAGTACCAACAGAGGCCTGCAGAGAGGTGCGATCACAAACTCTGTTCCTGCACCTCGGAGGATTTTAACGCACCTGCTCTGAAATGGCGTTTTAATTTCCCCTCCTTCACCTGCACACCTGGACGTTTCAGATACTGCAGGTTTAATCCAGTAGAGAGGGCGGTGTCTCTCCTCTGAGCTGAGGGACGGTCTGATAAAGAGAGCTCAGAGTTATTCAGCAGCGTGATGTTGTCTCTTCCCTAATCTGCACAGATTAACAGACTGTTAAATGGACTGACACGGAGCTCCTCTCTGCAGCTCAGAGACTAAATCCATCTCAAACTCAGCTGACCTGAACACTGAGGGGGTTAAACTGTGTGCAGGAGTCTGGGTAATGAAGAGGCTAATGATGATTCTACCTAACAGAGCTGAAGTGAGGAGGAGCAATCGTTTCCAACCCTGCAGAGACTGTCTGAGAGGAGAGACGCTGATCGGACTGCTGATGGCCACGGCAGTTCTGTTAGATGGACTGAATCACTAGAATCAGTTCACTAAAAAGATTCGTTCACCAAATCACAGAATCATTGAGTGGGAGGAGCCTGCGACCCCGACCTCCTGAACTGAACGGTTCAGGATTCAGTTCAGATCAGAGCTTCAGCAGACGAGAGTCTGTGTTTCTGTAAAAATGAACGTGTTTATAAGTCGTGATGTTTTTCATGTTATTGATCAGGTCTGCTCGATAAATCAGGGTCAGTGAGTGATTCGTTCACACTGATCATGAACCGTTCAGGGTCAGTGAGTGATTCGTTCACACTGATCATGAACCGTTCAGGGTCAGTGAGTGATTCGTTCACACTGATCATGAACCGTTCAGGGTCAGTGAGTGATTCGTTCACACTGATCATGAACCGTTCAGGGTCAGTGAGTGATTCGTTCACACTGATCATGAACCGTTCAGGGTCAGTGAGTGATTCGTTCAAACTGATCATGAACCGTTCAGGGTCAGTGAGTGATTCGTTCACACTGATCATGAACCGTTCAGGGTCAGTGAGTGATTCGTTCACACTGATCATGAACCGTTCAGGGTCAGTGAGTGATTCGTTCACACTGATCATGAACCGTTCAGGGTCAGTGAGTGATTCGTTCACACTGATCATGAACCGTTCAGGGTCAGTGAGTGATTCGTTCACACTGATCATGAACCGTTCAGGGTCAGTGAGTGATTCGTTCACACTGATCATGAACCGTTCAGGGTCAGTGAGTGATTCGTTCACACTGATCATGAACCGTTCAGGGTCAGTGAGTGATTCGTTCAAACTGATCATGAACCGTTCAGGGTCAGTGAGTGATTCGTTCACACTGATCATGAACCGTTCAGGGTCAGTGAGTGATTCGTTCACACTGATCATGAACCGTTCAGGGTCAGTGAGTGATTCGTTCACACTGATCATGAACCGTTCAGGGTCAGTGAGTGATTCGTTCACACTGATCATGAACCGTTCAGGGTCAGTGAGTGATTCGTTCACACTGATCATGAACCGTTCAGGGTCAGTGAGTGATTCGTTCACACTGATCATGAACCGTTCAGGGTCAGTGAGTGATTCGTTCACACTGATCATGAACCGTTCAGGGTCAGTGAGTGATTCGTTCAAACTGATCATGAACCGTTCAGGGTCAGTGAGTGATTCGTTCACACTGATCATGAACCGTTCAGGGTCAGTGAGTGATTCGTTCACACTGATCATGAACCGTTCAGGGTCAGTGAGTGATTCGTTCACACTGATCATGAACCGTTCAGGGTCAGTGAGTGATTCGTTCACACTGATCATGAACTGTTCAGGGTCAGAGAGTGATTCGTTCACACTGATCATGAACCGTTCCCTCACAAACCGCTGCAGTGACAGGAGGCTGCAGGTTTAATGCTCCACTTTGTTCCCCGCTGTGTTCTTCTGTCCGACAAAAACGATTCCAGAGAGTGTCGCTCAATGCGTGATTCGTTCACCGACTGATTCAGGCGTCGGCGCGTGTGGTCTCTTGTTCGCCACCTGCTGGCCTGGCGATGATGTTTCTCACTTCAGTTCAACTGAAGAGAGAAACGAACAAATCACTCAGCGAAGTGATTCGGTTCAGTACGTTCACTTAAAAGATTCGGTTCTTTTGAACGAATCGTTCGTGAATGACCCATCACTCGCTCTGACACAGCAGAGAGTCGAAAACTTCCAGGATCTGTTTGGAGCTCGTTGTTCCGTATGTTCTCCGTAGAGCAGCGAGGTTCCCCAAGGCTCCATCCTGGGGCCTCTTTAGTTCAACATCAAAATAAGTCACCAAAACAAAGAAGGTGTGGAGGTGAACCATATCTGGACCAGGTCACACTGGTCAGACAAGAAAAAGGACAGGCCCCTTTAACGCCTTTCCACGCCCCGTCATCACCTGATGGGCGTGCGGTCCTCTACACCGGACCCACCTTTTGATGGATGGACCCGCGGTCCAGATCCAGTATCAGTAGATCTCAGCAGGTCGTAGTCAGCTCCTGCACGCTCATCTGGAAACCGTGGTTCAGCCTTGGGTTTGTATAAAATCTGCTGGATTTATTTCATCTCATCCCTCCACGACATAATCCTGCGGTAATAAAGACGCTCTCTCAGGCGGGACAGACGCCGTCGGCGTTTACGTCCTGGCTGCCAGCATACAGTCAGAGTAAATCTGCTCTCCGCCGTTGGCAGATGTGAGTCGACGGTAAAGCGTTTGAGCGTGATGATGTGAAAACCCGAGGCGGAGCTGTTGGTCATAAATTTGTCTCTAAACTCCTCAAGCGTCTGTTTCTGCTCAGACGCTCAGAAGCTGAGCGTAAATCCTCGAACCGTCCGTCAGGAAGCTCTCATGAAGCTAACTGAGCAGGAGGGGGCGGGCTGCCAGATCTACTCCAGTATCATTGTCTCCATGAATCATATCTGCAATGCTAATGCCGCCGCCGCCGCCGCAGTCTGTGAATGAGTGAGTCTGTAGACTGTGTCTGACTGTGGCTCTTCCTCCTGCAGCCGTGTCCTTGGCTCTGGCTCTGAACGGCGTCTTCACCAACACCATCAAGCTGATCGTCGGCAGGTAAGACAAACCGGAGGCTCTCGTGGTCACAGAGAATCACTGACTAACATGGCCGCCGAGTTTCAGAGAGTGAAAGAGTGTGACTTTAGCGTTACGATGTGTTCGCCCGCCGCCGTCGATTTATCCCTTCAGACTGACGTCCTCACCTCCACGCCAGCTGCTCCCTGACGCTCGTCTTAATTAACCAGAAATTAGGAATGAAAATTAGAACAAGAGTTTTGAAAACAAACATTTATTCGTCAATATCGCGTTTTAAACGTCGCCGCTGTTGTGCGTGAAGGATAGAGGCGCCAAGACCCCCCGAAAAAACTCGGCGTTTCAGTCACCAAATCGGAAAAATGCGAAATCGGAGATGCAGACAAGATCGCTACATCGACTTAAGTTATTGAAGTGTTCGTCTGAATATGAGGTAAGCGCTAAAGTAACTTTCGTAGATGTCGCCATCTTGTTTCTGCCTCCGATTTCGCTTTTTTCCGACTTGGTAACTGAAACCAAAGACTGTTTATAAAATGGTCGCCGTCTGCCCCCTCCCTGAGTGAAACCACTCTGAGAACAGCGCCCTCTAGTGACAGGCTGCAGTATAGGTCATAGATCCCGCCTCCTTATGGAGCCGTGGACAAATTTAGATCCAGTGGATCAGTCTGGGATTGGTCATCGCGGTCAGCCAATCAGAGTCAGTCGAGTTTATAATCATGAAAAAATAAATACAGAGGAGTGAACGGGCAAAAACGAGCGTGAGGAATGTCAAGTGTGGCGTGTGGCGTGAGAATGGGTCACACTGCGTGACTGTCGCACTCATCTCTGTGACTAACAGGATGTGGTCTCTGATTTCAGACCCAGACCCGATTATCTCCAGCGCTGTTTCCCTGATGGACAGGTGACCACCAAGATGCTGTGCACCGGAGAGCCAGATCTCGTCTCGGAGGGACGCAAGAGTTTTCCCAGCAGCCACTCGTCCTGTGAGTGTCATCAGTCAGGGCGAAACACCGCCAGCTCTGCCACACAACGCCAAAACACACTGAACTCAGTCTGACTCAGTAAAACGGCGTCAAACGGGCGCTGTTCACCCAGCTGGAGCGTGAAAAACACGCCAACATTTACAAGAAGAAAAGACGCCAAATCGGCTGATAATGAGCAGACCTGGCAACTTTGGTCCCTGTGAGGCTGTAGATGTGCGACTTGACTGAGCGTGTTTGGGGGTGTGGCGGGTTGACTCGGGCGGAAATGAGAGTCAGGAAACGGGGGCGAGGAAAGGACAACCTACCGCCATCGTCATGTCTCGTCGTGAGGAGCTGGTTTATAATAAAGCCGCTTATAATAAGCAGACTTGGCAACACAGTTGTTGTCCCGGTCGGCGCATAACCTGCTCCCTCATGTGGCGCTCACACCAAGCGCGAGGAAAACCATCTGCTTGGCTTATTCGCGCGAATCTAGACGTGTGAATGAATAATATTTACTCGCTTCATTCGCGCGAACGACTCGCTTCATTCGCGCGAACGACGCGCTCGACGCCACACCTTCTGCTCCCTGAGTGGCTAAAGTCATAACTGTGGTTCTCGTAGACGCGCTGTCGTAAAACTGACGATGTTCTTGTAGATGTCGCCATCTTGTCATAAAACGCTGAAACTAGCCGCCTGCTGGGTGACCTTTGACCTCTTCGGGCCGTATTTCTGGCGTTTTAGAGTCTGACAGTGAAACATTGTCCCGGTCTGTCCTGATCGAAGGTCTCAGCAGTTCAGGGTCTCCTGGTCCATGGTAGGGGAAGGTCCCGCCTCCTTCGTCTCTGATTGGCTAGAAAAGCTGGACTCCGATTGGTTATTGGCTGTGAAACGTCACAACAGGATCAAGCCGAGCGCAGGCTGTTCTGAATCTGTGAACCCGACAGACGACGACGTTTCACAGCTATAAGGAATAACCAATCAGAGCCCAGCTTTTCTAGCCAATCAGAGGCGAAGGAGGCGGGACCTTCCCCTACCCGGTTGTGGAGCTGTGACGTCCCCCTGACCTCCTGCTCAGACTGATGTGGGACTCTGGATCGTTCTCGCTGCAGCAGAGTTTTAATAATTCAGGTGTTTGTGTGGAGCAGCAGACTGAGCTGAGGGCCTCACAGCTGCTGCTGAGGAGGAGGAGGAGGAGGAGGAGGAGGAGGAGGAGGAGGAGGAAGTGGCGGTGGCGTGATGTGGTGAGTCAGGCCAGTTTAAGAAGAAACATCTTTGGAATCAGGACGCAGAGATTAAACCAACGAAAGGTTCCTCTGTTTCAGTGTTTCTGCTGTGATATATGAGACACATCTGTAGATCCTCCGGAGAAGGTCAGTTCTGGTCCTTTGGACACTTTCACACAGACTGATGGTCGAAAACACGAACAGATCCATCGATAAAGAAAGATTTGAACGGTCATGGGTGAGGAAGGGGAGGGCGGACTTTGGGTTTTCTTCTCAGAGGTGTTTTGATTTCAGACGCAGGTTTTCATTTCTATTTGTTATTTTCAGCAGAATAAAAACGTTCTTATCGTTAACGATCGTTTACTGCGACACTGCAAAGGCTGAACATGAAACAGAACAAGTCAGGACACTGAACCAATCAGAGGAGGCGAGAAAACCGAATTGTCGGCTTATTCCGATTAAGACCGGACAACTGAAGGTCATGTAAACACTTTAGTCCAACTATAATCAGAGTTTAAGAACTCTGATTAAGACTCCCAGATAATGAGATTGTAATTCGATTTTCTCTACCATGTAACCAGCGTAGTCGGAGTATGATCGGCCACGCCCCCATAACCCCGTAACAAACCCCCAGAGTAGAGGAGTAGCGTTGGTCTCCTCTTTAGAAAAAGTAGCGCGTCCATCATGTCGGACAAAAACAACGCTGTACGATGCTCCATCTTCTTGTTTCTCCAAAATGCCCAGCAGCAGTTGTAGACACTTCTGACGTCTGACACCGACCTGCTGTTGTTGTTGACGGTTGGATGGGGTCGGAAACAGCGCCGCTGAAAAGACCCATATCGCCCCCTAGTGTTGGGGAGGAGGACACGTTCACGTCAATAATTCAGTTTTCTCAGCTGCATGTAAACGAGGACGAGGAGAGAAGTCTGATTCAGAGAAAAAGACGAATTATGAGTTTAGTCTGATTAAACTGAGACTGTAAACGAACTGAGAGAGAGAGAGAGGGCTGTGACCAATCACACGATAGAAGTCCCTCAGACCGCCATCAAGAAAAATAAGTCCATGAGGAGGTGGGAGTCCAGGACGGAGCTGGTCTTTGGACTGTTTAATGTTGTTTTCTCTCTGCTGGTGGAGGTTCTCCTGAAGGTCCTCAGATCAAAGGTGGATGGATGAGTTTAGTGTAAAGACGGAGCAGACAGTGAGTGTTTCCTGGAGGTACGAGGAAAGGTGTGGGCTGAGCCTGATTTCAAAGAGCTGTTTTAGGCTGATATTAAAGCTGCTCAGACACACACACACACACACACACACACACACACACACACACACACACACACACACACACACACACACACACACACACCTGATCTGAAGTGAAAGACTTTGAAGTGGGAGCTGGCTCCCATCAGGGAGCGGGACGCCGCTCCGTGGATTACATTCATCCGCTCTAATAGCCTTATGTTTTTACGCCCTGAGACTGGAAGTGATTGAGAGAAGAGAGCGGCGGGAACGGAGGCAGGAGGCACCCAGCTCGCCAAGAGAGCGCCAGAAATCCAATTTCCTGTCTGTGTCCCTTAACAGCAGGACAAAGATTGTTGCGCCACACATACGTTAGAGAGCTTCACCCTGATGAATGTGGCGGCGGGCGGGGAGAAGGCCAGACGGACGCTATTCAAAGTGGCGTCTGAGAGTAATGAAACATCTCTACCTGAAAAAACAGACTGCAGCTTTAAGGAGATGATACCACCGCTCCGCTCCAGGAGGAAGCTCCGAAATGACGGCGTTAACGATGGTTTCAGATGTGCCAAAGATTTACGTAAAAGAAGGAAACATCTGAGTTCAGAGGAGAGAGTCTCCTTCTTCTGCTGCTCCTCAGAGTCCAGGAATCAGGGACGTTTACGCCGCTAACAGGTCTTTATTTTTATCTAATTTAGTCAAACTGAAAGTTCATTTACTCCAACATGACAGTGAAAACCCAACGGTCCACAACCATCCAAGTCCAGGACCAACCCCGTTATATTCATGAAGATCCACACGATACCTCAGACCTGCAGAGGCTGGAGGATCATGTCAGAGCGGGTTTGGACCGGTCCTCTAGAGAACCGGGACTTTTTAGTGATCCGGCTTAGAGAAAAAGTTTATCCGTATAATTTTTTCATATCAGTCGATATCTGAACACATCAAAACCTCCAAAAACCAAAATACCTCCACACCACCGACGTTTTCCTAACGCCAGTGTTGTGGTTGACATTGATGTGGTCATCTGTTGAGCCTTCATGGTCATTTCTGTCGGGGGTAGCACTCATTTTCTTTGTTTCTCACCAACAGTGCTGTCGGCTTCACCTGTTAAAGTGCTATGGTTGGGTGGAGCTGCTGTCTGCTACGACGCTGCAGTTGGTTGATACTTGGTTCTAATTCAGAACATGATTGGTTCAGACCCGGAGACACGCCCCTTTTTATTAGTCGACCAAAACATGTCAGAATGACGACTATTGAAAAGGATATTGATCATGTTTATATTGATATTGAGGAAAATTAATTTTAGATATTCTTTCGTTATCGTTTTATCGCCCAGCCCTAATCCGGCTCTACAATAACTGACTCTTTCAGTACTTTGGTGGTTCCCAGAAGTCCCAGGACCTGGAGAAGTCTCTGTTCTAAAGGGACAAGGACCAAAACCTGGACTGGATGGTCCTGATCTTCAGGGCATTAAAAACAGACGGGACTCTGGAGTGGAAATCACCGCATGGAAAAGGACAACTGGACTGATGTTAGTCGAAACGTCTCGAGTCAGTCCAGTTGTCCTTTCAACGAAGAACTGGAAATCATAGATGCTGCATCCTCAGTTTTAAAACTATATCTATACAGGTTTAGGGGCAACATCAGCTGCCATCATGACCCCCAAAACCAGGACCAAAGAGACCCTGAACCGCTGAGTTCTGTGGACTGTAAACAAAGTCCAGAGAGGAGAAAGTCCAGAGCCTCCATCCTGACCTGGACTGATAAACGGGTGAATGAAACGCTCTGACCTTTGTTTGACGTTTACGGCTCCGATCGGGGATTCAGGGCTGAATTATCTGAACAGGGTTGGAGATATAAACCGTGTCGTTGTCCGCTTTTATCGCCGTGATTTAGAGGAGTATTTATGGATTTGGTTTGAGCTTCTGTGACTAAATATAAATATGCAGAACAGGAACTATTATTGCATTATTTCACAGATGAAACGGCGCTCCGACGGTTCGCTCTGATTCTGTTTGTTTTTCACCTTTAAAGACAGTTTGAGATATTGAAGGAGACGACGAACAGGAAAACAAACAGATTAATACTCACTCCCCTGAACACACACACAGCAGGCGGTAAACAAACAGGCCGTAAAGCATCCGTACAGCTGTCTGCTGCTTATTCATATTCACACGCTCGTTAAACTGTTCGATCTGATCAATTATTCTGAACCTTAGAGAGTGACGAGTCCTCCGAGACCAACCCCATCACTCCGCTCCGTCTCCGAGGTTATGAGTCTAAAAAAGCAGCGTTTTTATCCAGACTCAAGAGAGAAGAGCACTTCAGCTTCTTCTGATATGATTACTGCAACTAAAACACACACACACACACACACACACACACACACACACACACACACACACACACACACACACACACACACACACTCGCAGAGGTGGAGGATCAGCTGGTGTAGGAGTGAGGCAGCGGTGAAATGGAGCTAATGATGAGTTTGTGTCGGGACCGATTCAGAGGCTGAGTGCTTTTTAATATTCATCCCTTTAGTGGCGAGGCTGAGGTCTGTCAGCGTGGACTCTTCGGGGGTCAAAGGTCAAACAGAAACGAGAGGAGACGGGGGGTGTTTACAGTCAGTCGGTGGTCGAACAGCGTTGGTGGATCAGTTACAGTTTAACAGGAAAAAACAGGAAGTAAAACCTCAAAAACGAGGAGGAGGAGGAGGAGGAGGAGGAGGGACAGGGATGGGGAGAGCGAACGATCGCCGCGGGCGTTACTGAGCGAAGATAAAATTCAACATTTTAAATCTGATCTGAGGAGTTCCTCGAGGCTCTACATTCGACCCTCGTCACAGTTCATTCAGACTGAGAAAATCGTGTTATTGACGTGAACGTGTCCTCCTCCCCAACACTAGGGGGCGATATGGGTCTTTCTTTTCAAAACGGCTAACTGAAAAATCCAAACGAAAAACAAAGACAGGAGAAAACCACAGGTAGGGAGGACATGAGCGAGCGACAAACAAGTAACGAGGGACAGGAGAGACACAGGTGAGACACAGGTGAGACACACAGGTGAGACACAGGTGAGACGCACAGGTGAGACGCACAGGTGAGACACAGGTGAGACACACAGGTGAGACACAGGTGAGACACACAGGTGAGACACACAGCTGAGACACACAGGTGAGACACACAGGTGAGACACACAGGTGAGACACAGGTGAGACACACAGGTGAGACACACAGGTGAGACACACAGCTGAGACACACAGGTGAGACACAGGTGAGACACACAGGTGAGACGCACAGGTGAGAGACAGGTGAGACACAGGTGAGACACACAGGTGAGACACACAGGTGAGACACACAGGTGAGAGACAGGTGAGACACAGGTGAGACACAGGTGAGACACACAGGTGAGACACACAGGTGAGAGACAGGTGAGACACAGGTGAGACACAGGTGAGACACAGAGGTGAAGGAGGGAAGTTAAATTTACAGGAACACATCGTTTTATTTTCATCAGCTGGTATCAAAGAAACCACTCTGCGCTCCTCCTCCTCCTCCTCCTCCTGATGGATCTCCTCTGAAACAGGTCCGTGTTTATAAGACTGAGGACCAGGGGTGGACCCTGAGCCCCCTCTTTAACCACATATTGATTTATCCAAGAACTGATGGTGGTCCTGGTCACTCCATCATTCAGCGAGTCAATCGATCCATTTCTCAGATTCAGGATCTTGTTGGTGACCTCCAGTCTCCTGAAGCGGCTCACGGCTCGCTTCGTTTTCAGGTGTCAGAACTTACTGACCCGGTTGGACCTTCAGTTCCTTTCTAATCCAGAGTTCAGCTCAGCTACAGTTACAGCGCCAATAACTGAGATTAAACTGTGAGATTAAATCAAACGGAGACTAAAACTGTGAGATTAAATCAAACTGAGATTAAACTGTGAGATTAAATCAAACTAAAACTGTGAGATTAAATCAAACTGAGATTAAACTGTGAGATTAAATCAAATTTAAACTGTGAGATTAAATCAAACTGAGATTAAACTGTGAGATTAAATCAAACTAAAACTGTGAGATTAAATCAAACTAAAACTGTGAGATTAAATCAAACTGAGACTAAACTGTGAGATTAAATCAAACTAAAACTGTGAGATTAAATCAAACTGAGATTAAACTGTGAGATTAAATCAAACTAAAACTGTGAGATTAAATCAAACTAAAACTGTGAGATTAAATCAAACTAAAACTGTGAGATTAAATCAAACTGAGATTAAACTGTGAGATTAAATCAAACTAAAACTGTGAGATTAAATCAAACTAAAACTGTAAGATTAAATTAAACTGAGACTAAACTGTGAGATTAAATCAAACTGAGATTAAACTGTGAGATTAAATCAAACTAAAACTGTGAGATTAAATCAAACTGAGATTAAACTGTGAGATTAAATTAAACTGAGACTAAACTGTGAGATTAAATTAAACTGAGACTAAACTGTGAGATTAAATCAAACTGAGACTAAACTGTGAGATTAAATCAAACTGAGATTAAACTGTGAGATTAAATCAAACTAAAACTGTGAGATTAAATCAAACTGAGATTAAACTGTGAGATTAAATCAAACTGAGATTAAACTGTGAGATTAAATCAAACTAAAACTGTGAGATTAAATCAAACTGAGATTAAACTGTGAGATTAAATCAAACTGAAACTGTGAGATTAAATCAAACTGAGATTAAACTGAGATTAAATCAAACTGAGACTGTGAGATTAAATCAAACTGAGATTAAACTGTGAGATTAAATCAAACTGAGACTAAACTGTGAGATTAAATCAAACTAAAACTGTGAGATTAAATCTGAGTTGGAGAGGAATGATTTTGATGACGTGTTCGTCCCTGTTTTTCAAAGATGGCGTTCTCAGGAAAGGGGCACTCATCAGAGTCAGGTGTGTGTGTGTGTGTGTGTGTGTGTGTGTGTGTGTTAGAGAGAGCCTGATTGGCCCTGATGGAGATCAGCTGTGTGGAGGTTTCTAGAAGGTCTTGGGCTTCAGGTCTCCTGTGATCCAGTGCAGTGGTAGAGTTTGTTGAATGAATGAATGAATGAATGAATGAAGCTGGGACAGTCGGTTCCTTAAAGTCAGGGGTGGACAGTCATGACCAACGAGGGCGGAGAGGCTGCAGGAGATTTCACTGATGACCTCCAAGCAGAGAACAGGAACTAATCAGTGAAATGACCTGGTGGAGATTTGGGTTTGAAGGAAAACCTGCAGCCTGTCGGTCCTCTCGGTCCTCCATGGTCCTCTCGGTCCTCTCGGTCCTCTCTGTCCTCTCGGTCCTCATGGTCCTCCATGGTCCTCTCTGTCCTCTCGGTCCTCCATGGTCCTCTTGGTCCTCTCTGTCCTCTCGGTCCTCCATGGTCCTCTTGGTCCTCTCGGTCCTCTCGGTCCTCCATGGTCCTCTTGGTCCTCCATGGTCCTCTTGGTCCTCTCGGTCCTCTTGGTTTTTAATGATGTTAGTGCGATAATATAAAAACATGTCGACAATAAAAGGAAGATTCAACTGGACTTAGACGTTTCACCTAACGTCTCAGCTAGGTCCAGTTGTTCTTTCAACGAAGATCCAGAAATCCTAGATGCTGCACCCTCAGTTTAAAGAGTAGTTTCCTGTAGTTTTGTTGCAGGAGTTTGATTCTATCTTTGAATCATTTCTACTAAACTTAGCAGGAATCATCGAACAGGAGCGATGAAATCCTCCAGGTTTGGGAGAAACATCTCATCAGGTTTTGAAAACGTCCTCCTGATTTGAGCCAAAGTTCTTCCAAAGTCTCTAACCTCCACCTGTCTCCAAAGAGCGCTCGCTCAGACTGGTTTCCTGGCCGGCAGGCTCGGAGCAGACCTTGTTCTTGTTTGGAGCTGTGAAACAGAGAGCCCTTCACACTCCTCTCTCGCTCTCATTAGTCATCTTTGTTTTGTCTCAGGGGAGCGTCTCTTCAAGGTTTCTTAAATGCATGAAGTGGGTTCATTATTCAAACGTTTCCTCTTCCGTCAGGCTCGGCTCCGTCCTCTAACCTGTTGGAAAACATCCTTCAGTGTTTAAAGAAATCACTGAGTGTTTATTGTGGCGTCCTCGCTCCGCACGCTCCACCGCTGAGTTAATTCTGCTAATTATGTATTTAGAAATCTGTCTGTGTGTGAGAGAGAGACACAAACACACTCATGCATAATTCACCTCCGCTGAAACGTTTCCTCTGATTCTGGAGATGTTGATTCAGTGTCTGCAAACATGTTGTGTGTTTGCAGCAGCAGCAGCAGCGCTGAGAGGAAGCCGCGCTAACGTTCACTCTCAGGACACCCTCAGACACTCAGAGAGGAGACAAACCTCTGCAGACAAACTGAATATTGATCCTTCAGACAAAAACGACAAAGGTGAGCAGATGAACGGAGATCCTCTGCAGGTCATGTAGTCATCTACTGCGATGTTCTCCGTGACGTTTGTCCACCTGAAGAATCAGGAAATCCAGCTGATCGAGTCGTTGGAGAAGACTCTTTTTATTTAGTCTAAACTCTTCTAATATCAGTCAATAGTTATTAGTTATTGATCATTTGGTAATATATCGATATCTCTGTGTTCTCTTCTGTCTGTGTCGTCAACATTTGAACATTTTTGAGCGGTCCGCTCTTTCTGACTGTAAACAAAGACGTTCTCCACCTCCTCTAACCTGATTGGTTGTGAGGCAGACGCTGCTCCCCCGTGTCGTTCAGGAGCCCAAACAAAGTTAGCGTGCTACAATATCGGACAGTAGAAACCAACCAGAAAGTTCGGAAAATTGTCAGGAGTGGATGGTCAGGAGTGGATGGTCAGGAGTGGATGGTCAGGAGTGGATGTTCAGGTGTAGATGGTCAGGTGTGGATGTTCAGGTGTGGATGGTCAGGAGTGGATGGTCAGGAGTGGATGGTCAGGAGTGGATGGTCAGGTGTGGATGGTCAGGTGTGGATGGTCAGGTGTGGATGGTCAGGTGTGGATGGTCAGGTTCGATCTCAGGTGTGGATGTTCAGGAGTGGATGGTCACGAGTGGATGTTCAGGTTCGATCTCAGATGTCAGTATAAAGGTCGTGTTTCTCCGTCAGACTGCTCGGGGTTTTCGATCATCTGCTGGTCCTCCATGTTGACGTGGACTCTGTTTCTCCTCATGAGTAATGGTCTGAGCTGAGTCGGGTCCAGCAGAGAGATTTACGGTCCTGCGAGGCGTTTAAGGAGCCGGGTTATTATAGTCCTGATGAACGATCAGGAACCATGAAAAGAGCGAGTCGGCTGTTGGACCCAGGAGCTTCTCCTGGTGGGTGGTGATGACGATGATGACTGTGAGCTGGATGTTTAATACCACAGGGTTTCAATTATTCTCCTGCATATTTAATCGTCTCCCTCTCTCTGGACGGATTTAAGCGGCTGAATTTATGAAGAGGATTGATGTGGTTCTCAGTGGATTCAGTTTTTTTTCACTTCTGCTCCAGTTGAGAGTTCAGCTGCTCAGACGGTCTCCTGGATCACCTGAAGGTTTTTAGAGTGAGGGTTTCTGTGCAGCTTCATGGACGGGAACTTCCTTCTTCAGACTGAAGATAAAAATCTCAGAGTTTACGTTCGTGCGTGTTGAACCTTTTCCAGGGTTCGATAACCGGTTTTTATTTTTGACCTTTTCTGCACAAAAACTCTGCAGAGCCACCGAACAAATTCACTTCTCCACTCAAGGTTCAAAACGTGAGATAACCTTCTTCTTCTTCTTCTTCTTCAGGTAGATCAGGTACGAAGCGAAGCCGCAAAAAATCATGTCGAAAGGAAACCTGGGTGAGAAGTCGACTAACGGAGAGCTGACGGAGCGTTACTGCAGATCTCAGTCAGTCCGTTTCCATGACAATCAAGAAAACCGAATTATCGCCTTATTCCGATGAAGACCGGACAACTGAAGGTCATGGAAACACCTTAGTCCGACTAAAACACCCAGATAATGTGATCGGAATTAGATTTTCTCTACCATGTGACCAGCGTAGTCGGAGTATGATCGGACAATGAGCCACGCCCCCGTAGACCCGGAACAAAAACACCAGAGAAGAAGTGACGCTATCACTTAAAGAACTTATGACTCAGAAGCAGCTGTGACATCGCTGAAACACGAAAGAACGTCGACTTTAGGAACGAGGAGGAGGAGGAGAGCGCCGTTATTCTCTCTGTCGGGACAGAAAAGTGTGTTTTCAAGTTTATGGACGGTCGAAAAACGAGGAACAGAGACATTTTTAAAAAAGGTTCGGAAACAGCGCCGCTGAAAAGACACATATCGCCCCCTAGTGTTGGGGAGGAGGACACGTTCACGTCAATAATTCAGTTTTCTCAGCTGCATGTAAAGGAGGACGAGGAGAGAAGTCTGATTCAGAGAAAAAGACGAGTTATGAGTTTAGTCGATTAAACTGAGACTGTAAACGGAGCGCTCTGGTCTCTGAGGAGGAAGCAGGACTTTCCTGTGACAGACGGACTCCCATCATCCTCCTCTCTCTGCAGGGTCTGCTCTGGACCAGCCTCTAGATGCAAAGTTCATGACCTTTCATTTCTGGTTTAGTGCAGGTCGTCTCAGCAGCCACAGCTGCAGGAAATAACCACCGATGATCATATCGGCACACTGGCTGGATGTAAAACGTTTAAAAAAGAACAAATGAAATTAAAATCTAGAAAAAACAAAATCAGTGGAGAGAGGGGGACGAACCCGCTCCAACCAGAAGATCTCTGATTTCACAGTGAGATTCTTCTTCAGCTCTTTCCTCCTTATTCCCAAAATAATCCACGCACACTCGTGTCTGGGACGCCACATAAATAAGCGTGCGGTTAATGGTGCAGATATTTGTAAATGAGCTGAAGACCGACACTAAGTTTGACGATTAGAGTGCAGGTCAGCTCTGGAACAGGAAGGCAGTGGAGTGAAACCCTCCGTAACGTCTCCCATAATCTCCCAGATTTCCATAACGATCATGTAAACAGAGCGAGCTCGTTTCACCGCTTCACTATATCGGCCTGAAGCGCCTTTGTGAAAACACTCAGGTCTTAATGGAGCTCGCCGCCGCCCCCTGACAGCAGGACGTTTCTAAGACAGCTGGACTCCCATCATCCTCCTCTCTCTGCAGGACACACTCATGGACCAGGACCCTTCCAGTCCCCCGCAGTCTGAGGGCTGATGGTTAACGGGCGGCTGATGACCCAGTCTCAGCGCCATCACAAACCTGTAATCCACATGATTAGACAGTTTCTCTCGGTCTGACCTCCGAGACCCCCGTCAGCTGTCACACCTGGGCGTTCACTGGGACCCTGAAGCTCTGCAGAAACCAGGACTGGTTTCCAGTTTGGTTGTTGGAGCAGAGCAGTAAATAATTTATAACATCATCTAAATACAAATTCACATGAGAGACGTTTTGGACGATGTTGTTGATATAAATCATAAACAGCAGTGGTCCCATCACAGAGTCCTGAGGGGTCCCACTGATCATCGAAGAGCTCGAAAACGCTGAGGACTGTGAGAGGACGAACAGCTGACAGCTACAACCACAGGTCGTTTCAAACACTAATATGACGACTCCAATAATCATGATCAATATTATTAATTAACCCCCCGCTGACTCTACACACACACACACACACACACAAACACACCCTCACCAGTCCAGAAGAGACTCCATCTGATCCTCCTGCAGTTATTGATTACTGATAATAATCATCATTGATAATATTAGTTATTAATAATAATGATTATTAATGATCATAATGACACACCAAACGGAGAACAGAGACCATCAGAGTCACTTTTACTGTCATTAGGATTTTAATTAGTAAAACAGCTGTGAAAACCCTGGAACCTGTATATTGATTTTATTGATTATATTGATTATATTGATTATATTGATTTCATTGATTATATTGATTATATTGATTATATTGATTATATTTGTAATAATGCTGCGCTGATTCCTCCCCCGTCCCCATCCCTGACGTCTCTCTCTCTCTCTTTGTTTCAGTCGCTTTCTCCGGTCTGGGCTTCACCTCCTTCTACCTGGCGGGGAAGCTGCAGTGTTTCACGGATCAGGGTCGGGGGCGGAGCTGGCGCCTGTGTGCCATGGTGCTGCCTCTCTACAGCGCCATGATGATCGCTCTGTCACGCACCTGCGACTACAAACACCACTGGCAAGGTCTGTTCTTGACTCCCAGACACCTGATTGTTTCTGCAGATCTCCACGGAGACTGTCGCCACGGAGACTGTCGCCACGGTTACATGTGCGAAATTTCTTCATCTGATTAAAAATTTGAGGGATCGGAAAATCCGAATCCACTGTTTATAAGGCCGCAAAATAAAAAATAATCCGATCATGACGTGCGAATACATGAACCAAGCTTTGATCAGATTAGAAGCTTTTGGACAAATTTGTCTGATTTCACTAAAACAACCGCAGAAGAAGAAGAAGAAGAAGAAGAAGAAGAAGAAGAAGAAGAAGAAGAAGAAGAAGAAGAAGAAGAAGAAGAAGAAGAAGAAGAAGAAGAAGAAGAAGAAGAAGAAGAAGAGGAAGAAGAAGAAGAAGAAGAAGAAGAAGAAGAAGAAGAAGAAAAAGAAGAAGAAGAAGAAGAAGAAGAGGAAGAGTTGTATTTACGCCTCTGCTGTCAACAAACCAACCAACGCGGTGGCGGCTCTCGTCATCCGATTCAGGATTTTTCCCCCATGGTAAATGTTGTCACTAGATGGCGCCCTTCCGTACTTATTTTACTGTTCTGTCAACGGTTGTACTGTGCGTGCAGATGTGACATCATCACCTGCGGTCGTGTTAATAATGAAACCTCCTGAACGGACCTCGATCAATAAAGAGTGAAGATCGAGTCACGTAAGAAACTCACGATCGGAATGAGTGTCGACATGGACGCGTTTCGGAATAACGATCGGCATAAACCGCCCCGCTCAGTCAGAAAACAATTTCTTTGCGATTGAGCCGGATTGGATCAGAATCTTCGGATCGACATGCGTGGATGGTCAGGTGTGGATGGTCAGGTGTGGACGGTCAGGAGTGGACGGTCAGGAGTGGATGGTCAGGTGTGGATGGTCAGGTGTGGATGGTCAGGTGTGGATGGTCAGGTGTGGATGGTCAGGTGTGGACGGTCAGGAGTGGACGGTCAGGAGTGGATGGTCAGGTGTGGCGCATTTATTCCGAACGTTCATGTAAAATTACTGTGGACTGATGAGTGTGTGTGAGTGAGTGTGTGTGAGTGTGTGAGAGTGAGTGTGTGTGTAATTCACTTTCCTCTCTGTTGTTTTCCAGACGCCGTGGTCGGGGGCGTGATCGGTTTGTTGTTCGCCTACATCTCTTACCGGCAGCACTACCCCCCCTTCCTGCACTCGGACTGCCACCTGCCTTACGCCAGTCTGCCCGCCGCCACCGCCCACACGCCTCCCCTCAACCAGGACGACTCGCAGCCCACCGACAACGCCACCAGCCTCCCCTTAGAGGGTCTGACCGAGGGGCCCGTATGACTAGTGGCCCCCGGGGACACGCCCCTGCACACCCTGACCAAACCACCGAGTCCCCCTCCTCCCCCCTCCAAGTGACTGACTCGTTTACATTCCAGAGGACAGAAACACACACCTGCTCGCCGCATCATCCCTCTGTCACACCTGCACACACACTCACACACACACACACACCTGACACACACACACTCACACACCTGCACACACTCACACACACCTGCACACACTCACACACACCTGTGCTTCAGTTTCTGTCGACTTTTCCTTTGAATGGGGGGGTGGGGTTAACTTTGTCGTTTCAAAAGTGGGCGGAGCGACAGAAAAGGTTCATAAATACCAACAAAATTAAAGAGGAGACCTTTTCTTCAACACGACGGACTGTCAGGGACACAGTAAGAAAAAAAGACTTCGTAAAGACTCACCAGAATAAAGTCATAAAAATAAGAATAAAAACAGACGAACTTCTTCATCTGTCCTGATACTTCTGACCGTGTGACGCTAAAAGAATTCAGTTTCTCCTCGTTTGTGAAACTGAGTTACTGAAGTTCAGCTCATGGAAACGCTCCACAGCATTTTAGCTACGACTTTATTCCCGTTAGTATTTACGAAGTATCCCTAACACTCTGTCGTATTTTAACTCCAGACCTCAGATTTGAAAAACGAGTTTTTAATCGTTTTAAACTTTGATTATTGATTTTAAAACAACATGATCAAACTGAAAACTGAGTTTATCGTTAAAAATGTGATTTCTGCGACAGGTTTGTAAAAAGTTCTGATAGAGGAACCAAAGGTCCAAACTGGACCATGAAAGAGGAGACAGGATAGAACCAGGATCCAGAACCACCAGACCTGAGTCCGTTTAAGGTGGACTGAGGGTAAAACTGTCCTGAGGTCTTATGGATCAAAATCTGACCCTCTTTTTGAAAATCCTGGTCTCTGCAGCCTCCTGTTCTCAGCTCCCAGTCCAGATCCAGAATCCCTGATGGTCTGGGGATTATCTGAGTCCATGTCCTGGTAGGGAGGTCTTTGATAGTCCGGTCTCCTGGATCAGCTTCACATTTATATCTAGATAAAACGGTTTAGTTTGATCGTTTCATTTGTTTTAAATATGAGTCCAGTGAACGGTTTTTCAGCGCCCCCCTTTGTCCGGCTCTGGGATGAGGATTATGGATTCTGATCTTGATCCGCGTCTGTGTTGGAGTTGGACTTAAAGCCTCAGTCTGTAGTCTTAAAACTCAAGGACTCATCTCAATACAAAGCCCCTCTGCTCTTTATCAGGGTGGTTGTCATGGCAACCTGATATATAAATAAATATATATATAAAAGCGGCGCAGTGATGGAGGAGAGCGCCGCTCTGTTTGTTTGATGAGAAGTTGATTCTGGTTTTCTGAGGCCGACATCAGAGCGGTTTGAAGGCGTGCCGCTCTCTGATTGGACGAGAGTCTGATGGATCGTCAAAACTCTGATTCAGTCTTTTCTACTGGACCCGACCGAACCAGAACCACTTCATATCAAACTCAAGAGACAGTCTGAACGAGTAATTAAGGATAAAAGAGTGTGGGTGTGGCATCATGATTGACAGCTCTGTTGACCAATAACCCCCAACCTCCACCTTCATCCTGATCGTCTACTAAAAGGTCGTATCCTCCGATCGTAGCTGATCGTAACCATTCAAGTTAACGTGTCAAACGAACAAGTGAAAGGTTTTTAGACGTCATTTCACCCCGATGACACCATGGATGAGGAGATGCTGATTCTAGAAGTCTAGAAGTAGATTTCCTCCTCTGGAAGGACACAATCTACTGCTTATATGTCTATGTGTCTGTCTTTAGAGAGACGACTCGTTATCGTGAGATTGAACGTGAATCTGCGGGTTCATGAGAGTTCTCGCGATCCCCGCTGACAGTAATGCGCCACGAAATTCGCCTCACAAACGGATCCAGTAAGAATTAGCGGGAGGTGAAAATGGCCGCCGTTCCTGATGCGGTGAAAATTGGGGGGTGAGTCGCCTAGTGGGCTGTAGACTGGACTCTCCAAAACCCTGAACTTAGACAGGACTCTGGACCCCCCTGAGGGAGCTCTGACCCCTGAAGGTAGTCGTGTAGATTTAAGGTGGAGGCGGCGACTCTGATCGATGACAGGCAGGTGGAGATGATGTGGAGGAAGAGTGTGTGTGTGTGTGTGTGTGTGGACAGACACACACTCAGTCTGATGGCGCATTAATCCTCATTAAGTGAGGTCAGACCTCATTAGGACTGTATGAGGATCCACAGAGTCTGGATCGGCCCCTCAAATCTGACAGTCAGGGGAGGTCAGGCGTTAAAACGGACAAACGCCGTCCTGGCGTTTCATTTAACCTTCGTTTTTTCGATGTTAGCAGCGTTAGCGTGTTAAAAACGGAGGTCTCTCTCCTCACTCTGCTCCCCCATCATCAACACGGCAATTTATTTCCTCCTCCATCCAAGAAATGATGGATAATTTTGTTGCCGTGGTTACCGTCTTTTTGCCATGGCTGCGACATTAAGGGGAAGGTGGAACCTCAGATTATCTCCAACCCGACCCAGCTGCTCAGAAAGCAAATATTTATTTGTTCTGCAGAGTAAAATCTGAAAACAGAGGAGAGAGAGAATCAGAGAGAGAGAGAGAGAATCAGAGAGAGAGAATCAGAGAGAGAGAGAGAGAGAGAGAGAGAGAGAGAATCAGAGAGAGAGAGAGAGAGAGGGTTTTTTTTATCTCGCTTTATTTCATCGTCAGTTCGTCGAAAACATGGATTCACTTTTGGAAAAACAAACATCTGAGAGGAAAAGGAAATCTTCATCTGCTGATCAATATTTATTCAAATCAGATCTCCGGGCATCCACCCATGGGCGTCTCTGAAGACCCTGTTTCTGTGTTGGTGTGGGTGGATGATGATGATGATGATGATGATGATGATGGTGTCGGTCAAACAGGCGGCGTGATAATTAGAAGTTATCAGCAGAAGAACAAACTATCGACCCTAAACTCTGAAAACTTGAACACACACAGACCCTGAAAACAGAGTGTTTACACAGACCCTGTTCTGATCCGGATCCTGGTTTGGATCATATCAGGGAGACGATGTTTACATGCACACAGAGAAACCTGTTCGTTTTTATCCTCCGATACATGATCAATATTTGTACGGCTGTGATTTTAATTCAACTGGAGCGAGTCAGAAACGGGAGGAAAAGCAGCAGCACGGCTTTATCAACGGGACCCACCTCTGTGGATATAGATATAAAGGCTAGATGTCTTACACACGCTGTTAGCCAATGGAGACCGACCTCCATACATGGCGGCCATCTTGCTATGGTCAGCTCGCCCACTCCTAACATTCCAGTCTATAGATAGTAATAACCATAGATTGATTAATTTTAAAAAAACATAGATTGATTAATTTAAATAACTATAGATTGATTAATTTAAATAACCATAGATTGATTAATTTTAAACAGATTTTCAAACAGCTTGTTTTGTAACAAACCTCAGAGTTTTAGTTATGTTCCTGTTTACTGAAGAATAATTGTAACCATGGATTTACATAAATAAACATTAAACAGATAGATAGATCAATAGTTATAGGTCTACACACACAAGGCAGTTATATTAAATCATTTATATATAAAACATTTAATCATTCCAAATATGTTATATTAGTAATATTTCTATTACAGGCAGTTTAGAAATCATGAACAACTTCAGTTTTGTTGAATCTAAAGATAATTTCTGCCTCTTTAACTGACGTAAAATTACTGGGTCAACTTTGTAACTTTGGTCTCAGTCACAGCGAGTCTGTTAGTCAAGTTAGACAGCTGATAAACACAAGAACATCCACAAAGACTGACACTTAGATCAAAAATATAGTTTGTCATAAAAGAAATTAAAATCTTGATTGTGGTCTCAGCCTTGACAAAGTGACTCAAAGTTAACCCAAAGTGAAACAGCTGTTGTTCATGATTAAGTCTTTTTTTCTCAAAGTAAATCTGATATTTTAATCTGTCCAAACATCCCGACTCAGAGCCTCGTTATTAAGGTCTGTAATAAACTGAACCGTTTATAAATCTGTCAAGATGTCAGCGAGTTATTGATCTGATTACTCACCTCCCGTCAGCTACCATAGAGCGAACCAGAATGGTAAACTGGAGTAAGATGGCCGCCATGTAGGAACGCTGCTGACTCCGCCTCATAGTCATCTAGCCTTTCTTATAGATATCTATGGTGGACAAACCGGTTTATAAAAGTCCAGAGGGACAGGTACTCCAGTGAGACCAGACGACCCTCCTCTGACCTCCCTGTTTTCAGATGGAGGCGTGTTCAGAGTCGTCTCCCACAGCGATGCAATAAAACGATCGATACGAACCTTTGCCCTGAGAACAAAGGTGCTGGACTCTGTACCGGACTCTGTACTGGACTGCACAGACTGGTCCTTGGTGGTCCTGGAGAACTGCGTCCAGGATTTGGAGATGATTGTGAATCGGATGTTTGTCCCTCAGTTTGATGTTTTTTTCAGCGGATCACGTTCGAACCTGCAGACCCGTCCATCCTTTGGTTTTCATCCGGTGCTATTGAGAGTTTTGTAGCAGTAGTTTCACCTTTTCAAACGGTGTCTGCGTCATTTTGAAAAGAGCTGAATAATTTTCTACAGAAAAAGAAAATATCCTTAAAAATAAAAACACGGTTTCTTTTGTTGGGCTCAGGAGCTCGAGGACGGCCCGGGCGCCAAGCTCGCTGGTTTTTCTTGAATCTTTTTCTCCTCCCAAGGACCGACGGGATGAAAGTAGACAAAAAAAAAAAGAGAGAATAAAGAAAAAAAGGATAAATTATTATGAATAGATGTCTGAAGAAAAAACGAGTGTAAGATTTCAGAGTCTTTGTTCATGGCATGCTGACTCCATTTGTGTGAAGAGACTGTTTTCTATCAATAAGCATGTCTGGCCTTGAGATATTTTGCTGTTTCTATTCTGTCTGTAAAGTTAAAGACTGCAGCTGTGTGAGCTCTGAGTCCCATGGATGTTCTCCTCCTCCTTCTCCTCTGACGATGAAGATGAGGAGCAGGAGGAGCAGGAGGAGCTGCTTCACTTGAATCGGACTGTGAAAACGTCCTTCACTGTATGCAAATAAAGGATCTTACAAGAACCAGCAGCAACATCCAAAATCCAGAGGGAGGATTTCAGCGTGAAGGACCAGCTGCTGTCAGCCTGAACGTGTGTGTGTGTGTGTGTGTGTGTGTGTCTGTGTGTGTGTCGTGGTTTTCAATTGTGTTTCTCTTGTTTAGACAGTTTTCAATAAACTGGTATGCTGATGACTTCATGACTGGTTTTTAAGGAGCTGCGCCCCCTGCTGTCAGTGTTGTTTATGGAACAGAGAAACTGTGAGGGTTCGAGTTTCATCAGAAACATTTAACCTGATTTACATCGTTAGACGAGAGACGATCAGGACCAGAAAAAATATCGACAGGAGGGAGATTTTTTCAAGTTTCATTTCGACATTAAAGTCGAAATTTTAAAGAGTCAAAAGAAAAAAATAGAAATTCAGACATCAAGGTGAAAAATTCAGGATTAAAAAAATGGAAATTTTGTGAATAAAGTAAAAATTTTGACTTTAATCTCAAAAACTGGATTTAATCTCGAAATATGGAGATTATATTTGTAATCTTGAAATTTTCAACTTTAATCTCAATTTTTTTAATCTAGAAAATTTCGACATTATTCTGGAGATTTTGACGTTTTTACTCTTAAATCTTTTAACTTTAATCTCCTCCCTGTAATTATTATTCTCTCTAATCCTCCTTCATATCGTTAGTTACAGCATAGACGTATAACTGAAGACATAGATGTCCTTTGGGTTTCAAAGGGAAGAGAACCACCATGTTCCTCTACGGTATCAGACTCAAACGTTAAAACCATGGACCTTCTGCCATGGTGGTCTCAGGTGGACTCAGGTGGACCTTCTGCCATGGTGGTCTCAGGTGGACTCAGGTGGATCTTCTGCCATGGTGGTCTCAGGTGGACTCAGGTGGACCTTCTGCCATGGTGGTCTCAGGTGGACTCAGACAGACAGACTCTAAATGTGACCGTTCTCCTGGTGGTCTACAGAAGTCTACATTTGTGGACCTTAAGTCCCACAAAGAGGCTCTGTGAACCCCAGGGTGGATCTGATGGTACCTGAGCTGTCAAAGTTTTGTAGGTCAGTCATTTATAATAGTATCCCAGAAGTTCTGGTTCAGTCTGGATGGACCTGAAGAGTCTTTAGAGACCTTTGAGAGCTGCATGAACGGAGAAGAATCCAACCTGGAGGTCAACATGATCCTACATGATCCTAAAACAGGCTGAGTCCGATTTTTGTGGTTCTGCTAAAGTTCTGCTAAAGAAAACGGTTAAATGAGGGAAATGAAGGACAAGTCCTGATCCAGCAGGACCTCCAGGTTCCTGATGGTGGGGCTAAATGCCAGGTCTACGTCCTTTAATCACAGACTGTCAGTTGTTGTTGATGTCCGGTCTTGGTCTGTGACCTCTGTGGTCCCGTCTGACCTCTTCAGGCATCTGACAGACCGGGACTTTGGTGTGTGACGGTCCCTCCAGTCAGGTCGAGGAAGACTGCTGCAGCCCGTCATTTCTGGGACAAATCCAGGAAGTCTCAAATCCAGAGAGCCTGAGGTACCGTCAAGAACCCCGTTCTGATTACATTATTAAAGAAATACGATATTTGATATCTTAAAAGTCTCTGAATCCTCGCCACAGCTGACATCTTTATTCAGTTTTAATCTCGCCACTTTTCCGACATATAAAAGAATGACGACTCGCGCTCGTTTAGCGGCGTGCTGCTCGCTGCTGTGTTGTTTCCGCCGACAGACGGCGACAAACAGAGAGGTGAGTTTTTCAGGGCGGGGGAGTGATTCTTCCTTCAGGACTTGGCGAGTGAACGACATGAGTCACCCAGAGAACGACGCTGTGACTTCAGCAGCAGAGGAGGGGAGGGGCTAATGAACGAACTCCTGAAGAGCGCCGCTGTGTCGCTCACTCGTGTACGGCGCTCCGAAGGGCTGACTGACTCAGTGAACGAATCTTTTAAACGAATCATTTTACTGAACAGATTCTAAAGATTCAGTCAAAAGAACTGATCTTCACATCACTAACAAACTACGGGTCAGTCTATCATAGACCACGCTAGACAGTCTGTGTGTTTGATGAGTGAACCGGCCTACAAACACACACAGACACACAAACACACACAGACACACACAGACACACAGACACACACAGACACACAGACACACAAACACACACAGACACACAAACATACACAGACACACAGAGACACACAGACACACAAACATACACAGACACACAAACACACACAGACACACAAACATACACAGACACACAAACACACACAGACACACAAACATACACAGACACACAAACACACACAGACACACAAACACACACAGACACACAAACATACACAGACACACAAACATACACAGACACAGACACACAAACATACACAGACACACACAGACACACAAACATACACAGACACACACACACAAACATACACAGACACAGACACACAAACACACACAGACACACACAGACACACAAACACACACAGACACACACAGACACACAAACATACACAGACACACAAACATACACAGACACACACAGACACACAAACATACACAGACACACACAGACACACAAACATACACAGACAAACACACATAGACACACAAACATACACAGACACACAAACATACACAGACACACACAGACACACAAACATACACAGACACACAAACATACACAGACACACACAGACACACAAACATACACAGACACACACACACAAACATACACAGACACACACACACAAACACACACAGACACACAAACATACACAGACACACAAACATACAGAGACACACACAGACACACACACACACACACACACACACACGCTCTTCCTGTCAGGGACCCCCCCCCCCCCCCATATGAACCCCGTCATTACAATCAAATCAGGCCGGCACCGTCTAACACCACTTAACTTTGCAGTACCCTTGAAGAAGCTGCACACACACACACACACACACACACACACACACACACGTTTACCAGAACAACAGAGGACCCCTATTTCTGTTAATTTTAATAAAACTAAAATAGAAAATGTTCTTTTACCAAAATGTTTCTTCAAATGTGACTTTTAATGTTTTTTTAATTTCCAAAAGGGAGCAGGAGAAAATACAGACGATAGATCTGAACAGAGACACTCTGCCTGATAGAGCAGACATAGGATTGAAAAACAGGATGAAGTTCACGGCCAGAGAGGTCACGTCACAAGTCCAGGCCACGTCGACCTGAACTTGTCACACATGGCTTGGCAGAGCCGGTCATGTTGTCACGTTGTTGGCTATCAGACACCAATGTGAAGTACACTTACAGGAAGATAACACTTCGACTGACGTCATTGGAGCTCTTACAAGAAAGAGCTCGAGGGAGAATTGTTCGGGATTATTCGGCTTCTGTTGTCCAAAATAAAAATCCTGCAAGAGGCTGCCAACTTGATCTGTCTGCGGCTGGTTCATTTTGGCACCTTTGCATCCATGAAATCCACCATATAAGTGGCGAGCCAGCCAGGAGAGTCACACTGAAAAAAAGTCACATTTGTGTCTGATCACCAACAACGTTATTTTTTCTGTAATCATGTTTTGCTCACCGGCCGGCTCTGCCAAATTTCGAGCCATATGTGACAATTTCAGAACGTGGCCTGAAGTTGTGACGTGACCTCTCTGAACTGCATCCTGTTTTTCAACACGCTGTAAAAACAGGCCACTGAGTCTGATCTACTGCGCAGAGTTTCTATGATCACATCTACTGTCTATGTTTTCACCTGAGTGAGATCTACCTGTCTGACACGGGACCTCTTAGTGGAAGTGTAACGATGCCAAGTTCCCCCTTAGATAGGTAGGAAAGTGCACACACACTAACAACAACACACACACACTCTAACAACAACACACACACAGACACACACAGACACACACAGACACACACACACACACACACAGACACACACACACACACACACACACAGACACACAGACACACACACACAGACACAGACACAAAGACACACACACACACACACTCTGACAACAACACACAGACACACACACACACACACACACACACACACACACACACACACACACACACACTAACAACAACACACAGACACACACACACACACACTCTAACAACAACACACACACACACACACACACACACACACACACACACTCTAACAACAACACACACACACACACACACACACACTCTAACAACACACACAGACACACACACACACAAACACACACAGACACAAAGACACACACAAACACACACAGACACAAAGACACACACAGACACACAGACACAAAGACACACACAGACACAAAGACACACACACAGACACACAGACAGACACACAGACACACACACACACACACACACACACACACAAAGACACACACACACACACACACAAACAGATACACAGACACACACACACACACACACACAAACAGATACACAGACACACACAGACACACACTCTATTAAAACCAGGAGAAGACACTAAATAAAGCGAACTCGTCCTGACTCGGTGTCGTCAATAATCATCAAATTTATTTATTCATGGAAAGAAATAAAAACACAAACCCTGAACAACAAAAACGACGACAAAGACAACGACGACAGCTCAGACTAAGGTCGAGTTTTTTCCTGTAAAATGAGAAACATGAAGAATCAGTTTTTTCACTCTCAGCTGAAAAGGTAACTCCGCTCCAGTTTCCCCTCAGGACAGAAAACAAACACGTGTGACTGCGGCTTTATCTCCACTGAATGTCAAATGGAGAAATAGAAGAACTCTCAGCGTCTCTGCTGCTGCTGCTGCTGGGTTCACTCATCATCATGTGAAGAATCAGTGTTTACAGTCGGTCTAAATGATGATTTGAAGATATCAGAACTAATCGGTTTATTGGACAGACAGCCTCTCTCTCCAGCTGAGCTCATATTTACCTCCAGACTCATCATTTACTCTTTGGTTCTGTGGCCTCGCTCGGAGGTGTCATTTAGAGATGCTGCTCCAGAACCGCCATCAGAACTGGACCGACTTTATTTTACAGGAATATAATTCTTTATGTCGTTATTTCAGCAAACTACACCGAACCTAAACCCACGGGACGGCGAGCTTTTAAAGGTTCATACCACGAAAATAAGACTGTGAGACTGTGAAAGTGAGTGAGTTTAGGGTCTGTAAAACCGCTGACAGTGAAACTGAGACTCATTCATGGACACTCAGGTCCTTTACAGTCTCAGTTTAATCGACTAAACTCATAACTCGTCTTTTTCTCTGAATCAGACTTCTCTCTGAGAAAACTGAATTATTGATGTGAACGTGTCCTCCTCCCCAACACTAGGGGGCGATATGGGTCTTTTCAGCGGCGCTGTTTCCGACCCCATCCAACCGTCAACAACAACAGCAGGTCGGTGTCAGACGTCAGAAGTGTCTACAACTGCTGCTGGACATTTTGGAGAAACAAGAAGATGGAGCATCGTACAGCGTTGTTTTTGTCCGACATGATGGACGCGCTACTTTTTCTAAAGATGAGACCAACGCTACTCCTCTACTCTGGGGGTTTGTTACGGGGTTAAAGGGGGCGTGGCTTCATACTCCGACTACGCTGGTTACATGGTAGAGAAAATCATTATCTGTGAGTCTTAATCAGAGTTCTCAAACTCTGATTATAGTCAGACTAAGGTGTTTACATGACCTTCAGTTGTCCGGTCTTCATCGGAATAAGGCGATAATTCGTTTTTTTCCCGATTGTCATGGAAACGGACTGACTCTGAGATCCTGTCACTTCCACAGTGAAACTGAGACTCACCTTCAGGTTTTTGTAAAAGGAGGTCTGATTGGACCGTTAGAAACCGTCACACTCAGAGGTCCGATCTGGGTCGGTCCTGAAACCTGGTCTGGAGGTAAGAATCCTGGTGGCTCTGCTCTACTCCTCCTTAAAAAGACTCTCTCTCTTTCCTGTCTGTCCCCCCTCTGCTCCTGGTCCCTGGCTCTCCTCCCTCTCGTCTCTGTCTCTGGATCTCTGAGTGGGAGTGAAACACTGAATGTTGAGTTCAGTAGAATAATCAGCGCTCTGTGAGGGGACGGCTGTTACAGACAGGTGTGTGACTGAAACCTTAAAGATGACCTCCACACACTGAGGTTTCGCTCCTGAGCTCAGCCCGTCCTGGAGGACATGGTTATTTCCTCTGCGGCGGTTATTGATGGTGGAGGTGTGAGGAGAGACACAAACTGAGTCTGGAGCAGGAAACTTCAACAAATCTCCAACGCAGACGTCCAACCCGACAACTCTAACGAGAGGACACTAACGGGGGTCTGTGTTTGGGTCTTTTTATGAAGACCGGGTCTGAGACGGACCTTCAGAGAGGCTGACCCCCGACCTCCACCTTCATCCTGATCGTCTCCTAAAAGGTCGTATCCTCCGATCGTAGCTGATCGTAACCATTCAAGTTAACGTGTCAATTTACACCGACTTCTTTCCGTCAGACGCCGGAGCATGGCGGATAAATTCAGCACAGATTAACCCGTGCTGGAAAGGAAGTCGGGCACAGACACAAAATAAAACATCCAGCTTCTTTTCAAAATAAAACATCCGGCTTCTTTTCAAAATAAAAGACTCCGTGTTTCAGGAGGATCTGCGGGTTCTTGTGAGTTCTCGTGATCCTCGCTGACAGTAACGCTCCACGAAATTCGCCTCACAAACGGATCCAGTAAGAATTGGCGGACAGTGAAAATCGGCGCCGTTCGGATCGAAGCCGCTTCAGATGCGTTAAAAATTGGGGGCTACATTCGGGTTAAATGAGGGTGTGAGGGAAAAGGATCTGTGTGTTCATGACTGTGATAAAAACCATGAAATCCTCCGACGACTGAAGCAGAAACTTCTTGAACTCTCCGGTAAAGATCCACAGCTCCTGGTCAGCAGCAGTAACCCTCTCATCTCCATCGCTCTCATCCTCTCACGTCACGCCGCTCTTTTTCTGGTTTTATCCGATCATATCCTCTCTGGCGTAGACGTGAAAACTCCAGCAGATCTCTGTCTGTTTGGAGCCGCTCAGACTCCCAGCAGGTTCAGTCTCTCTGCTGGTCTCCTGCTTCTTTCAAGTCTTCACATCTAGACCAGAAGCTGTTAGCATACCGCTGCTCACCTGTACCTGCTGAGAGGACGTCTCACTTTAACTTACTGTAACTCTGCCGGAAAACTTCCTGAGCTGAGGGATTCACAGAGTTCGTACAAAGAGACTCTCCAAAACTGAGGATGCAGCATCTAGGATTTACAGTTCTACGTTGAAAGGACAACTGGACGTTCAGTTGTCCTTTCCTAAAGAGTGTTAACTTCTGATCCATCAGACCTCCGGACAGTGACTCCACCTCCAGAGTCCAGTCTGTTTTTAACGCCCTGAAGATCAGGACCGTCCAGTCCTGGTTCTGGTCCTGGTCCCTTTAGTACAGAGACTTCTCCAGATCCTCTTTAGACCATGAAATCCACTCAAACTGTTGAACTGTCAGCTCACGCGGTCTCTCACAGAGTCCTGAACCTCTCTGAATGTCCGTCTTAGACCCGGTCATGTGACTAACCTGTTGGACTCTCATCTCATTACCCCCAATTTTCACTGCATCCAGAACGGCTCTGATCCGGAACAGCGCCGATTTTCACCGTCCGCCAATTCCTACTGGATCTGTTTGTGAGGCGAATTTCATGGCGGATCACCGACGGAAGAAATCACGAGAACTCACAAGAACCTGCAGATTCACGTTCAATCTCACGATAACGAGTTGTCTCTATAAAGACAGACACATAGACATATAAGCAGTAGATTGTGTCCTTCCAGAGGAGGAAATCTACTTCTAGACTTCTAGAATCAGCATCTCCTCATCCATGGTGTCATCGGGGTGAAATGACGTCTAAAAACCTTTCACTTGTTCGTTTGACACGTTAACTTGAATGGTTACGATCAGCTACGATCGGAGGATACGACCTTTTCGTAGACGATCAGGATGAAGGTGGAGGTCGGGGGTCAGATTTGTGTTTCTGTGTGTTTGAAAAACTTTAAACATTTCGACGTTAAACTGACTTCAGATCAGAGTTCATCGTCACGTCTTCTGTTATGAAGGTTGACGCTGACGTCGTAATCCTGGTGGAGCTGAGATTTAGCCGACTCTTCGCTCTGATCTGAAAGTGTTTCTGCTCCTCTTCCGTCTCCTGGAGGTAAACAACATTTGGCTGAAAAAGAACCTGAATCTTCTCACCGTGAGTTTGTCCAGCTCTGATGACTGTTTTTGGAGCAGCATCTCTAAATGACACCTCTGCTGATGTGGATCCGAGCGAGGCCACAGAACCAAACAGTCAATGATGAGTCTGGAGGTAAATATGAGAGCGGGTCGTTTCTCTCATGGACGGGGGAGTCGGATCAACATCAGGTACATTTCCACAGGATCTGCTGTCATCAGGGTGGAGCAGAAACTCCGACACGTGGACTCATCTGAACCCTGCAGACCCAAGGCCGGGTCTAGAAAATGATGACTAGGGGTGCATCTCAGATCAGAGGGCGTGCACATGCCTGGCACGTTATTCAACACTAAATTATGCATTTTCCTGTCATTTCAAGCGGAATGAAACGAGTCAAACAAGAATATTTAAAATGTCTTTCATATGTTTTATTGTAGTAAAATTGTTGTAGAAAAAGGAAATGCAGATGTTTCTTACCCTGAATATTTAACATAGAAATTCAAACTATTTTTAACTATACAGCTCAAAACCATCACTAAACATGACAGTCAAAAATGTCTGTAATGATATCCGGGGATATTCGATGCGGCGGTGGTGCAGGGTCTGCAGGGTCTGTGTGATCACAGACAAAGTCTCGGTACTCTTTAGTAGCAGCACATGCCTCTTGTAATAACCCCTGTAAGAACTGTTGTTCAGGACTGATAACTAAATTCGGCTACTGTAATAACCGTTGTTCGAGACCACACGCAACATTTTTGCTCTCATTAATGAAACGCTCAAATCAGGGATATTTTCGGGGACAGCTTTTGCCGGGGACAGGTCATCCAATACGGGGACTGTCCCCGGAAATCGGGGACGTCTGGTCACCTTATGCTAAAGGCTAAAAACGGCAGGTATTGAACCATATATTTTAGACCCCGAGTCCGAAGAGGAGGTGGAAGTTGAGGAAGAAGCCGGAGATCTCCAGCGGTGTTTTCATTCATTCTGTCCGGCTTTAAGGTCATTTTCCTGACAGTGAACCGAAGGAAGGCAGATGAGTGACGTGCCCTGACGCGCGCGCACTTCTCCCTCTTTCCAACTGAGCATGCAGCCACATAAACTGAGGGTGCAATGCATGCTTATGCACCCCCGTAGAACCGGGCCTGTGCAGACCTGAGGGATGAAGGTGACACGCTGAGGAAGAGGAGGGGTTCATCTCAGCTCCTCATCCAGATGCTGATTCTAGAAGTCTAGAAGTAGATTTCCTCCTCTGGAAGGACACAATCTACTGCTTATATGTCTATGTGTCTGTCTTTAGAGAGACGACTTGTTATCGCGCGATTGAACGTGAATCTGCGGGTTCTTGTGAGTTCTCACGATCCCCGCTGACAGTAATCCGCCATGACGTTCGCCTCACAAACGGATCCAGTAGAAATTGGCGGATGGCGAAAATCGTCGCTGTTCTGGATCAGAGCCGTCCAGGGGTTACCTGGGGGTCACCTGAAGAACACAGAGCGTCTCTCTAATCCACACAGCCGTGGATGTTTGCTCAGACGTCTCTCTGTCCTCGTGAATTTCTCGGCGGTGGACACGATGGCAGACGAAACTCTGACCTTCTCAGCAGAAACATTGATCTGGACTGACATTTACAGGGGTCCAGTCTCTCCTCTGACGGAGCATCCATCACCTGAAGTGTCTGAATGATTCCAAACGTCCGTACTGGAGAGACGTCGGCGCCGTTTTCTCACCGTGACCCAGAAAAGCTCGGAGAGTTGATCAGAAAGTCTCCGAGTCTGTTTGTCCTCCGACAGACGAGAGCGCCGTCAGGACTGAGCGTTAAAGGAGTCTGATAACTCCCCCGACGCCTCGCTGACGGTTGATTCTGCGTGTTGCTCTTCGACAGCGCTGTGGTTTGTGTTTTAATGAGACAGACGTGACAGAAATCCGGGGGTTCAGGGATGTAGGACGGCCCCCCGAGGAATCAAGAGGAGCATGAGAGGAACATCTGCAGTCTTATTGATCTATTATGGATGTCAGCGGCTCTGATTCACACACCCAGAGGTGGAGACCGCAGAACATCTTCACTCAGGTACGCCTCCGTCAGCTCAGCCTGAAGGGGGCGCTGTGAGGAGCGTCGATAAAAGGACGTTTACAGAGAAAATCATGAAATCATCGAAAAAACAACAGAAGGAGGAAAAATGAAAACCTCTTTATTTTGTTTCACCAGGAGAAAAACCTCCTTTCACCTCCGTCCTCGAGGCTCCACCTCCCCCGACACCTGTCCCCGATCTGTGAGACGTCTGTCCTCCGGTCCCTCAGATGGTCTTCTGTGTTTCTGTGTTTAGACGCAGATCCTGGTTCATGAACGATCCAACAAAAGAGAAGATCAAACCTGAGATATCTGCTCAAGTTTCAGATGTTTGGACGTTGGTGGTAGAAGTAGAAGAAGTAGAAGCTGTCCCGGTAAAGCGAACAGGCTTTCTTTGACTGACGTAGAGCTAGATCATAGATGTCCTGTCAGAGAAGAACTCCACCTGCTCCGACTGACTGACACAAACATCAGGATCACCTGTCCACCTGTCTTCACACTGACACTCTCCCTGCAGGACTGTAGCATGCACATCGACGTGCACGCTCGTGCATGTGCAGACTGCCAGCTGAGCGCTCTCGTGCACGTTTGAGTGTGTTTTTATTCTGACTGTAAACTGAACAGAGAGAAACTGAAGCTGTTTGTCAGGAGAAGAACATCAATAATTCAGCGGCAGCTTCGCTCCATCGCCGCGGTTACAGACGGAGAGTCTGTGACACACCTGAGCACGGCCTCACCTGCTTCACTCACCTGCCATCCTCCACCTCAGTCTGTTCGTTATGGCGGGACGTTGGAGTTCGCCAGCATCAGTCGGGTCGGCAGAAACACGGTCCGGGTTTTTGGTAAACCCGGTTTGAACTCACTGGACTTTGATTTGAGGGTGTTTCCGGTCAGTCTGCTGGTTCACAGATCCAATGATAAAGACCAGGGTTCAGGTCAACAGCTGACTCAGAGATCTGCCCGAGTTCTATATGTGTCTGTCTTTATAGAGACGACTCGTTATCGTGTGATTGAACGTGAATCTGCAGGTTCTTGTGAGTTCTCCTGATTCCTGCGTCTGTAATCCGCCATGAAACTCGCCTCACAAACGGATCGAGTAGGAATTGGCAGACGTCGAAAATCGCTGCCGTTCTGGATCGGAGCCGTTCTGGATTCGTTGAAAATCGGGGATAAATTGTTGCCATGGAGAAAGTCAAACTAATGGTGGAAAGTAAAGATGTGAGTCCTGAGTATTTCTGTTCAGAGCTGAAGTGGAACCAGCAGCAGAGACGTTTCTCCTCTCTGAGCTCTGATATCGGGATGACTGTTCGTGTTTCTGAAGCTGCTGCTGCGACAGAGGACGGTTCACTCCTTAGAAATCAGCTGATCTCCGACCACGATGAAGAGTCCACGTTGGTAAAGTCCGGCCTCAGAAAGCCAGACCAGAACGAGGATCTGTCTGTATTCTGATGAATAAGAAATCCTCTCCTAACAATAAAGTCTCCTCCTGCCTGAGGCGCTGAAGTTGTCTCCAAACTCTCCGTCCCTGAGAGGAGGAGGAGGAGGAGGAGGAGGAGGAGGAGGAGGAGGAGGAGGAGGAGGAGGAGGATGCAGGGTTCTGCCCGGCAGCTCCACAGCCCTGAGGCAGCCCGGAGCGTCCTCTCTCCGTCAGCCGTCACATGACAAAGTAAACATTAGAGCGGTAAACACGCCGTCTCCTCGGTGTGATTCAGGAGGTGAAGGTGTCGTATTTACTCTGTCACCGCGGGGGAAACTTCAAATAACCGAGGAGAGTCTCATCAGACCATAAATATTTCAACTTTTTATTTATTCATTTCATCTCCTTCATCGTTTTTCTCTCTCACTCTGTCTGCCTGATGAATCACAGCGTCTCTCTCCCTCTGAAGGTGTGTGTGTGTGTGTGTGTGTGTAGGAGTTGATTCCTTGTTCATTTCCTGTTTTATCTTGTAGGAGTTGATTCCTTGTTTGTTTCCTGTTTTATTTTGTAGGAGTTGATTCCTTGTTCATTTCCTGTTTTATTTTGTAGGAGTTGATTCCTTGTTCATTTCCTGTTTTATTTTGTAGGAGTTGATTCCTTGTTCATTTCCTGTTTTATTTTGTAGGAGTTGATTCCTTGTTCATTTCCTGTTTTATTTTGTAGGAGTTGATTCCTTGTTTATTTGCTGTTTTATTTTGTAGGAGTTGATTCCTTGTTTATTTCCTGTTTTATTTTGTAGGAGTTGATTCCTTGTTCATTTCCTGTTTTATTTTGTAGGAGTTGATTCCTTGTTTATTTCCTGTTTTATTTTGTAGGAGTTGATTCCTTGTTTATTTCCTGTTTTATTTTGTAGGAGTTGATTCCTTGTTTATTTCCTGTTTTATTTTGTAGGAGTTGATTCCTTGTTCATTTCCTGTTTTATTTTGTAGGAGTTGATTCCTTGTTTATTTCCTGTTTTATTTTGTAGGAGTTGATTCCTTGTTCATTTCCTGTTTTATTTTGTAGGAGTTGATTCCTTGTTCATTTCCTGTTTTATTTTGTAGGAGTTGATTCCTTGTTTATTTGCTGTTTTATTTTGTAGGAGTTGATTCCTTGTTTATTTCCTGTTTTATTTTGTAGGAGTTGATTCCTTGTTTGTTTCCTGTTTTATTTTGTAGGAGTTGATTCCTTGTGTTTCTTTCCTCCGTTAATCTCTCATCAGTCTCACCTGTGTCTCGTTTACCTGTGTGTGTTTTTAGTCTCTGTCTCCTCCTCCTCTCTTCTGATTGGTTAAAAACTTCAGGTGAACAGGAACATGAGTGAAAACACACAGAAGAGAACAACTACATGAACACATCATGACACACAGAGTCCAACGATAAAACTTTACAGCAGTAATCCACATGTTTACGTCAGATTAGGGATTAAATCCACATGTTTACGTCAGATTAGGGATTAAATCCACATGTTTACGTCAGATTAGGGATTAAATCCACATGTTTACGTCAGATTAGGGATTAAATCCACATGTTTACGTCAGATTAGGGATTAAATCCAAATGTTTACGTCAGATTAGGGATTAAATCCACATGTTTACGTCAGATTAGGGATTAAATCCACATGTTTACATCAGATTAGGGATAAAATCCACATGTTTACATCAGATTAGGGATTAAATCCAAATGTTTACGTCAGATTAGGGATTAAATTATACTGTTTACATCAGATTAGGGATTAAATCCACATGTTTACGTCAGATTAGGGACTAAATCCACATGTTTACGTCAGATTAGGGATTAAATTATACTGTTTACATCAGATTAGGGATTAAATGCACATGTTTACGTCAGATTAGGGACTTAATCCACATGTTTACGTCAGATTAGGGATTAAATCCACATGTTTACGTCAGATTAGGGATTAAATTATACTGTTTACGTCAGATTAGGGATTAAACTGTCCTGTGGATTATCCCTGACCATCTACTCTGCACACTCTGGGTCTTTGCTGCTGCTCTCCCTGCCTCAGACTTTTCCACAGATGAGGTGTGAGATTAGGACTCCATCTTTACTGAAAACATGGATTGTTTGACTGGATTAAATCTGAGCAGGTCTCTCTCTTTACCTGTTTGAACTCGTTCAGACTTCCTCTCATATTTACGAACCTTCATGTCTGAGAAACTCTGAAGATTCATTTAAGCTTCTCTGCTCAGATATCTGGAGGTGATGACCACTCCTCCTTTCTCCTCTTTGTTCTGTTTCTGTTCAGGTTCTCTGAGGATCTCCTCCTTTCTCCTCTTTGTTCTGTTTCTGTTCAGGTTCTCTGAGGATCTCCTCCTTTCTCCTCTTTGTTCTGTTTCTGTTCAGGTTCTCTGAGGATCTCCTCCTTTCTCCTCTTTGTTCTGTTTCTGTTCAGGTTCTCTGAGGATCTCCTCCTCTCTCCTCTTTGTTCTGTTTCTGTTCGGGTTCTCTGAGGATCTCCTCCTTTCTCCTCTTTGTTCTGTTTCTGTTCAGGTTCTCTGAGGATCTCCTCCTCTCTCCTCTTTGTTCTGTTTCTGTTCAGGTTCTCTGAGGATCTCCTCCTTTCTCCTCTTTGTTCTGTTTCTGTTCAGGTTCTCTGAGGATCTCCTCCTTTCTCCTCTTTGTTCTGTTTCTGTTCGGGTTCTCTGAGGTAACTGCGGATCTGCAGCTCCTCCAGTCCTCTCCAGGGAACAATCAAAGACCGTGTAGATCTGCAGCTCAGAGTCCACCATCAGCCTCGTTTCTCCCCTAAACTCAGATCATGATTTTCATCAGGAGCAGAAAGTTAGAGTCTAAAACAAGTTCACCTCAGAAAACCTCAGAACCAGGAGAGCCCATTTTCTGTAAATCCATCCTACCCGTCCAGATGTCCTACCATGCCTCACTGCACACGGGTCCAAAACGTGGTTTCACATGTTTTGTCGTAGATCCATCCGAACATGAAGCTGTTCATGGAGAAAAGATTTTAGTGTTTTCCACTTCAACTAAAACCTAACAGTGATTTCTAACCCTGGATTGAGTGTCGGCTCGGTCCGTGTCGCCGGCTGTCAGTCGGACTCGTTTCCAGTGAGAGTTGGACTCCTCCAGGGCTGCCTTTTTCTTTTTCAACATAGAACTGTAAATCATAGATGCTGCATCCTCAGTTTTAAAGAGTCGAGGGTCCAGAATGACCCAAATCTCATGCAGACAGAGTCGTAGTGAAGACGGTGAGGTGGTCTTCAGAGTTCCTCACCGTGTTGATCTGAGGAGGTCGGACAGTTATAGACCCTCTCCATCATGGCGGCTGACTCCACCTCCTCTCTGCTCCTGAGGGAATCCAACATACAGAGTAAGACACTCCAGCTGCTGCTGCTGCTGCTGTGAATTAAAGAGAAGCTCAACGAGCCGAGCCTCCCACGCTGCACTGCGAGGTCGACCACTATCAGACCTGCGGCTCCTAACACGCCCGCCAAACTCAGAGAGCGGCGCGGCGTTTTATTCCTCTTTGAATCTGAACGAAAAACTTTTCCCACATTTGAACTTCTCACCAAAACCTGGAGGACCGTGTCATCATCATCATCATCATCATCATCATCATCATCATCATCACCATCATCATCATCATCATCATCATCATCATCATCATCATTGTTATTGCTGCTGATTAATTGTGCATTAATTGTCAGGGACAGCCAGTCACTTGTTGCCGTGGTAACTGCAGTTCCACTCCGTCGTCCTCCCTGATGATTCTCTGTTTCTTAAAATAATGTGCTGCTGCTGCTGCAGAGTAAAAGACGGTTTCCACGGCGCTTTAGGACTCTTTAAGACGGTAAAGTCGTGGTCTCAGGGACGTCTCTGTCCTCACGGAGACGTCTCCGTTAGTGTCAGATGGATCTGTCCTCAGAAACAGGCTCACAGCAGCTGATCGGTTTGTTTATGCAGTCGCTGAGAGGAGCCGGTGAAAGATGATGCCTTCGAGCTGCAGGGTTGGAGCTGCTGCTGCTGCTGCTGCACCTATGTTCATTATCATATAAACTGGAGATGGATGGGCTCTGCAGTCGGGCTCGGGGTTTTTACTGGAGCTTTATTAAAAATGCATGAATCATTACAGAGATTTACAGATGATTTCCTGAGTATGAATCTTTAATGTTTGTACTTTGTCATCTGGAGAAGAAACAACTCTTCTGCTAATCAGAGTGAAGAAAACACGCTGTTTTATCCTGCGCTCTGCAGCTCCACGCTCTCTCAGAGAAACCGAAGATATTTCTCCACAAACTCTGACATCAAATGAAGGATTTTTCATCTCTCTGTCCTCGTCCTGATGGGAAACTCCTGCATCAGCGCAGCGTCTGGACTGTCGTTTAAGCTCCCAGCTGTGTTTCCTCTAATTGGAGCTCATTACGTCGCGGCTGTTTGGGTGCATGGATGGGAACACATGTTTGACACATTCAAGCTTCATTAGACAGAGCAGCCTGCAAACACGCCTCAGCTGGTCTGAAACCGTCGACGCTGAGACTCAAACTCACATGAAGAAGAAGAAGAAAGTCGAACACGACTCTGTTTTCACTGAACCGGCCGGGTCACGGCTCTGAAACGGACCGCACATGTTCGCCATGAGCGTGTGAAATCAAGTCTGTCTTTATAGAGACGACTCGTCATCGAGCGATTGAACGTGAATCTGGAATCCGCCATGAAATTCGCCTCACAAACGGATCTAGAAGGAAGTGGCTGACAGCAAAAAATCGCCGCCGTTCAGGATGCGGTGAAAACTGGGGGTAACGTTGGTCCTCAGGGCGATCAATACTTCATGATAACCGATAACAGGAGTAGACGGATATCTGCCACAGAGAGCCGCAGACCTGGAGACAGCGGGCCTCAGGAGTCCAGGTTCTTCTTCTGCAGTTTTCAGTCCCAGCTGTGTTTCTCGTTGGTTCCTGTCATCAGTGTTTGTTACTAATCCTCTTATTCCAGCAGCTGTGGGATTACCTGAGTGTTCCCCCCGCCTCCTCGCTCCCTGGAGCTCTCTCCTCTCCTCTCCTCTCCTCTCTCCTCCTCCTGAGAGAGGAGCTGCAGTCAGAAATCACTGAGCTGCAGCCAGCAGCACAAATGGCTCCATAACCAGTGACTCCATGAATCTTCTCTGACACCCTCTCTCTCTCAGACGGGTTCTGCTGGTATCAGAGGTTCCTCTGGTTCTCTCTCACTCTCTCTCTGAATGTGGAGCTGCTGCATTATTTCTGGTGAGCAGGTCATGAAAACCATCTTTGTGATCTCCAGCTGCTCTGCAGGGACTGGAGGGTCTGCTTGGTGAACATCCAGCAGCTGATTGGACGACGCTGGATACCGTGGCGTTCTGGCAAAGACGCTCTGCATCAGTTTGAGATCTGGGTCTTTATAGCTGCGTTTCCATTACATTTTTTTGCAAAATAAAAGTGATGTTTATCAAATTTCGACAAAGTACAATTGCGATTTGCGGGTGTTTCCATTGAATGGTGTTCAGTGCATAAGCGAGCCGTCTGCCTCTCGTGAGCCGTGTTTAAATGGCCGTTGCCTAGCAACGAGGTAAACTTCCTGCCCGTGCGACCTCGTATTCCTTAAGCCTTTTTGCACACCAACATGGACGAGACACAAAACATTTTTCGTTTTGGAGCAGCTGTTTCTGTGACCATTACTGCTGTTGCCGCTGCTGTCATCAGAAGACGAAGGCAGCGGGTGATAATTCAAAGTCAAAGCTCGTATGTATGGGAGCGAACACGGATGAGCGATTTCTGGGAGAGGATCGTTAATGAGGAATTCACAGACGAATTGTGGATTCAAAACTTCAGAAAAATACAAATACAATTCAAAACTTCAGAAATAACTCCGTCTCCTCCCCCGTCCACATATACCGTGTCATCTACGCTTGAAATGAACTGGTCACTTGACCCGCTACGTCACGTCCGGTGACAGAGAATTGCGAGAAAAGTGTTTCCATTACACTTTTGCGATATACTTCTATATCAACACTTCTGAAAAACCACCTCATGAGAGCGTAAAAACTTTTTAGCGATATTTGGGAGGTTTTTCGAAATGTAGGTGTTTCCATTACCAGTTTTCTATTGAGATATTTACGTTTTGCACAAATCTATGGGTAATGGAAACGCAGCTACTCTCTTTCTTTCCTCTGTTTTTCACGCACAGATAAGATTCTGCAGAACCGAACCACATGCAGGAGTGAATCGATCTTGTTCTGGGTCAGATGTCGACCCTGAAAAAAAGCAGAAACTTGGCAACAAACCCAGAAGTGAGAAAGAACATGTTTTACTGTTAATTCCCTCGGTTCTGCTCGGGTTGGTGCAGTGGCTCAATTTCTGCTCATTAGAGGCGATGCAGCCAAACGGCGTCCGAGGTCCAGCCTGCCCCCCGATGTGGGGAAGCAACTCTGCGATTAGGAGGAGAAGCATTAAGAGAGACCATTAGTGAGCTCACAGCAGAGACACATAAAGAGACGAACAGCAGCCGCACGAATCCTGGCAGAGGGATTCAGGAGGAAATGATTCTCTGCAGCAGCAGCAGGATGACTGGAGTCTGTGTTTGTTTGGACGACAGCCGGATGACAAACAGAGCCGCGCTGCTGGTCCTCAAGATAATAAGGACTTCACCGACGCTGAGCGGTGACAGGAATGTGCGACCTGTTTGCAGAATCAGAGCGAAACTTGGGAGAGAACTCTGACAGTGAAGAATCATTACAGAAACAAACGTCCGCTGTTGTTTCTCTGATCAGATGGAGAAAATAAAACGCTTCGTTTCTGAGGCGTGACGACGATGTCAGACGCTGATATTTGTCTGTTTTTAAACAGGGAAGTCTGTTTCTTGTTTATTATGGATCAGCGATGATGAAACTCCTACAGTTTACACTGCTGTGAACACGCTCACACCAACACAACGACAAACTGAGATCATCCCCAGACTCTGATCACAGCTCTTTGTTTACACTCCAAAAAGATTCAAGAAAGAGATTTGTTTATGTTTGATCCTTTAACAATGTAAACAGAGGGGCCTTTGTTTACATTAGATCCTCTAACCAGAGGGGCCTTTGTTTACATTAGATCCTCTAAACAGAGGGGCCTTTGTTTACATTAGATCCTCTAACCAGAGGGGCCTTTGTTTACATTTGATCCTCTAACCAGAGGGGCCTTTGTTTACATTAGATCCTCTAAACAGAGGGGCCTTTGTTTACATTAGATCCTCTAACCAGAGGGGCCTTTGTTTACATTTGATCCTCTAACCAGAGGGGCCTTTGTTTACATTAGATCCTGTAAACAGAGGGGCCTTTGTTTACGTTTGATCCTCTAACCAGAGGGGCCTTTGTTCACATTAGATCCTGTAACCAGAGGGGCCTTTGTTTACATTAGATCCTGTAAACAGAGGGCCTTTGTTTACATTAGATCCTGTAACCAGAGGGGCCTTTGTTTACATTAGATCCTGTAAACAGAGGGGCCTTTGTTTACATTAGATCCTCTAACCAGAGGGGCCTTTGTTTACATTAGATCCTGTAAACAGAGGGGCCTTTGTTTACATTAGATCCTCTAACCAGAGGGGCCTTTGTTTACATTAGATCCTCTAAACAGAGGGGCCTTTGTTTACATTAGATCCTCTAAACAGAGGGGCCTTTGTTTACATTAGATTTACTACAAGAACAGTCAGAGTCAGAATACTTTATCTCACCTGGGGGGAAATTCGGTAAAGAGTTGACTTTGTTTACATTTGATCCACTAAAAGTAAGAACAGCTGTTCTTTGTTTACATGAACTCAGACATTAACCAGAGGGTTCTCGTGTTGACAGACATTAAAAACATTTAAGAGCATCGAGGGGGCGCTTGATTTACATGTGAACTAGCAAAGGAGCGTCGGCTGTAGTTGGTATGAGAGCAGTCGGCGAGGAGAAGGTGTTTCACAGTAAATCTACTGAAGGAGTCTTTAACGAGAACTTTGTTTACGTTTGATCCAGTGGAAGAACATTTACTGAGGTCTGTCTCCTCTGTGATGGGACTATGTGAGGCTGTTTTTAGTCGTAGTTCACCTCAAATGTGGACACCCATGTGTGTTTCTGTTCTTCAGACATGGGGACACCGTGGGGGGCCGACTGCCTCCCCTCCTGTAAATCTGAAGTGTTCCGATCTCTGGCCGACACCTTGGTCCTGTGAATCCTGAACACAGACCTGACGTACATGAAGGTCCCTCCGTCTGTCTGACTGAAACTCATCATGTGACGAACACGTCCATAAAGTCACGTCCCTCACCGACATCGACTCGGACATGAAGACGATGATCTGCAGATTTATTTACGATCAAACTGATGAAACTTTTTCTGTCTTCAAATACTGCAGGATACATGAGTGTGTGTGTGTGTGTGTGTGTGTGTGTGTGTGTGTGTATGTCCTCCTCCTCCTCACTGAGCGGCGGCTCAAAGGTCAGAGCTGCTCCTCCTCACACGGACACAGATGAACATCAGAGGAGCTGCAGAGAAAAGAAGTCATTAGCGGGTTCAGGAGTCTGAGAGCGATCCTCCGAGAGGCTGAGGCTGACCGCTTCGTTCAGACTCGACCCGGAGAGTCCAAACAGACGTGAGCGGCGCAGTGACAGAGGATCTGACCTCAGTCCTATCTTTGAGGAGAACCCGAGCTGGATGGAGGTCCATCCTGGTCCTGACCTGTGTTGATTTGTTTCACAGCAAAGTCCAAAGACTCGGGACCCGGGTTTGGTCCTGACTGGATCTGTGATTTCATGTTTATTTTATCACAGAAAACTGAAACGCTGCAGAAGGATGTGATCGGAAACACGGACTCAGAGAGAGAGAGAGCTGTGGGGTCGAACGGATCATCTCTGAGAGTCACTGCAGAGAAAGAGTCTTCTTCTTCTTCTTCTTCTTCTTCTTCTTCTTCTTCTTCTAACATCAGTGTTTACTTCTTCAGTCTGAGGATGATGGAGACCTTCTGAGGTTTTAAATGTTCTTCATCGACACTCTCAAACCACAGAGAGAAACTTCAGACATGTTTTATTCAGCGCTCCTCTGGGAGAAAAAGACCTCGGCACAGAAACGTGTCAGAGAGAGAGAGAGAGAGAGAGGGAGAGAGAGAGAGAGAGAGAGAGAGAGAGAGAGAGAGAGGGAGAGAGAGAGAGAGAGAGAGAGAGAGAGGGAGAGAGAGAGAGAGAGGGAGAGGGAGAGGGGAGAGAGAGAGAGAGAGAGAGAGAGAGAGAGAGAGAGAGAGAGAGAGAGAGAGAGAGAGAGAGAGAGAGAGAGAGAGAGAGAGAGAGAGTTGTCAGAAATGCTCTTTTTTTTGACAGAAGACCCTCGAGGTTGAAGGTTCTCCAAATGTCCTCCTCAGACGATGAGGGTTAAACTGACGGAGCTGCTCTCAGACTCACAGATTCACACTTCATCCTCTGTGTGTGTGTGTCTCTCTCTCTCTCTCTCTCTCTCTCTCTCTCTCTCTCTCTCTCTCTCTCTCTCTCTCTCTCTCTCTCTCTCTCTCTCTCTCTCTCTCTCTCTCTCTCTCTCTCTCTCTCTCTCTCTCTCTCTCTCTCTCTCTCTCTCTCTCTCTCTCTCTCTCTCTCTCTCTCTCTCTCTCTCTCTCTCTCTCTCTCTCTCTCTCTCTCTCTCTCTCTCTCTCTCTCTCTCTCTCTCTCTCTCTCTCTCTCTCTCTGTCTCTCTCTCTCTCTCTCTCTCTCTCTCTCTCTCTCTCTCTCTCTCTCTCTCTCCCTCTCTCTCTCTCTCTCTCTCTCTCTCTCTCTCTCTCTCTCCACAGTCCCTTCAGTTTTCATCAAGCACAGATTTCTAGAAGGTTTGGGACCACAGACTGTATCTAGAACAGACTCACTCTGAGAACAGCGCCCTCTGGTGACAGGCTGCAGTATAGGTCCTAAACCCCGCCTCCTTATGGAGCTGTGGACAAACTTTCTAAATGAATGACACAGAATATAAATGTTTCTCCCCCCTGGTTGTGATGTTGACATGTAGTTACTGTCAGACTGGTTTGTGCTCAAGTCCTCTTTTTTCTGTACAGCTCCATTTTTAAAAGTTATTAGGGGGTTCATGTTTTCTATGATTGACACCTGATACAGCCAATGGGAGGACAGGGAGTGAGTAGATCACCGGGGGATACGCTGTTTGAGCCGAGCGTCATCACAGCGACTCTCCTGCTGAATTACCGAGAACTTTTCAGCTTCAGATCTTTAAACTGGAGGAACCGAGGAGTCCAGAGTAAATCTACGGTCTGTGTTCTGGACCAGGTTCAGGTTCAGCCTCCATGACTCCACACCTTCAGTTTTCCTCTCACTTCATACTTTTGTATTTATTTGTGGTTTGACTTCCTCTTTACTCCCGGATGCTGACAGCTGATGAATAATGGCTGCAGGGACAAATCTCTTCTTAAACGTCTCAAAGTGACACGAGCTCCGAGCAAACTGTGAGCAGAGCAGAATAAATCCATCAGCCGCTCACAGATCAACACCAACACCATTTCCTCCACGTGTGTCAAAAGCAGCTTTAAGAAACGGCGTCCGCTCAGACCGACTTGGTGATAAATGAAACGCTCAGAGTTTGAAGGAGCAGGAAGTTCTGCTGGAAAGAATGTGGAGCTGGACCTGAAAAGAGGAGCGGAGAGAGAGATCAGAGCGGCACGAGTTTCTTTATGACTCTGGAACCTGAGAAATGACTCACAGCAACATCCCTGCAGAAGAATCTGAGGGTTCATCTCAGATCCTGACGGTCTGAGGACCATCAGAGTCCAGGTCATCTGTGAAGGCTCCATGAGTGCTGAACTAGATCTTCAGGTTTACCCACAATTCTCACCGCATCCAGAACGGCGGCGATTTTCACCGTCCGCCAATTCCTGCAGGATCCGTTTGTGAGGCGAGTTTCATGGCGGATTACAGACATCAGGAATCAGGAGAACTCAGAAGAACCCGCAGATTCACGATCAATCTCACGATAACGAGTCGTCTCTCTAAAGACAGACACATAGACATATAAGCAGTAGATTGTGTCCTTCCAGAGGAGGAAATCTACTTCTAGACTTCTAGAATCAGCATCTCCTCATCCATGGTGTCATCGGGGTGAAATGACGTCTAAAAACCTTTCACTTGTTCGTCTCCGCCCGTCTGCATGGTGGACTTACTTGAGTCCAGTTGTTCTTTAAACGAAGATCCAGAAATCCTAGATGCTGCCTCCTCAGTTTTAACGAGTCGAGGGTCCGCTCGGCTCGTGTGAGGTCAGTGTTCGGAGGGTGTCTGATGTGATTCCTGACTCTCTTTCTTTCGGATGAACATCGGTTCAGTCCGACTCTTCTCTCCGCCTCAGTCTTTCCTCTCTGTTCGGGTCGGGTCTCGGATCTTCTCCTCGTAAAGGTTTGATCAAACTCGGCCTTTCTCGTTTCCGCTCCGTCGCTCTTAATCTCACTAACCTTCTCGCCGTCTCCTCCCCCATCAGTCGCCGTCTCAGGATCAGCGCGGTGGAACCGGCTCTCGTCTCAGCGGTGAGGGTGATTGATTACCCATCAGCTCCCAGACTTAGCATCACTGCTGCTCCCTCTGAAGGACCAGCACCACCCTGATCCAAACCCGGGCTGTGACAGACTCCAGTGTCATTACAAAGGTTTTCATCTTCATCATCGTTAACCTCGTCAGACCTCATCATCAACAGGAAGTCAACCTTTAGTGATGACGGCGTCACGGCGCCATTGTCCTGAAGGATCACCTCGGCACCGACTCCAGAGGTTCTTCTCCGTCACGATTGTTCGAAGAGTGTGAGAAGGAAAGTGTTCATGTGGGAGGAGGAGGAGGAGGAGTGGAGCAGACCTCCTCCTCTCCTCCTCTGTGTGAGTGTGGAGCTCCAGAGGGATGGACTGATGGTTGGAGTGAAGCTGAACTGTTGGTGTTCCTGGATGACTCTGCAGATGTCTCACAGCGGAGGTCGAAGCAAACAGGCCGAGGTCTTCATGTTAGAGGAGGAGGAGACGGGTGGAGGAGCAGACGGGTGGAGGAGCAGACGGGTGGAGGAGCAGACGGGTGGAGGAGCAGACAGGAACCCGTTAAAGAAGCATCTTTTTATTTTGTGATTATAGAAACAAAAATCTTCTAATATCAGTCAATAGTTATTAGTTATTGATTATTTGGTAATATATCGATATCTCTGTGTTCTCTTCTGTCTGTGTCGTCAACATTTGAACATTTTTGAGCGGTCCGCTCTTTCTGACTGTAAACAAAGCCGTTCTCCACCTCCTCTAACCTGATTGGTTGTGAGGCAGACGCTGCTCCCCCGTGTCGTTCAGGAGCCCAAACAAAGTTAGCGTGCTACAATATCGGACAGTAGAAACCAACCAGAAAGTTCGGAAAATTGTCTGAATCCTCCTTTGGCCACGACTGCCGACACAAGCAAGAAAACACTCAAACATAAACAGTCAGCAAGAAAACAGTCAACAAGAAAACAGTCAACAAGAAAACAGTCAGCAAGAAAACAGTCAACAAGAAAACAGTCAACAAGAAAACAGTCAACCACAATCAACAAGAAAACAGTCAGCAAGAAAACAGTCAGCAGGAAAACAGTCAACAAGAAAACAGTCAACCACAATCAACAAGAAAACAGTCAGCAAGAAAACAGTCAACACCAAACCGGTCAAAAAGAAAACAGTCAACAAGAAAACAGTCAACAAGATAACAGTCAACCACAATCAACAAGAAAACAGTCAGCAAGAAAACAGTCAACAAGAAAACACTCAAACATAAACAGTCAGCAAGAAAACAGTCAACACCAAACCAGTCAACAGGAAAATGGTCAACAAAAAACAGTCAGCAAGAAAACAGTCAACAAGAAATCAGTCAACAAGAAAATGCTGCTCCCCCGTGTCGTTCAGGAGTCCAAACAAAGTTAGCGTGCTACAATATCGGACAGTAGAAACCAACCAGAAAGTTCGGAAAATTGTCTGAATCCTCCTTTGGCCACGACTGCCGACACAAGCAAGAAAACACTCAAACATAAACAGTCAGCAAGAAAACAGTCAGCAAGAAAACAGTCAGCAAGAAAACAGTCAACAAGAAAACAGTCAGCAAAAAACCAGTCAGCAAGAAAACAGTCAGCAAGAAAACAGTCAACAAGAAAACAGTCAACCATAAACAGTCAACACCAAAACAGTCAACAAAAAACAGTCAGCAAGAAAACAGTCAGCAAGAAAACAGTCAACCATAAACAGTCAGCAAAAAAACAGTCAGCAAAAAACAGTCAGCAAGAAAACAGTCAGCAAAAAAACAGTCAGCAAAAAACCAGTCAGCAAGAAAACAGTCAGCAAGAAAACAGTCAACAAGAAAACAGTCAACCATAAACAGTCAACACCAAAACAGTCAACACCAAAACAGTCAACAAAAAACAGTCAGCAAGAAAACAGTCAGCAAGAAAACAGTCAACCATAAACAGTCAGCAAAAAAACAGTCAACAAGAAAACAGTCAACACCAAAACAGTCACCAAAAAAAGTCAACAAGAAAACAGTCAACAAGAAAACAGTCAGCAAAAAAACAGTCAACAAAAAACAGTCAACAAAAAAACAGTCAACAAGAAAACAGTCAACAAGAAAACAGTCAGCAAGAAAACAGTCAGCAAGAAAACAGTCAACAAGAAAACAGTCAGCAAAAAACCAGTCAGCAAGAAAACAGTCAGCAAGAAAACAGTCAACAAGAAAACAGTCAACCATAAACAGTCAACACCAAAACAGTCAACAAAAAACAGTCAGCAAGAAAACAGTCAGCAAGAAAACAGTCAACCATAAACAGTCAGCAAAAAAACAGTCAGCAAAAAACAGTCAGCAAGAAAACAGTCAGCAAAAAAACAGTCAGCAAAAAACCAGTCAGCAAGAAAACAGTCAGCAAGAAAACAGTCAACAAGAAAACAGTCAACCATAAACAGTCAACACCAAAACAGTCAACAAAAAACAGTCAGCAAGAAAACAGTCAGCAAGAAAACAGTCAACCATAAACAGTCAGCAAAAAAACAGTCAACAAGAAAACAGTCAACACCAAAACAGTCACCAAAAAAAGTCAACAAGAAAACAGTCAACAAGAAAACAGTCAGCAAAAAAACAGTCAACAAAAAACAGTCAACAAAAAAACAGTCAACAAGAAAACAGTCAGCAAGAAAACGTCAACTATAATCAGTCAACAAGAAAACAGTCAACCATAAACAGTCAACACCAAACCGGTCAAAAAGAAAACAGTCTCTGGAGGAATAACGGGCGCTTAAAACGGAGGTAGACCGGACAAGAGCTAAAAAGCCGGGTCAACATAAACGATGGGGGACGCTTGGGGATCTTGGTGACCCTGTAACCTTTCTGCTGGACAGGTAAACCGCTTTAACAAAGTAAGACAAGTGTCTGTAACAGAAGTGTTTCTTGTCAAACGGACCTGCTGTAGCGTGTTGTAGCGCCATCGCTAAACTGTCCTCCCTCGGGTCCTGGACTATGTCACTTTATCCTCGTTGTAGAAGTCCTGCAAACATTGTGTTTGCTGGTAGTCTGTTGGCGTACTCGCCTCATTTCCACGAATAACTGTGAGCATCTGTACAGGCGCTCAAACACACGAGATACCGCAGAGAGGCGGGGTTTCCTTCTCGCCGTTTCAGTCTGTTTCCATCGGACACGGTTAAGGTTGACCACACTGAGAGGGTTAATCCGATTCCCTCGCTCCTTATTCCTGTTTCCATAGAAACAACGAGGCCGATCATATCGTCACCATCAGTTCGTCCTCCATTTTCCAGGTTAATAAACCCCCGTCAGTCTCTCTGATCTCATTGGCTGTCAGAGTCTGTGAGTCACTGGAGTTCAGATTCGTCGACCTTTTCACATGTAAATGAAGCGACAGCGACACACTGAACCTGTTGTGAGTTCGCTTTAGTCACACAAACAGCTGATTTCATGGCGTTTGCACCTTTTCATTCACGTCGCCCAATCAGAAGCGGCGTCTGAGCCCGTGGTCACAACTGTCTTCACCTTTATGGTCAAAAAACAGACGAACCCGTTTAGAAACGGAGCGGGTTCAGGTGACGTGAGAAACAAAACCTCAGGAACAGTCGGAGATGAAGATCTGCAGGAGTCACCAGTTTATCAGCCGCTCTGTTTGTCTCCTCCTCCTCCTCCTCCTCCTCACTCACTCACTCGCTCTCTGACAAAGACACAGACAGCGGCTCTCTCTCTCTCTCTCTCTCTCTCTCTCTCTCTCTCTCTCACACACACTGATTAATACGGAGCTGTCACGCATCCTTGTGTTTAGAAAGTCATCAGGCTTAATTGAAACACCTTAATTAGAACATAACTCGTCTTCGCTGCTTCAGGTCCAAACAGGCGCCAGTGAGCAGACGAGCGCACGTTCTGAGAGAACACATGCATGAGACAAATGGACGTAATGAGCAGGTGCACAGGTGAGTTCATCTCTGAGGACTGGAGGAGAGTTCAGCAGAAACGCTCTCTGTCGATTCGTTCTCCAGCTCCTCCGCTCGCTCGCTCCTCCACCCTCGGCTCCGTTTCATCCAAGTGTCAAATCAATATTTTTGAAACTCATAGAGCCGCGTGATCGATACAGCTGAAGTGTGGGAACGCTGTCAGCGAGACAAAGATTTAAAAAACGTGTGGCCGTGAGTGAAGTGTATCCGTGGCAACCGAGTCTTTGACTGATGCGGTGATTGTTTGGTTGCTAAGGCAAACGTTTCCACAAGTGTGAGTTAGAAACTAAAGGCGGACTCAAAATCAGAGCGTGAGAGGTCAGAGGAAGTGAGAGCGATGGTCATGGCGGTGAGTGTGCGAACACGTGGAGAGTTCAGGGTTATTGATGAGATACTCACCAATCAGACACTGATCCACCTTTAAGACATGGTCCATGTTTGTAACGGGCAGAACCGTCCAGAACATCGACTCTGAGGTTCTAACCTTCTGTCAGTCAGATGTTGCTCCTAAACCTGGAGATGTTGTCTAAAACCGAAGATGCAGCATCTATGATATCCAGCTCTTTGTTGAAAGGACAACTGGACTTAGTCTCATCTACGTCCACTTGCCCTTTCTATGCTGTGATTTAAGACTAAAAACAGATGTGTGTGAATCGTCAAATGTACTTAGGGTCACAAGTGCAAATAAAAAAATCAACAAATGTTTTTTTTTTCCTGTAAATACGGCGGTGAAGTTAGTTTCAGGTTGGATATATTTTCCTGTAAATACGGCGGTGAAGTTAGTTTCAGGTTGGATATATCTTCCTGTAAATACGGCGGTGAAGTTAGTTTTAGGTTGGATATATTTTCCTGTAAATACGGCGGTGAAGTTAGTTTCAGGTTGGATATATTTCCCTGTAAATACGGCGGTGAAGTTAGTTTCAGGTTGGATATATTTTCCTGTAAATACGGCGGTGAAGTTAGTTTTAGGTTGGATATATTTTCACGTCTGAGTGAGCAGCACACGCCCTCACAGCAGACCTATCGTTGATCAATAACAGGACCACACCTCCACAGTGACCTGTTCATGAATCTGCTGACTCGTCAATAGAGGGTTCATGGTGTCTGCTGATCAGTCCATTTACCGGCTGGTTCTCCTAACTCTCTCTCGATGAGTGGACCCGCCATCAGCTGATATCTCTCCATGTCTTTGGTTTCTATCACATGATCTTCCTCGTCAGCGTGGTCATCAACGTTTATTCAGCTGCTAACACCGCCTCATGTTTTTAACCATGTCTTTAAACTAAACTGACTTATCCTGTGAAAGGAGTGGGGGCTGGGTCTGCAGGTCTGCAGGTCTGCAGGTGTGGGGGGTCAGCGGTGGGTGGGCTCTTATCTGCTGAGGTCAGGACTCAGACTGATGAACCCCTGATTATAATCATCCAATCAGAGTAAAGTGAACAGTCTTTATGCTCAGGTGGATTATTTTGGGTCATGGTGGACATGATTGAGTATAACCGCCACACACACACGCACACACACACACACACACACACACACACACACACACACACACACACACACACACACACACACACACACACACACACACACACACACACACACGACTCTCAGCAGGCGGTAAAACGAGGAGTGGACTCAACATCCGTCGTGTTTCTGAGAGCAGCGCCACACTCAGCCTGTCGATGACATAAAGACGACGACGACCACGAGGCGCTCAAACTTCGGGACTCTCCGTCCTGAATGACTAACTTCCTGTCATCTAAAGTTTGAAAGCTACAACATAATAAACCCGTTTGGACTGAGCACTCCTCCTGACTTCTCCTCCTCCATTTTCACCAGTATGCAATATTGATTTCCCTCCATGTGGGTGATTTGGTTGCCGAGCAACAATAAATAATGTATTGCTCCTTTTGCCTCTACAGAGAGAGGAAACATGGTGCAGGCATCATTGTTTATGAAGGTCATGATTGTGCCTGAAGGTCATCCAGCCCATCACTCTTCATCATCTGGATCATCTGGACTTTGGTCTTTATTTTCTTCTCAGGTCTTCATGGAGGTCAGTCTACGTCGGGGTTCTTCATGCTGGTCAAATTCACTTCAAGTCCTGGTTGATGATCGTCAGATAAAAAAACTGAAGCCGTTGAGGCAGATTTGAAAAAAAGACACGTTAACTTGAATGGTTACGATCAGCTACGATCGGAGGATACGACCTTTTAGGAGACGATCAGGATGAAGGTGGAAAATTGGGGGCGGAGCTCAGAGAGGAGCTCTGTGTGTCTAAAAATATGTTTGGAGGTTTATCCTGAAACTTTATTTACAGACTTGGTTGATTCATTCAGGGTTAGAAACGCAGACCTGCAGCGAGCTTCATCAGCATGGAAAAGTGAGCTGAGCCTGGCTCTTCTTTAGCTCCTCCTCCTTCCGTCATGGCGGACTCACAGCTGCCACATCAGCTGGTTGGGACGTGTTGGTGATGGTCTGTAAAGCGTGGGCCCTCCTCTTCCTCGGTGTGACTAACAGGCCGTGAACCTCGTCTCGGCTGCGTGTTGAACACGTTCTCAGAGTTTTATTGACACAGCACTCACTGAAGCTTTAATTCATGTTGTTTATCCTCCTCAGGAGAGAGGCTCATTTTCTTTAACAGGGTTTCATGTCCGACCGTCCGTCACTTTGTCATTTATTAGGCATTAATAAAACATCAGGACCAAGGCCACACAGAGAACAGCAATAAGCTGCTCTGATAGCCGCATCAGCATTTGTGTGGTTTGTTGATGAGACTAAAGTACCACTTCCAGGTCTCTGAGGACGGACGACGTTCATCCCTCTCTGTTCGCCGTTCATGTTAGCGGTTCTCTGTAAATAAAACCCTCACAGGTCAGAGTAAATAGGAGAGGCGACCACACTCATTATTTGTCTGTTTTTCTGCTGTCCCACTTAATTTATGTGAATTCATTTTCAGCTAACAGCTCTTCACTGCTGAGTGCTAAGTGATTTATTGACTATATGAGCCAACGATGTTTAAATGGTGTGAGTGTGAAGATAATGGTGCAGAAAGAGCCTAATGGTCGCTGCTCTCAGTGTAACTAAACTCCAGCCCACTTCAGTCCGCTCCATTAGAGAAGAGACTGTCTGTGCGTGAGCAAACTACACATGAGCGAACTACAGCTGATCTCTAACAACCTCTCTGTCTGTGCGTGAGCAAACTACACATGAGTGAACTACAGCTGATCTCTAACAACCTCACTGTCTGTGTGTGAACAAACTACAGAGACTAAACATGAACTACAGAGACCAAACATGAACTACAGAGACCAAACATGAACTACAGAGACCAAACATGAACAAACTACAGAGACCAAACATGAACAAACTACAGAAACCAAACATGAACTACAGAGACCAAACATGAACTACAGAGACCAAACATGAACAAACTACAGAGACCAAACATGAACTACAGAGACCAAACATGAACTACAGAGACCAAACATGAACAAACTACAGAGACCAAACATGAACTACAGAGACCAAACATGAACAAACTACAGAGACCAAACATGAACTACAGAGACCAAACATGAACAAACTACAGAGACCAAACATGAGCTACAGAGACCAAACATGAACAAACTACAGAGACCAAACATGAACTACAGAGACCAAACATGAGCAAACTACAGAGACCAAACATGAACTACAGAGACCAAACATGAACAAACTACAGAGACCAAACGTGAACTACAGAGACCAAACATGAACAAACTACAGAGACCAAACATGAACAAATTACAGAGACCAAACATGAACTACAGAGACCAAACATGAACTACAGAGACCAAACATGAACTACAGAGACCAAACATGAACTACAGAGACTAAACATGAACAAACTACAGAGACCAAACATGAACTACAGAGACCAAACATGAACTACAGAGACCAAACATGAACAAACTACAGAGACCAAACATGAACTACAGAGACTAAACATGAACTACAGAGACCAAACATGAACTACAGAGACCAAACATGAACTACAGAGACCAAACATGAACTACAGAGACCAAACATGAACAAACTACAGAGACCAAACATGAGCAAACTACAGAGACCAAACATGAGCATACTACAGAGACCAAACATGAACTACAGAGACCAAACATGAGCAAACTACAGAGACCAAACGTGAACTATAGAGACCAAACATGAACAAACTACAGAGACCAAACATGAACTACAGAGACCAAACCTGAACTACAGAGACCAAACATGAACTACAGAGACCAAACATGAACAAACTACAGAGACCAAACATGAACTACAGAGACCAAACATGAACAAACTACAGAGACCAAACATGAGCTACAGAGACCAAACATGAACTACAGAGACCAAACATGAACTACAGAGACCAAACATGAACAAACTACAGAGACCAAACATGAACTACAGAGACCAAACATGAGCAAACTACAGAGACCAAACATGAACTACAAAGACCAAACATGAACTACAGAGACTAAACATGAACTACAGAGACCAAACATGAACTACAGAGACCAAACATGAACTACAGAGACCAATCATGAACAAACTACAGAGACCAAACATGAGCAAACTACAGAGACCAAACATGAGCAAACTACAGAGACCAAACATGAACTACAGAGACCAAACATGAGCAAACTACAGAGACCAAACGTGAACTACAGAGACCAAACATAAACAAACTACAGAGACCAAACATGAACTACAGAGACCAAACATGAACTACAGAGACCAATCATGAACAAACTACAGAGACCAAACATGAGCAAACTACAGAGACCAAACATGAGCAAACTACAGAGACCAAACATGAACTACAGAGACCAAACATGAGCAAACTACAGAGACCAAACGTGAACTACAGAGACCAAACATAAACAAACTACAGAGACCAAACATGAACTACAGAGACCAAACATGAACAAACTACAGAGACCAAACGTGAACTACAGAGACCAAACATGAACAAACTACAGAGACCAAACATAAACAAACTACAGAGACCAAACATGAACTACAGAGACCAAACATGAACAAACTACAGAGACCAAACGTGAACTACAGAGACCAAACATGAACAAACTACAGAGACCAAACATAAACAAACTACAGAGACCAAACATGAACTACAGAGACCAAACATGAACTACAGAGACCAAACATGAACTACAGAGACCAAACATGAACTACAGAGACCAAACATGAACTACAGAGACCAAACGTGAACTACAGAGACCAAACATAAACAAACTACAGAGACCAAACATGAACTACAGAGACCAAACATGAGCAAACTACAGAGACCAAACATGAACTACAGAGACTAAACATGAACAAACTACAGAGACCAAACATGAACTACAGAGACCAAACATGAACTACAGAGACCAAACATGAACTACAGAGACCAAACATGAACAAACTACAGAGACCAAACATGAACTACAGAGACTAAACATGAACTACAGAGACCAAACATGAACTACAGAGACCAAACATGAGCAAACTACAGAGACCAAACATGAGCAAACTACAGAGACCAAACATGAACTACAGAGACCAAACATGAGCAAACTACAGAGACCAAACATGAGCAAACTACAGAGACCAAACATGAACTACAGAGACCAAACATGAACTACAGAGACTAAACATGAATAGACTACAGAGACCAAACATGAACTACAGAGACCAAACATGAACTACAGAGACCAAACATGAACTACAGAGACTAAACATGAACTACAGAGACCAAACATGAACAAACTACAGAGACCAAACATGAACTACAGAGTCTAAACATGAACTACAGAGACCAAACATGAGCAAACTACAGAGACCAAACATGAACTACAGAGACCAAACATGAACTACAGAGACCAAACATGAACTACAGAGACCAAACGTGAACTACAGAGACCAAACGTGAACTACAGAGACCAAACGTGAACTACAGAGACCAAACATGAACTACAGAGACCAAACATGAACTACAGAGACCAAACATGAACAAACTACAGAGACCAAACATGAACTACAGAGACCAAACATGAGCAAACTACAGAGACCAAACATGAACTACAGAGACTAAACATGAATAGACTACAGAGACCAAACATGAACTACAGAGACCAAACATGAACTACAGAGACCAAACATGAGCAAACTACAGAGACCAAACATGAGCAAACTACAGAGACCAAACATGAACTACAGAGACCAAACATGAACTACAGAGACCAAACATGAGCAAACTACAGAGACCAAACATGAGCAAACTACAGAGACCAAACATGAACTACAGAGACCAAACATGAACTACAGAGACTAAACATGAATAGACTACAGAGACCAAACATGAACTACAGAGACCAAACATGAATAAACTATAGAGACCAAACGTGAACTACAGAGACCAAACATGAATAAACTATAGAGACCAAACATGAACTACAGAGACCAAACATGAACTACAGAGACCAAACATGAACTACAGAGACTAAACATGAATAAACTATAGAGACCAAACATGAACTACAGAGACCAAACATGAACTACAGAGACCAAACATGAACTACAGAGACCAAACATGAGCAAACTACAGAGACCAAACATGAATAAACTATAGAGACCAAACATGAACTACAGAGACCAAACATGAACTACAGAGACCAAACATGAACTACAGAGACCAAACATGAACTACAGAGACCAAACATGAACAAACTACAGAGACCAAACATGAACTACAAAGACCAAACATGAACTACAGAGACTAAACATGAACTACAGAGACCAAACATGAACTACAGAGACCAAACATGAGCAAACTACAGAGACCAAACATGAACTACAGAGACCAAACATGAACAAACTACAGAGACCAAACATGAACTACAGAGACCAAACATGAACTACAGAGACCAAACATGAACTACAGAGACCAAACCTGAACTACAGAGACCAAACATGAACTACAGAGACCAAACATGAATAAACTATAGAGACCAAACATGAACTACAGAGACCAAACCTGAACTACAGAGACTAAACATGAACAAACTACAGAGACCAAACATGAACTACAGAGACCAAACATGAACTACAGAGACCAAACATGAAAAAACTACAGAGACTAAACATGAACTACAGAGACCAAACATGAACAAACTACAGAGACCAAACATGAACTACAGAGACCAAACATGAGCAAACTACAGAGACCAAACATGAGCAAACTACAGAGACCAAACATGAACTACAGAGACCAAACATGAACAAACTACAGAGACCAAACATGAATAAACTATAGAGACCAAACATGAACTACAGAGACCATACATGAACTACAGAGACCAAACCTGAACTACAGAGACTAAACATGAACAAACTACAGAGACCAAACATGAACTACAGAGACCAAACATGAACTACAGAGACCAAACATGAAAAAACTACAGAGACTAAACATGAACTACAGAGACCAAACATGAACAAACTACAGAGACCAAACATGAACTACAGAGACCAAACATGAGCAAACTACAGAGAACAAACATGAACAAACTACAGAGACCAAACATGAACTACAGAGACTAAACATGAACTACAGAGACCAAACATGAACTACAGAGACCAAACATGAACAAACTACAGAGACCAAACATGAACTACAGAGACCAAACATGAACTACAGAGACCAAACATGAACTACAGCTGATCTTCAACAAACTCAGTCAGGATCACAGGTTGGTTTATGAACAGGATCCTGGTTCTGATGCACAGACCTCATAAGTCTGAACTAGAGTCCTGCAGAGTCAGGCTGCAGACAGACCTGGACCCCCCCACCCCATGAGTGTAGACCAGAGAGGGGGATCTGGGCCGACTAGCTTGGTCTGCTGTCACCATGGGTTGGGTGGATGGATGATGGATGGATGGATGGAAATTATTACATTTATTAAGTTCTTAATATTAGGACCCTTATTGTTATAACTGCATTTTGCACTTTCTGTCTTGTCTGTGATGCTGCTGTGACAAAAAAATTTCCCCCATGGGGGATCAATAAAGGAATATTCTATTCTATTCTATTCTATATGATGGACGTCCTTCTGAGTGTTGACAGCCTTTCATGCATGTTTTGCTGATACTGCCACCTTGTGGTGATGCAGGTATAAATATTTCACCCCCTCAGTCTTTTCCATCAGAGCCATGAACGATTATAACAACATCAAAAATAAAGAGACTTTTTATCGGTTTAAAATAAACAATATTCTATAAAAAGTCATTTTAACATGGGCCTCTATGGGGACCGACTCTCTTTGGGGGAAAGCCTCTAGTGGAGACAAGAAGAACTGCACTTTTTTCCTTGTTTTACTTTTGCACTTCCTCTTGTCCATATATGGTCACTTCTGGTTCAGAGGTGCCAAAGTAAAGGCAGAAACAAAGTTAAAGGCTGTCAGTTTTAATTTGACACTCTGACGATCAAAATCCCAGAGGTTATCAATAAATCTGTCCCGCCTGTCACCTCTGATCCCGGCGTGTCAAACATGTCCTTCAGAGCGAGGAACTCATGCCGCAGAGACATAATTCATCACTCTTGTTTGGTTGATAATTTAGATGATTTCGGATCAATTTCAGAGCCGCAGAAATAATAAAAGCAGTTCTGCCAATTAGACGGATGACGGTCCATCCACCACGAGCCGTTCTGACTCTCATTAATATAAACATGACAGACGTTCGACAGTCTGATAATAAAGTGAGTCAGGGCTCCAACCTCATCATAACTCATTCTGACGCCTGGCGCTGTAACCGTCAGAGAGACAGTTTGAAAAATGGAGGAGAGACTTTCACACGTCGTCCAGGAGGGTTGATTTACAGACCGCCGTCGTCTGAATCTGACAACCTGCAACACAGCGGCACGTCTGCTGATGAAAATCTATTTTAGCAACCTCAAACTTTCCAAATGAACTCAGACACGGCAGAGTCAAACATTAACCGGCGCCCCCCGCATGGAGCGCTGTGGTTTTAGAGAAATCAATGAGAATTTTACGGCCCAGTTGTCCTGGTTTTATCTCTCAGAGCCTGCTGAGCTCTCACAGCAGATCTGATGTGGAGATGAAGAGGAAAGTCTGCAGGACGGCAGATCTGAGCTGAGAGAGCACACGCACTGTGGAGGGGCGAGGCTTCGGCTGGTCATTAATTCAGTTTCTGAGGGGTTCGAAAAATGCAGGATGCACTTTGATTTGATTCATCAGCGTTTGGGGGAGTGGTGGCGGTAATCAGCAGAGCCTCGCCATGACGCTCCTTTGGCACGAGCCCAGATGGTGTGTTTGTTGTAGCTGTGTGACTCATATTTTTTTAGCACATTAGGTTTTTATTAACATTTTATTCATGCAAAAGACACAGCAAAGGAGGAAAGTACAAAGAGAGCAGCGTGACACCAGGCTGCAAACAAACAGAGACACAGAGAAAATCTTCTCAAAGCAGGAGAGCTCAGAGGAGCAGAGGAGGAGAGAGGAGGAGAAGAAGAAGAAGAAGAAGAAGAAGAAGAAGAAGAAGAAGAAGAAGAAGAAACCCATGTGTCACATTTCCAGTCGTTACACCCACAGATGCTCACCGCCTGCAGGCACATTATTAAATACCCTCGCTCTGTGGTTCCCTTTAAAACACATGAAGCTTTTTTTCTAAAGGATGAAATATGAACTTAGACTCAATCAGATGTAAAGTAGTGACCTCTGGATGTCCTTCAGATACGTGAAGATTTAAAACAGAGTGTCTTTCTGGTGTAAAACAGTGAAGAAGTTTCCTCCTTATATGTTTTCTTCTTACAGTTTTTCTCAAAGGTACATTTAATAAAACTGAAGATAGGATTCCCTCTCAGGGTCCTACCTGGATATAAGAGATGGGGGACATCTATAAAAAGACATCTATAAAAAGACATCTATAAAAAGTCCTCTGGATGAGTTAAAAAATGACCTCCAAAAGCCAGTTGATTATCTGTTAATCATGTTCTAATAATTCTTTGTTTTCTTTCACATTAAAGGTGAAGTAAACAGGAACCTGTTAAAGAAGCATCTTTTTATTTTGTGGTTTTTAAACAAAAAATCTTCTAATATCAGTCAATAGTTATTAGTTATTGATTATTTGGTAATATATCGATATCTCTGTGTTCTCTTATGTCTGTGTCGTCAACATTTGAACATTTTTGAGCGGTCCGCTCTTTCTGACTGTAAACAAAGCCGTTCTCCACCTCCTCTAACCTGATTGGTTGTGAGGCAGACGCTGCTCCCCCGTGTCGTTCAGGAGCCCAAACAAAGTTAGCGTGCTACAATATCGGACAGTAGAAACCAACCAGAAAGTTCGGAAAATTGTCGGAATCCTCCTTTGGCCACGACTGCCGACACAAGCAAGAAAACAAAGTAAATACCGGAGACTCTGGAGGAATAACGGGCGCTTAAAACGGAGGTAGACCGGACAAGAGCTAAAAAGCCGGGTCAACATAAACCATGGGGGACGCTTGGGGATCTTGGTGACCCTGTAACCTTTCATTTGTAATGATCTGAAGGATTTATCTGCATTATATCTGAGTTTAATTGGAACAAAAACTGGGACTTCCTCAGATCCTGACTTCACCACCTTTAATGGATTTCTCCTCTTAGACAGATTTGACCTGATTACAGGAACGTTCAGAGTCGATCTCTGTTCGTCTGACTTCAGTGTTTCTCCAGGATCACATGATCAGAGTCGGCCTCGATGGTCAGGAAGAACCTCGTCTCTCTCTCTGTTCTCTCTGTGGTCCCAGCTCTCTGCAGCTGCTGTCTCCAGTCATTATCAAACTGTATTTATGTTCACAAGCTGCTTGCTGGAAATGGGACATCTGAGCTTCCATTCTTCCTGATGATGAAGTGAATCCTGCAGCTCGATGAACGTGATGTTTTCTGCCCTTTCTCTAACGCTGTTGGAGTCTCCTGTGAGACTAATATCCTCTTCCTGTTTACCTGGGCTCTGAGAGGACATATTTAGGCAGGTGACCCTCTGATTCAGGACAGCAGTGAGACGTCATAAATCCGAGTCCTCGGGCTTTCAGAGCTGAGTGAGGTGTGATGAAAATGAAGAGTGGGATAATCACACCGAGGGTCTGATAGAAACACAGTCAGAGGCTGAGAGCTCTGAGTTTAAACCACCTCTGAATCCTCACCACCTCACCATCCAGGCTTCAAACTTCATCCACTCCCACAGTAAACACTCCAAAAATGAACTTTCTAATAATCAATCAGCTTCATGGAGATACTGAATCCTGTCACTGATGTCTCTGATCAATAGTGTCTCAGTTTTCCTGTTTGTAGGTTAAAAAGACACGTGAGGATGAGGAGCGCTGTTCACACCGACTTTACTTTCTCATTAATTAAACTTCAGTCTCTCTGCAGCTCGGCGAGAAACAAAGTCTGGAGTCTGGATCTGAAACCAGATTCCTCACGTTGTACAAACAGCTCCCGGCAGTATTTGTAAAGCAGCGTTTGGACCTCGCAGATCTTCATCAGGTCTTAATAACCCTGAAGACGACCTGTTTGCACGGTGAGCAGATCCTCTGATGGGTTCCTGCAGACAGAACCGAGCTGCACACAGCGTGGATTACTCCGTATTCTGTCTGGACCAGCAGAAAATACACGTGGATGTATCATCTCGACGCCCCCTTGCTCACCCCTCTCATCAGTGAAGGGACGGTGGCCTTTGAGGACAAAAAGCTCCTGTGAAGTGTGATAAGTCTGATCCTACATTCATCATCTTTTTACCATCACAAACTTTATGGATACAAAGTCATGTGAACAACATCAGCTGATCTCACTCTGAACAGACTAAACATGTTTGATTCCTGCTGGTTTGTCCCTCCTGAGCTACAGTAGAAAGCGTGCGAGCAGCCTCCGGAGCGAGGACCCGCTGCTTCATCAGGATTATAATATTTCATTCAGCAGAAACTCCTTCAGTCAACGCCCTGACCTGACCACAGCCTGAACTCTCCTCAGCGTGCACACGGAGAAGTTCCTCCACCCGTCCCCAGTCTCCCCTATCTTCTCCCTGATGCAGCAGAGTCCTGCAGGGTCAGGTGACTCAAAGAAACGAAGTAAAAGGTGAGCTCGTGGTGTCCTGCAGAGAGTGGAAATGGATGTGAAGCCTGCTCTGCTCTCTTTGTACACTCTCTCTCTCTCTCTCTCTCTCTCTCTCTCTCTCTCTCTCTCTCTCTCTCTCTCTCTCTCTCTCTCTCTCTCTCTCTCTCTCTCTCTCTCTCTCTCTCTCTCTCTCTGATTATTGCCGTCTGAAGAAGGAGTCCTTGAGTCTTCTGTGGAAATCAGATATCCAGGTCAGTCTCTGTCCTCCTCTGATGGAGCTTTTCTCACACGTATTGATCCCCTCTCTGCTTCCTCTGCTTGTTCGGGGTTGAATACTCTCTGAAAATGTATTCAGCGTCTCTGCGGCGCCGACATCGATGAAAAGCAGAGCAGTGACACGCGGTTTCTATGAAACTGATCAGCTTCTCTGTTTTCTTTTGGACACCGTGTGTTCACACGGACTCGAGTCCCCCAGTCATGATCCTGAACCTGGTCATACTGTGGTGTTTATGTGCACAATTAAATTCAGATATAATGCAGATAAATACTTCAGATCATTACAAATGGGGCCCAGTCAAGGTGAAAGTCAAAAGCATTGGTGCTACTGTAGATGCCAACAGACTACCAGCAAACACAATGTTTGCAGGACTTCTACAACGAGGATAAAGTGACATAGTCCAGTCTGGAGAACGTCTTTGTTTACAGTCAGAAAGAGCGGACCGCTCAAAAATGTTCAAATGTTGACGACACAGACAGAAGAGAACACAGAGATATCGATATATTACCAAATAATCAATAACTAATAACTATTGACTGATATTAGAAGAGTTTTTGTTTGTCAGAAAAGAGATTTTAAAGGATTAGATCCATGCGCCTCATTAAAGGAGGATCTGTTCGGCTCAGACTTCAGCTCAGTGTAACGACTGAACTACATGACAGAGAGTGAACTCAGCGTGGACGACAGTCAGGGAGGAGGAATCAGACCGTTTCATTCAGCTGGGATTAAAAAACGTGTTGATAAACTGACCTGATAAACGTTCCTCTGCTCTGCACTGATTTACTCTGATACTCTGCAGTTACGACTGTGCAGGAATCTGAGCGATCTGCTGACGTTCAGCAAGTCTAAGAGCCGAGAGTCTGACAGAAGAGCACGCAGCTGATGAAGTCGTTTGTGTGTTTGTGTGTGTCGGAGGCAAACAGAGAAAGTGTTTTTAAAAGTGTTTGCTCACCTGATGCTCCAGCTCGCTTCACTTCAGGGAGAGAAACGGCGCCAAACAGAGTTATATGAAGTCTGTGAAGTTAGTTGCACGGCAACCGTGATGAAAGTCTTTATCTGCTCTTTGTTGTGAAGCTGCTGTGTGATGTGACTGTAACAGGCGTCTCCAGGACTCTGCTGTTTTTCACTGTAATCATCAGGAACTGTGTGGAGAGTCTCTGTTTCTCTGCACCCACTTTGGTTCAGCCTGGTGGATTCTGGTTCTGAAAGAAAAAGACGGAGTCAAAGTGGGATCAGCTGATATTTGAGGTTTAGAAATCAAACCCAGGAGATCAACTCTGAGTGTTTCTGTGACATCCAGGAGTTTTTTTTTATCCCACAGAGATGATCAGAGTGTCAGAGATCCAATCCCTTCAAAAACAAAGGTTACCTGTGAAGGTGTGTGGATTCATTTAATTCATTAATGTCATCAGCTTGCTAAGAGGCTGCCATCTTCACTACAAAAATACCTGTGAGTTAGCTGTGAAATAAAAAGGCAAATTAATGAAATAATTATTTTAGAAATATAAGTCAAAGATTATTTATGAAGCACCTTTAAAAGACAGCAGTCAAACAAAGTGACGTACATGAGATAAATAAAAGGAGTAAATAAATATAACAATTAAAAAATAAAATTAAAACAGTGGAATAAAATACAGACAGTAAAAGAATATAAACTACAGTACCTCTGATTCCTGTGTGCTCATTTATCAATCATCAAATGTGATTGATGGAACATTTTACCCTGATTATTTTAGTTAATTATCTGAGAATTATAAAATAAAGTTTTTTGTAAGTCATGTATTCTATTCTTTTTAAATTTCAAAAGTGATTTAAATAATTACAAAATAAAAAGTCTGATTTTTGTCCTAAAAGTCTCGTTGATTCAGGAGAACAAGGTAGAAATGTTTATCCACAAAAATCCAAGATGGTCAAATTATCCTGTTAATTCAGATAAAATGACATTTTTCTCTTGTCTTAATTTAACACGTTTCTGTTCTAAAAACAGTCTTTCTTTGAGGAAAGTTCCATTTCGCTGATAATGATTAAATAAACTTGTTTTAATAAACTTGTTTTCGTTCCTGTGTTTGAGTAAGTCAGTTAGCGGAACCTTGTTACTGGAGTATTTGTTCCCACACGGCGCTCTGTTCTGACCCTCCGTTTGACTTCCTGTTAGCAGCCCTAACAGAGAAGATAAGCTAACCAGTGTTTTTATATGTTTGACCAACAAATGTTGAAGTAGAGTAAAGACTGAGGGTTAGACATGATTCCGTACACGGTCAACATTAAACTGGCGGCTCGGACTCTGACCGGAACTCTGAACCTTCAGAATAAAACCGCAGTGGACTGGTGAGTGGAGCTGTTAGCATGTTAGCATGTTAGCCTGTTAGTAAATATACCTACTGTTCTTTAAACCGATCCGATCGTATTATCGCGGTTTTATCGGCTGTTTATATTAAACTCCTCTTTGGATCGACTGTCACTGAAACCGGATCAGGTTTTAGTTCAGAATCGGGTCTACATGGACCCTCCTGGGTCATGTGATCTGAGACCCGAGTCCACATGATCAGGATCAGGGTCTAAATAGGGGAGAGTGGGGTAAGATGATCCGTGTTTCATATTTGGGATCAAATCAAGTCAGTGTGATACTGTGTGTGTGTGTGTGTGTGTGTGTGTGTGTGTGTGTGTGTGTGTGTGTGTGTGTGTCTCTAACTGTGTGTGTGTGTGTGTCTCTCTGTGTGTGTGTGTGTGTGTGTGTGTGTGTGTGTGTGTGTGTGTGTGTGTCTCTAACTGTGTGTGTGTGTGTGTGTGTGTGTGTGTGTGTGTGTGTGTGTCTGTCTTACTGTGTGTCTCTAACTGTGTGTGTGTGTCTTACTGTGTGTGTGTGTGTGTGTGTGTGTGTCTCTAACTGTGTGTGTGTGTCTTACTGTGTGTGTGTGTGTGTGTGTGTGTGTCTCTAACTGTGTGTGTGTGTGTGTGTGTCTTACTGTGTGTGTGTGTGTCTTTGACTGTGTGTGTGTGTGTCTGTAACTGCGTGTCTCTAACTGTGTGTCTGTGTGTGTGTGTGTGTGTGTGTGTGTGTGTGTGTGTGTGTGTCTCTGACTGTGTGTGTGTGTGTGTGTGTGTGTGTGTGTGTGTGTGTGTGTGTCTCTAACTGTGTGTGTGTCTCTAACTGTGTGTGTGTGTGTGTCTCTAACTGTGTGTGTGTTTGTGTGTGTGTCTCTAACTGTGTGTGTGTGTGTGTGTGTGTCTCTAACTGTGTGTGTGTCTGTGTGTGTGTGTGTCTCTAACTGTGTGTGTGTGTGTGTCTCTAACTGTGTGTCTCTAACTGTGTGTGTGTCTGTCTGTGTGTGTCTGTAACTCGTGTCTCTGCAGATATCTCTGGATGTTGTTCGTCTCTGTAAACCATCAGACTGAGTGTAAACAGAACTGTCATCTTCATTATACAGCAGAACAAAAACAGGGTCTCCTCCTCACATTCATGTGTATTTTTATCTATTATACTCTATTCTACGGTGGCCGAGACCTTCCACTGCTGCAAATACAAAAATAATTAAAAAAAAAAAAGAATGAATAATGGATCCAATGAAAAGCACTTTGAGGGTTGCTGTTTCAGCGCTGTATGAAATCTGAAGCATTAATTAATTAATCAATGATGGTTTCAGGATCTTTAAAAAAAAGAAAAATTAAAAAATTAAATATTATTTTAATTTTTAAAGTCTTTTTTTCAAATCTGACCTCAGTAACATGTTTTGTATAAAGTCATTAAAAGGTTCATGTTGGTGCGACCTTAGCTCTTCTTAAAGGGATATTCTGCTGTAAAATTAAGTTATGGTCAAACACCGAGTTAGACCCCGCCTCCAGAGATGAATGTTGTCGACCGCTTCCTTCTCTAGTTATACCAACTTTAGTAACGACCGCAGGATAGAAATACAGAGAGCCACGCCCCCAACCAAAACGCCACTCTATAGCCACAAATAATGCTCAGAACAGCACCTAACTTCATCAACAGGACATATAGGGTCACAGACATAGTACTAGACACCAAACATCTTTTTAACTTTGACTCATTTCTTTAGCAAAGAGACTAAACACAACTCACCTACTCTCTTCCAGCAGCCACTTGTTTGTAGTGAGACCTCAGGCCAGTCCATTACAGACTACAGCGGGGTGCCGCAGCTCAAGGAAGAACATTTATGATCATTTCTTCATGGAAATACAATCAGACCGAGACGCTAAGACAGAAGAACTACCGCGTCTGTAAATTGATCAATATGGTGATTATTACTTCAAGGAAATGATGAAGAAATGATCATAAATGTTCTTCCTTGAGCTGCGGCACCCCGCTGTAGTCAGTAATGGACAACAGTGTAAATATACTAAAGTTGGTATAACTAGAGAAGCAAGCGGTCGGCAACATTCGGTGGGTTTGACTCTAACTTAATTTCACACCAGAATATCCCTTTAATGGAGCCCTCACAGACAACATGGACTCTGATGGTCCCCAGACCATCAGGGATGCTGGATGTGGACTGGGAGCTGAGTGGACCCTCTCCTCAGCCCTCAGGACAGTTTTCCTCTTCATCTCTGTCCGTCTTTAATAATGAAAGGAGATCGCTGATTTCTCTGAGTTATCAGGAAGTTCTCTGTTAAAATCAGTTTAATTTAATTCAACTCAGATGGACAGGAAGTGAGGAGCAGGTCGTCTCCGTCGGCGTTCCCTGTAACTGTCAGATGTTGTTTCATAGTTAGAGGACACAGGTGCAGTCTGACTGGATCAGCAGCGTAGAGTTTCATGTCTGCAGAGAGGTGATGGAGGGTTGATCTGACTGACTCAGCAGCTTTGGAGCGACACTAACTGAGTGGAAACAGCTGGAGGAGGACCTGACTCTGAGTCTGTCTCATAAAAATACAGAGCTCTGATTTGTTCCTCGTCGTTATCTCTGTGTGGTCCGGAGCAGACCTCTGTAAAAACCAGCTCTGCAGAGGACATCTCTCTCAGCTCCCTCCTCATCACTCACCTTCCTCTTCCTCGGACTTTTATTTTGTAGGGGCTGGCAGGGCCTGATAGCTCAGGGATGTCACTCCAGTATTCTCATCATCGACCCGAAGACGTCTCAGACCATCCAGGTGCTGGAGAAGCACAAAGCTATCGTGGTCAAGGTGAGTCTTCTTCTGCTCGCATGTCTTTGTCGTTATCTCACACACACACACACACACACGCACACACACACACACGCACGCACGCACGCACACACACGCACACACACACGCATGCGCACACACGCACACACACACACACACGCACGCACACACGCATGCACACACACACGCATGCACACACACACACACACGCACACATGCACACACACACACACACACACACACGCATGCACACACACACGCATGCACGCACGCACACACGCACACACACACACACACACGCACACATGCACACACACACACACACACACACACATGCACGCACACACACACACGCACACTCTCCTGAAGTTTATATCAGATTTCTCTCAGATTCGCCTCCTTTCAAAATAAAGTGATGATTTAGTTTAATATCATAAAAAGTCAGTAAAGTTTATTTATACAGATAAAAATCCCTGAACATAAATCAGTGTAATTAGATATAAAACAAAAGTACAGATACAGACAGGAATAACAGAACAGGTGAGTATGGAATTAAGAGCAGGTATAAAGAGACAAACTGAACCCTGTTCATTCAAAGATTCAGATCCACTGAGATCGTTCCAGAGTCTGGGGACTACGGTCTCCCCGAGTCTTAAACCGGGTCTTCGGCTCCATTAGGAGGTTCTGGCCTGACGACCGAAGGGTGGGCCTCGGAGAGCAGGGGCACAACGAATCAGTGATGTACTGGAGGGTCTGACCACGCAGCACCCGGAGAGTCAGAACTAACATTTTAAAGTTAATATGAAAATTAACCGACAGCCAATCAGGACGTGATTAGACGAGCAGATTTGGGCGTGTCTGTCTGAAGTCTCCTCATCATCACCGCCTTATCAAAACAAATAAAGAAGTACAGTCATCAATACGAGATGAGATGAACACATGAATGATCAATTCTACATCACTATCCCACTGTCTCTTATTCCTGCTGTTAATGTTTCTGTTCATGTTTTTATCCAGTTAGTCCATCAGCACAAATGTAGATCGACCTCATTGATCCGACCGTCTGTTTCACGTCAGGCTGATCATTAATGAGCGCAGAGTCTGACAAGTGTGGAATCAAATCCACTTTCACTAACACTCCAGACCTCGTGGAAAAAGTTTCTGAGACATTTTAAAGTCTAAAATATTCTGTAATAATGAGATGTAGAGTTCAGGACCAGAGAGGAGGTGACCTGGGGCCTCCACTCCTTCATAGATCTATAAAACCAGATCTCCATCTTAACTAAACCAATGAGCAGAGACGATCCTGGAGGAGGGTTTGTGGATTTACCGCCATAGAAGTTCTGTCACTGAAACCAGGAGAGGGTTAATAAAGGTCAATAAAGGTCAATAAAGGTTAATAAAGGTCAATAAAGGTCAATAAAAGTCAATAAAGGTCAATAAAGGTCAGTAAAGACTGCGTTTAAAAGATTTTATTATTTTTCAGTTTTTTAATGTTTCAGTCAGAGCAGCAGAGAGCCCTGTGTGTGTGTGTGTGTGTGTGTGTGTGTGTGTGTGTGTGTGTGTGTGTGTGTGTGTGTGTGTGTGTGTGTGTGTAGTAAGGGTAGGTAATGAATTGTGCACTGATTACTCGGAGCCCGGCCTCAATCAGACGCTCTCTCATTCTTCACTCGGACACAGACTTTAATCTTCTGACGCTCCGCAGACGCAGAGCGAGTCGTCCGTCTGCACGCCGCATCAGAACACAAACCAAAGTAAAGAACAGGAAATACTCCGACACAATCAATTATTCAGAGAGCGACTCCCTCACAGAGTCATTTGTCATTTTGAGAGCAGACTATCGACTTTTGCATCTCAGTGTTTACGGCGCAAAGTTTCCGACTAAACAAACGAAAAAAACACGTTTAAAAGAAGAAATCTGTGAATAAATAAAAAGAACATGAATAAAAAGTTTGACGGTCAGTTAGAGATGGATTTATGATTCAAGTTTATCAGGATATGAAGTCATTAGATGTCCTGCAGCACAGTCTCTCTGTGCGACGGAGGAAAACGAACACGTTTACAGGAAAAACAGAGAGAACAGAAAATCAACCATCAGAGTCACTCAGAAAAACAGAGCAGAGGAGACGTGTCTGAGACGGTCGTCTGTGAAATCAGCTCCAGAAACAGGAAAACTGAAGGAATAGAGCGGACCTTCGTACAATAAAGAAGTTAAAATAAACAGACAGATAGATAGATAGATAGATAGATAGATAGATAGATAGATATACTTTATTGATCCAAACTGGGAAATTCTCTTGTTACAGCAGCAAATAGAGAATACAGAATAACATTAAATATAAGAAGTAAGTATAATGCAGACTAAAAATACTAAGTATATACAATAAACACAGACTGAATATGCTAAACATACTAAGAGATAAAAGTGAGATATGAAGAACGTGGGCTATTGAGATGAGTCATAAATATACAATGCTAAATATTAAATATTACAGATGGGGTGAAAGATATGCAGACAGTTTAAGGTGCTCAGTAATGTGATGTGGTTGGAGTTTTAAAAATGGACTTTACAGCAGAGTGAGAGTTATTAAATAGTGCAAAACTGTTCAGGGACATTCTGAGAAGAGTGGAGAGGTTTTTATTACACATGAAAACTGGACAGGAAGAATTCATATGGATATAAATACAAACATTTATAAATACATGTGTGTATATATATATAAATATATATATATATACATATATATTTATATATATGTATATATATAAATATATATATATATATATATATATATATATATATATATATATATATATATATATATATATATATATAAAAATATATATATATATATATATATTATATATATATATATATATATATATATATATATAATATATATATATATATTTATATATATATATATATATATATATATATATATATATATATATATATATATATATATATATATATATATATATATGTATATATATATATATATATATATATATATATATATACATATATATACATATATATAAATATATATATATATATATATATATATATATATATATATATATATATATATATATATATATATATATATATATATATATATATATATATATATATATATATATAATATATATATATATTTATATATATGTATATATATAAAAATATATATATATATATATATTTATATATATATATATATGTATATATATATATATATATATATATTATATATATATATATATATATATATATATATATATATATATATATATATATATATATATATATATATATATATATATATATATATATATATATATATATATATAAATGTATATGTATATATATATATTTATATATATATATATATACATATATAAATATATATATATACACACGCTGCTTTAGGAGCTCGTCGTGGACTTTTGTGTTTTTAAAGCTGCAGATTTCACACAACAACATAAGAGCATATTTGTGTGAGTGCTGTGGAACGGTCTGTGTCTCTCATATTCAGTGTTTGACGTCCCTGCTGCTGTCTGACTGTAACTGAATAAACACACTAACAGGTCTTTATGATTATTTTAATATTCATTCATTTATCCTCCTCAGATCATGTTCACAGATTCGGGACTTAAAGGATTAAATTAAACGGCTGTCGGAGTCGCTCGTTGACACCTCTGAGATTACTGCGTGTGTGAGTGTTGCAGCGTTTCCATGGCGACAGTCTGATCCTGCAGCATGTCCTTTTTTGTGTGTGTTTGTCAGGTGAAATGGTCCAGAGAGAACTACTACCACAACCTGAGCTCTCCCTACTGTCTGCGGCTGGCTTCAGGAGACGCCTCAGGGAAGATCATCGTGTGGGACGTGGTGAGCGGGACGGCCCACTGTGAGATCCAGGAGCACTCCAAACCCATCCAGGGTGAGTAATCCTCTCTGTGGATTTATCCTCTGTGCCGAGGGCTGTTTGTTTTCATTAAGAAACCCCCCCACACCCCCACCTCACCGTCTCTCTCCTCTCCGTTTCTAGACCTGGAGTGGTTGTGGAATCAGGATGCGTCCCGTGACCTGCTGTTGGCGGTCCATCCTCCGAACTACATCGTCCTGTGGAACGGAGACACGGGCACCAAGCTGTGGAAGAAGAGTTACGCCGAGAACATCCTCTCCTTCTCCTTCGACCCCTTTGACCCCTCAAATATGGCGCGTAAGTGACGCCAGAGCCGAGCAGACGGCCGCAAAAGTGCAAACCAAACGACTTTGACTCTTTAGTTTAAATTAAAAAAGACTGAAAACGTTCGTCTCTGTAAATCTGTGACTTCATATCACAGTAAACCTGTTCAACACTTCTTACGTGACACCATGACTATAGTTCACAGTTTCTCAGGATCTATCTCGTGTTTCTCTACGGGGTAAAAAGTGTTCAATAGTTTACCCTTTAGGCGATCGATCGAGGGTTTCCAGACGTTTCTACACCTGCAACAAGGTTTACAATCCAGACACAAAACCAGAGAGGGATCATCTGAAGGTCGTCCCTGAAAACGTCGTTGTCTGGACGGACGCAGATGTTCCTCCTAAAGCTGCAGATCTTGTTTAAAACTGAGGATGCAGCATCTATGATTTCCAGTTCTTCGTTGAAAGAACGACTGTCTGACTTGAGACGTTTCGCCGTAAGTCCAGTTGGAACGGAAACAACACTGCTCCCAACCAGAGGAGTCCAGCAGAGTCAGCAGGACTCTGAGGTGGAAACTCCTGATCACCTCACATGCTCTCGTTTCATGACCCTGCAGACAGAACCAGAACCAGGTCCGCTGACCTGAACCCGGTCTGACTAACATCTCTCTTCTCCCTCTTCCTCTGCAGTGCTGACCAGCGAAGGAATCGTCTTCATCACCGACTTCTCTCACTCCAAACCGCCGGGCAGTGCCGGTAAAAAGGTCTACATCGCCAGTCCGCACGCGAGCCCCGCCCACACCAAACCTGCGCCGGCCGCTGCTCCCGCCCCCACCGGTGCCAAGAAGGCTCTGAACAAAGTCAAAGTGCTGATCACCAACGAGAAACCCACGTAAGAGCGAGTTCTTCTCCTCCGTGTTCACGGTTCCCCCCTTTGACTCTCTGTTATCGTGGAAAAATTCACTCAAACTCTTTCCGACTTTTCTCTGTTTTTATAAAACGTTGAGACGTTGGCGTCTTCTCTCCGACCTCTGAAGCTGTGGGTCGTTTTTTGTAAAGATCACGAACATATTTGAGGTGAATCCTGATGCTTTAGGCGGTTGGTCGTAAAAAACGTCAGAGAAATTCAGCGTCAGTCGAGTTTATTTCATGAGATGGACGAGGCGAGAACGTGGTTTTGGTAATATGAGCTGATCTGAGTAATGGGAGACAGGTTTGGAGTCTCTCTCTGATCCTTCAGAGGCTTGTCTTTATTAAAGTCAGCACGCCGCCGGGTTCCTCCGTCACGGTTTAATTCTGATCCATTTTAGCGACTTTAAATGTTCTTTTGCAGAGATTGAAAACGGCGTCTCAGTCAGACTCAGCGGCGGTTATCAAATCAAGTCCGGTGTCAGATATTAAAGTTCCTGATGAAGAGGAAGGGTTCGATGAATCTTTGATACTCAGACTTCTGGGAAGTGGAGGCTGAACTCGTTTCTTCATCTTTAAGCGACGAACTGAAGTCGGAGTTGAAAACTGACTTCATAAAAGAGACGAAGAGCCGAAGGCCGGTGTGACGTTCCTGCAGCTCAGAGTCAAACAGGTTTTATTAATGGCAGCAGAAACTCGGCCCCCCCCCACGTCCTGCTGTAACACACACACACACACACACACACACACACACACACACACACACACACGTGCGCTTCATTAATCATAGTCGTCTTTATCGCCTCCCTCTGTTTCTGCCTTTGTTACCTCGGTGTGCGTCGCTGACACCTCCTTAGCCCACCAATCACATGGTGTGTAATTGCTTCTCAGGATGTTGAACACCTTGGTCTACCTGTGTCTGTGTGTGTCTGTCTGTTGTTAATCATGTTCAGTGTTCCAGTATCTCTGCTCTCTGCCTCTGTCTCTGCCGCCGCTGAAACCTGCAGGAGAGCAGAATAAATCAGGTCCAGGAGAGTCTGGTCCTGAGTCCAGAGGAGAGGAAGTGAAGCTCATAAATCAGCATGTTTGCTCACATAAACCAGGAGCTTCAGTACTTTAGTTTGAGGTACAGAGATCTGGAGTTTAGTCGGAGAAGTTTTGGTTTCACTTTATCGTCTGAGTGTTAAAGATGGGGGAGGGATCCGTTAAAGAAGCATTTTAATGTCATGTCGTTCAGGAGCCCAAACAAAGTTAGCGTGCTACAATATCGGACAGTAGAAACCAACCAGAAAGTTCGGAAAATTGTCTGAATCCTCCTTTGGCCACGACTGCCGACACAAGCAAGAAAACACTCAAACATAAACAGTCAGCAAGAAAACAGTCAACAAGAAAACAGTCGGCAAGAAAACAGTCAGCAAGAAAACAGTCAGCAAGAAAACAGTCAACAAGAAAACAGTCAGCAAGAAAACAGTCAGCAAGAAAACGGTCAGCAAGAAAACAGTCAACAAGAAAACAGTCAACAAGAAAACAGTCAACAAGAAAACAGTTAACAAGAAAACAGTCAGCAAGAAAACAGTCAGCAAGAAAACAGTCAGCAAGAAAACGGTCAGCAAGAAAACAGTCAACAAGAAAACAGTCAACAAGAAAACAGTCGGCAAGAAAACAGTCAACCATAAACAGTCAACAAGAAAACAGTCAACCATAAACAGTTAACAAGAAAACAGTCAGCAAGAAAACGGTCAGCAAGAAAACAGTCAACCATAATGAGTCAACAAGAAAACAGTCAACAAGAAAACAGTCAGCAAGAAAACGGTCAGCAAGAAAACAGTCAACCATAATGAGTCAACAAGAAAACAGTCAACAAGAAAACAGTCAACATCAAAACAGTCAACAAGAAAACAGTCAACCATAATGAGTCAACAAGAAAACAGTCAACAAGAAAACAGTCAACATCAAAACAGTCAACAAGAAAACAGTCAACCATAATGAGTCAACAAGAAAACAGTCAACAAGAAAACAGTCAGCAAGAAAACAGTCAACAAGAAAACGGTCAGCAAGAAAACAATCAAGAAAACAGTCAACCATAAACAGTCAACAAGAAAACAGTCAACATCAAAACAGTCAACAAGAAAACAGTCAACCATAATCAGTCAACAAGAAAACAGTCAACAAGAAATCAGTCAACCATAAACAGTCAACACGAAACCAGGCAACAAGAAAACTGTCAACAAGAAAACGCTGCTCCCCCGTGTCGTTCAGGAGCCCAAACAAAGTTAGCGTGCTACAATATCGGACAGTAGAAACCAACCAGAAAGTTCGGAAAATTGTCTGAATCCTCCTTTGGCCACGACTGCCGACACAAGCAAGAAAACACTCAAACATAAACAGTCAACAAGAAAACAGTCAACAAGAAAACAGTCAACAAGAAAACAGTCGGCAAGAAAACAGTCAACCATAAACAGTCAACAAGAAAACAGTCAACCATAAACAGTTAACAAGAAAACAGTCAGCAAGAAAACGGTCAGCAAGAAAACAGTCAACCATAATGAGTCAACAAGAAAACAGTCAACAAAAAAACAGTCAACATCAAAACAGTCAACAAGAAAACAGTCAACCATAATGAGTCAACAAGAAAACAGTCAACAAGAAAACAGTCAACAAGAAAACAGTCAACAAGAAAACAGTCAGCAAGAAAACAGTCAACAAGAAAACAGTCAACCATAATGAGTCAACAAGAAAACAGTCAACAAGAAAACGGTCAGCAAGAAAACAATCAAGAAAACAGTCAACCATAAACAGTCAACAAGAAAACAGTCAACATCAAAACAGTCAACAAGAAATCAGTCAACCATAAACAGTCAACACGAAACCAGGCAACAAGAAAACTGTCAACAAGAAAATGCTGCTCCCCCGTGTCGTTCAGGAGCCCAAACAAAGTTAGCGTGCTACAATATCGGACAGTAGAAACCAACCAGAAAGTTCAGAAAATTGTCTGAATCCTCCTTTGGCCACGACTGCCGACACAAGCAAGAAAACAAAGTAAATACCGGAGACTCTGGAGGAATAACGGGCGCTTAAAACGGAGGTAGACCGGACAAGAGCTAAAAAGCCGGGTCAACATAAACCATGGGGGACGCTTGGGGATCTTGGTGACCCTGTAACCTTTCTGCTGGACAGGTAAACCGCTTTAACAAAGTAAGACAAGTGTCTGTAACAGAAGTGTTTCTTGTCAAACGGACCTGCTGTAGCGTGTTGTAGCGCCATCGCTAAACTGTCCTCCCTCGGGTCCTGGACTATGTCACTTTATCCTCGTTGTAGAAGTCCTGCAAACATCGTGTTTGCTGGTAGTCTGTTGGCATCTACAGTAGCACCAATGCTTTTGACTTTCACCTTGACTGGGCCCCATTTGTAATGATCTGAAGTATTTATCTGAAGCTGATGATAAATATCAGCTGTTTTCAGACGATGAGTTTGACGCAGTTTCTCTCTCATCCTCACAGATTTCCTGTTCTGTCTTTACTTGGACTCTTTAATTCAGTTATTCATCTGTTCTCTTTATTTTTCGTATATTTAGTTTTCATGTGTGAACCCAGAGTCATGATTTAAACATCAGTTCCTGTCAGATTCAGCTCTGAGAGTTTGTTCTGAATCCTCCAAACATGAGAGCTGATGAAAAGAATAATGAAGAGGCTGAACTGAGTCTGATTTTAATTTCATCAGAGTCATGGATATTTATTTTACATCATTAAAATAACAGTGATTCAAAGTTTCATTCTCCGGGGCCGTGTTTGTTATTCAGAGGACTGCAGGGGACACTTGTGGTGATTTCAGATGTTAGTTTAAGAGTTTTAATAAAAGAGGCTTTGAATAATGAAAATGAAGTTAGTTTTATTAAAATCACAAACTGGATCTTAGATTAAAATGTGCTGGTCTCATTTAGAGGATCTGGAGAGGTCTCTGTACTCGAGTTGGGCTGTAAATATCACTGTATGTGTTTTTCCCTGAAAATTCAGTTAATCTCTTAAAAATAATCAAACTGTCTCATTTGTTCATTTTCCTTTAATTTTTAAACTCAGATTTTTATACAGATACAAACTAAATGTCAGACCAGTCTGGTGATTTTTTTATGGCGTACCTTTGGTACCTTTAAGGTACGCCATAAAAAACAGTTTCTGATTTTTTTATGATCATTTCTTCATGGAAATACAATCAGAGACGCTAAGACAGAAGAACTACCACGTCTTTAAAATGATTAATATGGTGATTATTACTTCAAGGAAATGATAAAGAAATGATCATAAATGTTCTTCCTTGAGCTGCGGCACCCCGCTGTAGTCTGTAATGGACTGGCCTGAGGTCTCTCTACAAACAAGCGTCTGCTGGAAGAGAGTAGGTGAGTTGTGTTTAGTCTCTTTGCTAAAGAAATGAGTCAAAGTTAAAAAGATGTTTGGTGTCTAGTACTATGTCTGTGACCCTATATGTCCTGTTGATGAAGTTAGGTGCTGTTCTGAGCATTATTTGTGGCTATAGAGTGGCGTTTTGGTTGGGGGCGTGGCTCTCTGTATTTCTATCCTGCGGTCGTTACTAAAGTCGCCGGTATATCCCTTTAAGAGCAGAGTTTGTAAGGAGGGTGTGTGTGTGTGTGTGTGTGTGTGTATGTGTGTATGTGTGTGTGTGTGTGTGTGTGTGTGTGTGTGTGTGTGTGTGTGTATGTGTGTGTGTGTGTGTGTGTGATGTCTGAAGACAGGAAGTCTGAATATTTCGGGTGAATTCAGGTCACCACCACTCACTCTCTCTCTCTCTCTCTCTCTCTCTCTCTCTCTCTCTCTCTCTCTCTCTCTCTCTCTCTCTCTCTCTCTCTCTCTCTCCCCCCCCCCCCTCTCTCTCTCTCTCTCTCTCTCTCTCCCTCTCTCCCTCCCCTCTCTCTCTCTCTCTCTCTCTCTCTCTCTCTCTCTCTCTCTCTCTCTCTCTCTCTCTCTCTCTCTCTCTCTCTCTCTCTCTCTCTCTCCCCCTCTCTCTCTCTCTCTCTCTCTCTCTCTCTCTCTCTCTCTCTCTCTCTCTCTCTCTCTCTCTCTCTCTCTCTCTCTCTCTCTCTCTCTCTCTCTCTCTCTCTCTCTCTCTCTCTCTCTCTCTCTCTCTCTCTCTCTCTCTCTCTCTCTCTCTCTCTCTCTCTCTCTCTCTCTCTCTCTCTCTCTCTCTCTCTCTCTCTCTCTCTCTCTCTCTCTCTCTCTCTCTCCTCTCCCCCCTCTCTCTCTCTCTCTCTCTCTCTCTCTCTCTCTCTCTCTCTCTCTCTCTCTCTCTCTCTCTCTCTCTCTCTCTCTCTCTCTCTCTCTCTCTCTCTCTCTCTCTCTCTCTCTCTCTCTCTCTCTCTCTCTCTCTCTCTCTCTCTCTCTCTCTCTCTCTCTCTCTCTCTCTCTCTCTCTCTCTCTCTCTCTCTCTCTCTCTCTCTCTCTCTCTCTCTCTCTCTCTCTCTCTCTCTGTCTCTCTCTCTCTCTCCCTCTCCCCCCCCCTCTCTCTCTCTCTCTCTCTCTCTCTCTCTCTCTCTCTCTCTCTCTCTCTCTCTCTCTCTCTCTCTCTCTCCCCTCTCTCTCTCTCTCTCTCTCTCTCTCTCTCTCTCTCTCTCTCTCTCTCTCTCTCTCTCTCTCTCTCTCTCTCTCTCTCTCTCTCTCTCTCTCTCTCTCTCTCTCTCTCTCTCTCTCTCTCTCTCTCTCTCTCTCTCTCTCGCTCTCTCTCTCTCTCTCTCTCCCTCTCTCCCTCTCCCCCCCCCCCCCTCTCTCTCTCTCTCTCTCTCTCTCTCTCTCTCTCTCTCTCTCTCTCTCTCTCTCTCTCTGTCTCTCTCTCTCTCTGTGACTTTAACTTCTCAGTCCTGATCTCTGCCTGACTTCGCTGAACTCTGGGATTTATCTCTGCAGGTTCTGAAGGACCCTCTCTTGGGCCCGTTTGATCCGCCCGCTCTCCCCCACATTGATGTTCTGATTGTTATAAAGGAATAAACCTGCAGACTGAGTTCTGACCACAGACTCGGTCAGAAGCAGAACTGTTGAGGACTTTGTTGTCCTCGTGTGGAGAGATGATGAGACCTGGCTGCTGCTGCTGCTGCCGTGGATAATAGTATTTGTGACTAATTTAAACACACATAAATCGAGTTAGATCAAACATACTTGGTCTGACATTTTGGGGACTCAGAATAATGGAGGGGATTAGGATGTGACAGAGCCAGCACCTGCTTAATTCATCAGCCTCCCAGCATTAGACAGAAATCTCTTTTAAGTTTGTGACTCATTTATAACTCTGCAGCCAGACCCGGAATAAAGATCAAGAAGTGTTTATTAGATCTGTCCTCACACCGCCTCGGCCATCTTCATATTTACATATTCCATATGCATGTGTTGTTTCTGCACAGACTCATTATGTCGGGACACTTTCTGCAGAAACAGACCAGGGGCCTGTTCTACGAAGCAGGTTCAACCTAGTCGCCTTGGAGCTACCTCACTCAACTTAGCGCGGTAGCCAGCGGTCTCGCTAAACGGTCTTACGACGCTGGTTAACAACCTCGTAAGTTGAGCCAGCTTTGCTATGAGCGCGTGCACACATGTAAGGCGGAGCCCGCCGCATCTGACCAATCGTGAACACGGACAAGTCTGGAGCGTCAGAGCAGGCCGGAGAGCGAGGGACCGTGTACTTTACAAACGAGGAGCAGGAGACGATCATGAGAAAGTCTGAAGAATTAAAATCTCTATATCCACAAATAATGTTCAGAACAGCACCTAACTTCATCAACAGGACATATAGGGTCACAGACATAGTACTAGACACCAAACATCTTTTTAACTTTGACTCATTTCTTTAGCAAAGAGACTAAACACAACTCACCTACTCTCTTCCAGCAGACGCTTGTTTGTAGAGAGACCTCAGGCCAGTCCATTACAGACTACAGTGGGGTGCCGCAGCTCAAGGAAGAACATTTATGATCATTTCTTCATCAGTTCCTTGAAGTAATAATCACCATATTGATCATTTTACAGACGCAGTAGTTCTTCTGTCTTAGTGTCTCTGATTGTATTTCCATGAAGAAATGGTCATAAATGTTCTTCCTAAATCATCATCATCATCATCATCATCATCATCATTATCCCTATCTTCATCCTCATCATTTTCATCCTCCTCCTCCTCCTCACACTGTTGTTTCCCTCTCCTCTCCTCATGACTGTAACTCAGCCCGTCCTGTCGTGAACCTCTGATCGTTTCCTCCTCCCTCAGAGCCGAGGCCGTGACGCTCAACGACTGTCTCCAGCTGTCCTACCTGCCGTCCAAGAGGAACCACATGCTGCTGCTGTACCCCAGAGAGATCCTGATCCTGGACCTGGAGCTCAGTCAGACGGTGGGCGTGGTGGCCATCGAGCGCTCAGGGGTGCCCTTCATTCAGGTGAGGCTGAGATCTCTCTTTGAGTCTTTTCATGGCGTTGATTTATCTGAACCATCACCTGTGGGGTCTGCAGACCTCTGCTCTCATAGACCAGCAGATAAATGGTCCTGATACAGTTTTACTCTAAGATGCTGCTTCAAACAAAATACTCATTTTTTAAGAATTAACAGCAACAAAGATCCTTCCTTTCACTGCTGGGCTCTGGTCTGTCCCCGAGCCTGAGAAGATGAGGTCCGTCAGGAGGACGTGATGGAGATGTTTCAGTATTTGTTGATGAAGATGTTTCTGTATTTGTTGATGGAGATGTTTCTGTATTTGGTTGTTGGAGGCAGACTAAATATCAGCTCTGCTTTAACAGCCTTCTCCTCCTCCTTCTTCTTCTTCTTCTCCTCAGATGAACCCGCCGCTGCTGCAGGTTCTCCTTTTATTGCAGTACACCGGGGGTTTTACCAAAATCTGTCTCTTTTTATGGATGATTCTCTCGGGGAGCCAATTCCTCCTGCCATGAGTGATAAAACTCTCCACTTTTCTTCCTCCTCTCACAGCTCACCTCATCAGAGCAGAGAAACCTGTTCCTGTGGTTGGAGTTTTTGTTCCTCTCAGCAGCTCTCTGACCTTTCTCTGAAACTTCTCCTCGTTTTGAGTCGGTCTTACTAATTGAAAATTGATGAACGCTTTGAAGGTTTTCGATAAAGGATTTGTGACGGAAACGGTTCGTCCTGCTTTCCCTGGAACTTCTCCGTCTTTCTGGGCTGAAATGTTCACCATGGGAGTTGTCAGTGACCTTTTTTTTCCACAGACGAATGAATAATTGCTGAGCGTGGACTCGGCCGGGTCACCGTTCTGAACTTGACGTACGTCGGATGGTTCAGTGTGGCTCTGATTGAGAAAGCAGCATCATCTCGACTGAGAGGTAGAATATCGTTAACTTCATCTCCACAAGGGGGCAGTATCAGTCAGAAAGGACACCAGACTGACCGCGCTCAGGGAGGCGTGTGGCGGTCAGTCATTCAGGTTTTTAAGAGAGAGAGAAAAGAACCGCCTCTACCTCAGCATGTCCACCACCCAAAACAACAGGAAGTCCTGTTCCTGGAGAACGCCTCCTCGCCCTGTCATGGTGGCTGACGTGGCTCGATGACTCTGTGAGGCGGAGTCACCCACGTCCCTACACTAGCTGCGTCTGAATCTCCAAGTAGTAGTCGAAGTAGTATGTAGCATGTCCGAATTGGCCACCGGAGCGAGTAGCATGCTACTTCAGATACTACTTCAGATACTAGACACGCCCACATTGTAGGTTGGTCTCGGTGCATCCTACGGGCATGCTACTGACCCAAAATGCACCGCGGGCTTCTTCTTCGTCCTCTTAAAAGTTGTAGAAGCGCATGTGATGCTAGCGCCACCAGCTGCTCTGCCTATTTAAAAGTGTCGCGAACGCCGGCTGGCCACAGCAGCGCGCACCATGTCGGAGCAGCAGCAGGCGGGTCCGCAGCAGTACAGATGTAAGTTTCATGTAACTTCACACACTGTCCTAAAAAATGTGCGGTTGTATCTCTTTGTCATGTCATGGTGTCATATTTGCCCAAGTAATCATTTTATGAGCAAATATGTGGCGACATCATGGAGGTAAAGCTCACTTATTCCATCATTAAACTGCACAGCTGCAGTAATACAGCCAGGCCCACAGATGAGGGGCTTCAGTTACCACTGTCTGCACGGGCGCAGTACCTACTCTCTGCCTGCGGGGGTCGTCTTTCCCCACCGCTCGTCTAGTGTGTCCGACTGGGCCAACGTTTTTAGTATGTAGGAGTAGGATCTAGCAGTAGGATGTAGTATCCGAGCGGGCAGTTCGGACGCAGCAACCGTCTTTGTTGTCAAACAGAACAAAGATGGAGGAGGAGGAGTTCTTGTAGTTAGAGGAGCAGAACTCAGACCCCCAGATCTGCTTCAGCTGACACCGCCCCCCTCTCTCTCGGCTAAGTGTTACAAAGAGCGTGTCGTGCAGCCAATTTACATGAGTGATGGCTCAGCTCCAGAGAGTCCAGGCTGGAGGGTGAAAACTCAAGGACAGGGACGTCTGTACGCTCCGATTCATCCAGTCCAGAGTGAAATCTGTCGTTTCAGTGGAGAGGCGTCAAACCGCAGCAGGAAGTAAGGAGGAAGTCAAACAAACGTTCTCCTGACAGCTCTTAAAGGAGTCCACGTCGGTGAGTCTGAACCAGCAGCAGAAGGAGCTGGACCGCTTCCTCAGCAGTGAGTCAGCAGGTGCTCCCCTCTGATTGGACAGGACCAACCAGACAACAAAGATGGAGGATGATGAGCCTGAAGGATACGCCGTGCACGACAAACACCCGGTCGAACAAATGAGCGAGAGAAGAAACGACAGAATATCATTTTTTATACAAACATATTCAGGAACATGTTTCAGAAAAGAGGGAGGAAACTTCTACGACAGAGCCGCGCTGACGAGGTTCCTCCAGCTGCTGTCACTCAGTACGTTTCCATGACACTAAACCGAATTATCGCCTTATTCCGATTAAGACCGGACAACTGAAGGTCATGTAAACACCTCAGTCCGACTATAATCAGAGTTTGAGAACTCAGATTAAGACACTCTGATAATGTGATTAAAGTTCGATTTTCTCTACCATGTAACCAGCGTAGTCGGAGTATGATCAGTTACAGGCCACGCCCCCTTTAACCCCGTAACAAACCCCCAGAGTAGAGGAGTAGCGTTGGTCTCCTCTTTAGAAAAAGTAGCGCGTCCATCATGTCGGACAAAAACAACGCTGTACGATGCTCCATCTTCTTGTTTCTCCAAAATGCCCAGCAGCAGTTGTAGACACTTCTGACGTCTGACACCGACCTGCTGTTGTTGTTGACGGTTGGATGGGGTCGGAAACAGCGCCGCTGAAAAGACCCATATCGCCCCCTAGTGTTGATTTATTTTGTTGCTCTGTGTTCAGGTGATCCCCTGCGCTCAGCGTGACGCCCTCTACTGTCTGCATGAGAACGGCTGCATCACCCTCCGAGTGTGTCGCTCCACCACCTCCATCGAGGAGGCAGCAGGTACCTCCACACACACACACACACACACACACACACACACACACACACACACACACACACACACACACACAAACACACACGCACACACACACAAAGAGAGTCCAGCTCATGATGAAGTTTCAGTTATTTTCTTGAGTCCAGAAGAAGTCACGCTGTTGACTCTCAGACACCGACGTGAAGGTCGCTCACAGGGATCGGACTAATCGCCATGGGGGGGTGTAGGAAGGTGACGGAGGAGCAGTTCTCTGGATTTTTGGGGCTCCTCTGTTGGTCCTGAGTTTGTTTGTTTGATGCTGAAACTAAAATAAATCCTGTGAGAGGCTGCCGGCCTGATTCTGTCTTTCTTCATTTTTCACCTCCACCATAAAAACCTCCAGGATCGTCTTGAGCTCGTCGTTCTGTATCGTCTCTGTAGAGCAGCGTTGAGTATCTCATACAGGATCTCAGCGTGTTTGGATTTGTTTGATAGAGTAAACTCTGATCCTTTCTGCTGTTTCCTTCAGACAGAGTTAGCAGGTCCACATGGATCAGGGATCGACCATCAGATTGTTCTGTTATTGATAAATCCAGAACCAGGAAGGATTTCTAATCCACACCAACTGATACACAGTCAGGAGTTCACAGATGGTCTTTTATTTTGAAATACCGGAGGACATTCGCGGTTTTCCTGCTTGACTTCCTGTCAAAAACGATCGTCTCTGTGTGGATTGACGCTCATCGGAAGCGTAGAGCAGAGAAAATCGAGGAGCTGATACTGGTCCTGTTCGCTCTACTGTATTGATCAGAAACCTGTTTGATAGGAGACGCTGCTGATCCAGGCTCAGTCTGGATTAAGGCTGCACGATATTGGAAAAAAATAATATTGCGATTTTTTTCAACCCTGCGATATATATTGCGATATTAAAAATACAGGAATTTTCACCAGATGACCTGAATATCACTTAATGTTATGCTGCACTGCTGAAATCTTGAGGACAGTTAATCTGCTCTGATCTTACCTCTTTTTGTGAATGTTAGTAGAATGGCTTCTGTCTGTCTCAGAGATATTTTTAGCTTTTATTGTGCTGGGACGTTATTGTGAAAACAGGTGAACACAGAAGACGTGTTTTGGTCGACATCATCCTTCTTTTAACCGAAATAATTCCAGATAACTGACTTTCCTTTTCTTTTTGGCAACAAATCTTCATTTTCGGTGGTTTTCGCTTGTTCGTTGTTCATTTTGCGATCGTTGTTGTTGTTGTTAGCGGTGTTGTGCCGAGAAACGCATGTCCTCCGAGAATTGCATGCACCTCGCAAAACGCGCACTGCTTATAGTAGAGTGGTCCACGGAAATGTACAATTTAAAACCCATACAGTTCTTATTTGTTGGGCTAAACAGTCATGAGTAAAGTTCCGAAAGTAATTCTCAGCGGACACACGTCTCCCTCCATGTGCAGAACATGTGCAGGGGTGGGTTTTCTCCTCCCTGATTTTGATTGACAGCTGGCAGGGTAGTCTGATTGGCAACTGAGAAGTGAGTCTGATTGGCAACTGAGTTAAGGACGAAGGCGATTGGTGGATCGCTGCACAGCACATGCAGAGTCACATGGAGTGTATCTCAGTCGGTTACCCTTGAAATTAAATGAGTTCATCCACCTCCAATATCGCAGGCTCTGCGATGTGACTATCGCACACACGTACATCGCGATGACGATAGTCAAACGATATATCGTTCAGGCCTAGTCTGGATCCCGGAGGTTTGAGTCTCTGCAGCTCCTCCCTGGACTCCTCTGTCTCATTAATCTTTATCTCAGGGTTACAGACCCCCCCTCTATCTCTTAGTCCTCCCATCTCTTAATGAGGGTGTCTCACTCTTTTATTTCGGCCAGACGAGTTTCTTTAATTAAAGTTTATAACTTTAAAAATTATTCATATTAAATCAGCTGTGGCTGCCAAAGCTGGGAAACATGTGGGGATCTTGGTCCAAAATGAGCAGAATTATTCATGTGCTCTGAGTTGGCAGGAGCAGGAGAGTCTATCACTCTGATTTTATTTCTAACCTGTAAAGTTAATTAAACGGATTTCCCTCCAGCTCTTCCTGCTGAATGGACACAAACCCTGAACACCTCCTGACCCGCAGAGATTTTAACGTTAAAGATTCAGTCAGCCGAGCTTTTTCAGACTCACACAGAGAGGAAACAGGAAACCGTCTCTGAGCGAACCTCCGGATCTGGAAACGGTTTCAGAATTCTGAACTTCTGCCGTCCACGACAACAGCATCTGTGACGACGTCTGGAGACGGTCCAGGACAGGAGCAGATTTACAGCTGAGTTATCATCATCATCGTTAAAGTCACTCTCACTTATTTCTGAGTTTATAATTTGGTCTCCAGTTCACATCAGCGACGTCGAGGACAGGTTCCTCAGGGACTCCTGGTTCGTGTTTACGGCGGTCCTGCAGCCTCCTGAGTTTATTAAACCTGCTCAGGTGAAAGGATTATTTTATCGGAGGTGAAGAAGAGTCTCACCATGATCCGGTCACCGTGGACCTCCATCGTAGAACCTTCCCTTTAAAAGGACCCGTCTGTGCTGGTTTGGACCCGAGTTCTCCTCAGTCTCAGCACCTATGTCAGGTTTAGTCTCGGTCCTTGGTTTGAGTCTCTGATGAAGTCTAAGGTTGGAGCTCAGAGTTAAACAAAAAAACATTTAAACTGAAATAAAAACTCAAAAGACATGAAAGTGACAGAAGGACGGAGATCTTCAGAGTTTTAGGGACGAGGAGTCGGAGTCGATCAGCTGACCTCAGGGAACATTGAAGAGGTCAGAGGTCAACTGTGGTTCTGATCCGTTTACAGATTTAAAAACAAACAAGAACATCTGAAAATGAACGGGAAGCTGATGGAGGGACGTGATGTGGTCATGTTTTGGTGACCTCATCGCTCCTGTTAGTGATATTTGGAGGGATTTATTTATGATCAGCAGCCATCTTGGATTTTTGTTGGTGGCGTCGTTGTTTTCTATGATGGCGGCAGGAAGTAGGCTGGTGCTGCAGCGGTCTGACCACGTGAAAAAGTGACTCGTATTGGATGGTGATGAAGGACTCACGTGAGGATGTCTGGCGGTATCATAACCCGCTGATGAGGAGGTCTTTATTCTGGTTTTCAGAGCGACTAAAGCGATAAATGAGAAACGGAGTCAGGACTGGGATCATTTCCTGTCTCCTTTCTTATCTCCTCAGGTCCTTCTCTAATGTCTCTACTCGCCTTCCTTTCTTTTCTCTGAATCCTCGCTCTCTTATCTTCCTCCTCCTCCTCCTCCTCCTCCTCCTCCGTCTTTATTTCCTTTATTATTTCATCTTCTCCTCTTTTCATTTATTCTCTCTCTTCTCTCTGACTTTTTTCTCTCTTCTTCGTTCTTTATCTTCGTCCTCCTCTTCCTCAGACCCCGAGCAGAGCGTCCACGAGCTCGTGTACGACCTGCGCTCTCAGTGCGACGCCATCCGGGTCACAAAGACGGTCCGGCCGTATCGGATGGTGATCTGCCCCGTCAACGAGAACAACGCCGCTCTGATGGTCAGCGACGGCCGGGTCATGCTGTGGGAGCTCAAAGCTCACACTGGGCGGGCCGCTGCCAACCCCAGGTACACACACACACACACACACACACACACACACAGAGTTTATGGTTCCCCTTTTTCCCAGTGAGGATCCAGAATTCTGTCCCAGTGGAACCAGTGATCTGGATCAGAACGTTGTCACCTTCTCTGCTGCGAGGGTTCCTGTAAACCGTGACGCTCTGGAACAGCTCTGGTGTCAATAAAGAGGGTTTGAGCTCAGGTCTGCTGACACCAGAACCAGCTGGACGGGTCCGAATTCTGTGGAAACAGTTCTTCCTGTTTCAGAGCAGACTGTGAGGTCTGTTTTCACTGGTCAGCTGATCACAGATACAGCCTCTGATTGGCCATCAGACAGAGTCAGAACAGGTTTAGGAGGAGAGTGGGTCTCACAGACAGAACTTCATATTTTAGTCAATGCTGTAATCCAACAGTGACGTCATTTCTCCACTTCATGAATAAATCTGGACATCAGGCCGTCGCTCTTGTTCAGAAGAGTCGTATTTTCAGCTCAGTGTGTTCCTCTGGTCCCTCTGGTCCCTCTGGTTCCTCTGGTCCTCTGGTTCTTCTGGTCCCTCTGGTCCCTCTGGTTCCTCTGGTTCTTCTGGTCCCTCTGGTCCCTCTGGTCCCTCTGGTCCCTCTGGTTCCTCTGGTCCCTCTGGTCCCTCTGGTCCTCTGGTTCTTCTGGTCCCTCTGGTCCCTCTGGTCCCTCTGGTTCCTTTGGTCCCTCTGGTTCCTCTGGTCCCTCTGGTTCTTCTGGTGCCTCTGGTCCTCTGGTTCTTCTGGTCCCTCTGGTCCCTCTGGTCCCTCTGGGTTGACGTGTTTTTTCAGTTCTGCTTGTTTCAGTCTTTATTCGTCACGGTCCGATCCGTCCACTTGGTTCTGATTGTTCTGCAGAAATCTATCTGATTGGACTTAATGATACTTGGACTGAATCCACAGGAGTCCCAGGTCTATGCAGGTCCTGGATCAAGAGTAGCTTTGAAGACCTCCTCTTGAGAGGCTGTGAACCCCTGACCTGAAATTAGCCTCCTAAGTGACGGTGCAGGAGTTCAGCTCTGACAGTCGCTCCCTCTCTCCCTCGTTCCCTCGTTTCTTCACTTCTTTTAACTCGACTGT